TGCATTTAGGCATTATTAATATTCAGCTCAACTTTTATTTGGGAGAATTTTTTGAGGGTTTAAGAAATATTGCTTTTTTTTTAGAATGGCATCAGTCATATAAACAACTTTTAATTTACTTGTAGAACAAAAGGGTTAAACAGGAAATTACTTGAACGCTCTATGCTAAATTTAGTAGTCAATCCTTCATTATTTCAGTAAGTTTTACATGGCGAGGGCAGTGATTGGGACACAAAATTAAGATCTTCACTATAAAGGAATTTTGTAATACTAGAAAATACTCTTTGTCATAAGGCTTATCATTCTACAGAAAAAAAAAAAACAAAGTCTTTTAAACATCACTATTTATTGCTTTGGGTGTTATATAGGATACTCTTCTTCTGCAATCATAACCGAATTTGCTTATAGTTCTCATATCATCCATAATGAAAAGCTTTCTCCCATAATGGAATGCATCGCGATTTGCAATTCATGTCGAGCAATCCTTACGGACAATTAATGCTGATAAACCAACAAATTATATTTCTGAGTGGAAACTATATTTAAGCATTAACGAAACTAATTCAATAATTGAATTCCTAATTGTCTTCATAATCCCAGCAGAAGTTCGGCTCGTTTTTTGGAGACCATAATTGGCTTAATCCGATATATTTTTTCCCAATCCGGCCCCAAATATAGAAAAGGCGGAATAATTTTTTGGTATCTGTCAAAATCAAGTGAGCAATTCCTCCCTAGGCTGCCCGGCAATTGCGTGGGTGTGAAAATGGCTATCGATCCCTCGACTTGCTGGAGAAACTTCACCTTCTGTGAGAATCATCATTGGTGTACCGGGGAATGTTCCTGAAATTATCCCATTAGGCATTGCCAGCCCAACCTTCGTAACACTCTGTTCCAATGTTATTATTGTTTTACTTTTAGTAAAACGCCTAATCTAATTAAGGGAAAGAAGAAAGGGGAGGGCATATAGTGAATCACCTGCGCAGGAGTGATACAAACCAGACCAGTGATGCATGCCTTGTAACCGGCCAACTCAACACAGAAGGCTTTTGCAGACAAAGGTTGTCAAAAGGAGCCAGTCAGTATGCTCGGTGGCAGTGCACACGTGGGTGTTAAGGACGGCTAGAGATGAATCACGCTGCCCACGAAGGGACCACCACCGTTGAGTCGCTCCACCCCATCAACAGGCCAGCGCCTGCAAGCATCAGAATTATTTTGGTTTGGCTCGAAGCTTTTCTCTATCTCTTCTCACTTCGGGGTCCCACCTAAGATTAATTAGTTACAGTAAGCTTGAATATATATACATTTTTTTTATATTTTTGAAACAAATTGAAATAAAGGTAATCAATATTTTTTAAACAAATCATTGCAAGACCAAAATTTATAAAATGGCCTCCACCCAAAATGCAGCAGTGAAAGACCAGACAAACACCAGCAGACAAGTTGAAATAACATAACCTCTGAAAAATCATAATCCAAGTTTTTGCAGCCAACCCATCAGGCTACACGCAATACTAAACGCCCAACGCGGTTACGACAAAAGTTACCAAAACGGCACGAACAATACCCATCGCCGAAAATGTCATTCTCGCCGCAAAAGACAACCCCGAGCAAAATCACGTTATAACAAGCAAACCACGCCTTGAAAAAACTACCATTGTCAGTTGATCGGAAATAGCCAAGAAACGGTCGTCGAGCAAGAATTTTTCTCGTCTAATGCCAAGCGCAGGTTTTTCCCACAAAAAGAAAAAGTTTTCTCGCCAACGACCATGCGATATCCCCATAATCCCGCATACAGAACTGAAGCAAAGGCGTAAAACGACATAAAGCTGAGTTTTATAGCGCAATCTTTCTTTACGACGCGCCGAATAAGATTACTAGACCTGGAATGCTTTGATAGGCAACAAGAGTTGCTGCTGTGAGTTTGCCATGGCACTCTGTCGCTTGTTCATCCTTCGGGCTTCGCCTCGTCAGCGATTAAGGTTAGAAGGAAGCTCCATTAGTGCGAACTTAATTTTGTGCTTCTTGTTATAAAATAAGTTACGTACTATTTGTGGTGTGTTTTAACTTTTTCATGGGCCTATTAAATAGACTGGGAAATTATTTTTTAATTACAATTTTTACTACTATAATTTTTTTTTTATTTTTGTTTGGTATTGTATTAAGAGCCGGCTTTAGGGAGGCTGGGTTGGCTCAACACTGAACTTTTCCCTGCATGGGTATTTTTGGAGGTTCAAGAAAATTGACACAGCCATGTAAGGACACCGTTAGTTTTTTTATGCTCAATGTATATATTCTCATGCAAGACTCTTGAAACGCCTCCCTTGAGGGTGGGTTTTTGTTTGTTGTATTGTTAAATTTACTCCACTTGGTGTTATAGAGCTTCTGCTTTGAGCTATTAATTTTATTATGATAATTCAAGAAAAGTAACATTATTCTTTCAAATTCCGAACTTCTTTATGGAACTAAAAGGCCGTTTCTGCATATACAGTTTCTTAGGGCTGGCTTTTAGCATTGTGACCGGCATCAAAACGTTAAATGTTGTTTTTTTATTTGTGTTTTTCGGATAATAAGTATTTGAAACTAGTTTTTAGCATTTATAAAAAAATTAGTCAACAACGCTATTAAAAAAAAGCTAATCCTAGTTATCAACAAATAATTAATTTACGCGAACCGATTTTATAATTTAATCTTAAAATAACAGTGGCGTATTGATCAATAATTTGAAAGAAAGCAATTAACAAATCTATTCTAGGAAAGAGAACCCATCTTAAATTAATTCATCAAGTATGACTTTGGATATATTCGGACTTGTTTGCCAAAAATTCCTGATGAGGCATACGGCATTCAGAAGGTCCAAAATTATAATTTCATAGATTTGCGAAATAAGTTAACGTACATGGATTGTGATTGTTCAAATGCTGTCCTATTTAAAATTAAACGATGTTTGAAATTTGGAAAAATAATTTCTCTTCAAAAATATATATTCTATTTATTATTGTTGAATTACAAAAACGTTTGGAAATAATATTTTTTTTTAATTAATTAGCTGTTTTAATTTTCAAAATGAATTAACCTATATGAGCAAGTACGTTCGCCTTAAAGATTTAAGATTTTATTGACTTTTTAATCAGGATTTTATTTTCATTTAGCTTTAATTATTTTATTATTAAATTAATGTCAAACAAAAATTTTAAGATATAATGGTTACATATACATTCTCAGCACAACACCTATAACGCGACATCTCTTCCTTTAAATGTCTTTTTTTTTTTTTTTTTTTTTTTTTTGTATAATCAGAAAATATATTTTTTTTTTTTTTTTTTTTTTTTTTTTTTTGTATAATCAGAAAATATAATTTCCTTCGGACTAGCAACTCGAGCTTTTATGGAATTGAATTTATGTTTTCACATTTATGGGGTTGAGATCGCTTATCATCCTAATTAAGATATTTGTATTGTCTTTTTACTTATTAATTAATATAAAATAATTTTTTGAAGGATCTGTTTTTGAACATTTTCAATAATTTTTTAATTTTGAAAGAAAAGAATTTTATGATTAAAAAAAATAAAGAATCCATTTGCACATGTTTGAAAGTGGAAAGTGAAAAAACCGTATAGCAAAATTAAAGAAATGGGTGTTGAATTGGTCATGTGCATACTGAGGAAATGTGATGAAATTTGATTACGACATTGAAAAAGAAAAAACACTATAGAAAATCCAACAATTCAATATATGCTATTAATATATGTTTTCTATTTAATTTTATTAACATTTTCCCTAAGAAAATCTATTTATATGTAGAAAATCTCGAAGATTGTGGAATATTTATGATGAGGATTGTGGACGTAGTTTTTGTTTGGATTAATCTATATTCTATCTCTGTATACAGTTTGTAATTAATTAAATTTCTAGTTTGATTTCTTCTATATAATTAATAAAACAATAAATTATTTTTCATTGAGCAAGAATATAAAAATTTCAAAGCTTTAACTTATTATACTTTGATATTATTTCCAAACGTATTAGTTACTCCTAATTTCAGCATGTAAAATAATCAAATTTATTTTATATTAAATTAAATTAAATTTATATTAAAATAACTTGAGATTTATATTAAAATATATTTTTCAAAAAGAGAAAATAAACACATGTGCTTGACATCTGTTGCCATTAATTTAATTGTATAATTATCATATTTGATTAGCTTTTATACAGTGTATTTATAGGCTAATTATCAATTTTGAACAGTGTCAAAATGCAACCAATCTACCATTCTCTGATTCATTTAATTTTCTAAAATGACTCATTTTTATTTGGAGATGTGTTGTGACATGTAACGTGTCAAAAAAATCTGGAATGTGTTGTGATATGTACTCTTTTTCCAGTGATAAAAAATTGTGGGATTTCGTAAACATAAATAAATTATGCAAAACACGTAAAATTAATATTTTTTTTTTCTTTGAGGTAAAAATTGCTACTTGCTTGCCATTTAATTTTTAATTTTGGACTTCACTAAATCCCTATGCATACATGATGATTTATAAATTTTAATTTTTTTAAAAAAATATATGTAATCAAATGTGGTCTGACTGATCTTCTCACATTTTTGTAGAAAATATAGAAAGTGGAAGGTCTCGATTTATCATTAATTTGATAAATGTTATTTCAAGGATAGAGCTACCTCCCTGTGTAGCTCGCATGTTCTCACGGTCTATTGGGCCTTGTATTTATAAAAAAAAATATATATATCTTTAAAACATACAACTCAATTATTATCAAAATATAATAGCAGACCAAAAATTGACTTCATAATTTTCCAACCCTAATTCTATGCCGTACAAAACATTTTTCTCTTTGACAAAAAGAAAAAAAAAAGAGTTGAAAATTATAATAAAATTAACATGTATTCAAATATTAAAATTCCAATTTCAATACTTACGTATGTGTTTGACCATTGATGGAGCTTTCTAACCAAACAATGAACCAGAAAGATCGAATTAAATATGTGGATGGACAATAACAGTATATAATTAAGTTCCCTCTACCCGCTTTGAGTTTGAGGAAGAAGTACATATATAAGTTGCTTAAGTAGCTTTGTTGATTATCAATTTGCTTCCAGGAAATATAATTAAGATGGGAGATGTTTTAACAGAAGAGCAGATTAATGAGTTTCAAGAAGCTTTTTGTCTACTTGACAAAGATGGAGATGGTATTAAAGCTTTCTCTCTTTATGCTTCTTGCCAATCTCTTCTTCTTGATTAATTATATTCTTCGTTATCATGTACACTTTTCATTCATCTTTTCTTCCTCGTCTTATTTTTAGAGGTTCAAGATTAAATCTGTGATTATTGAGATTACGGAAATTTCTTGATTTTTATGTATGTAATTTAAAGGTCGTATTACCTTTGAGGAACTGGCCACTGCAATTAAATCTTTGGATCAAAATCCAACAGAAGAAGAATTGCAGACCATGATTAATGAAGTGGATGTCGATGGCAATGGAACGATTGAATTCGGGGAGTTCTTGAATCTCATGGCAAGGAAAATGAAGGTGATCTGAAGTGTTTAATTTAATTTCGTTTGCAATTGATTAATAAACAATATATATAGGGAAATTCAATATTAGGTGGAAAATGTTTGTATTTTGTTGGCTGTTTTATAGGAAAATGAGGCAGATGAAGAACTGAAAGAAGCTTTCAAAGTGTTTGACAAGGATCAAGATGGCTACATTTCACCTAATGAGGTTGAATTTTCTTTTTCGTTTTGTCATGCATATACATTTTTGTATTCTTTTTAATGTACCCATTCGATGATTAATTAAAAATTAATTATGTTATTAATATGCAGTTGAGGCGCGTAATGATCAATCTAGGAGAGAAACTGACGGACGAAGAGCTAGAGCAGATGATTAGAGAAGCTGACTTAGATGGAGATGGTCTTGTTAATTATGAAGAATTTGTCAGAATGATGTTAGCCGTTTGATCAAATGTAAAAAATTAACAAATAAAAAAATTATTATCTCTTTCTTTCTTTCTTTCTTTCTTTTCTGTGCAAAATATATATTCACACACACACACACACATATATATATAAGAAGAAAAAGAATGGGGATTGATATTAGAAGAATTATTAGATTATAAGAAAAAGAATTCTTGTGATAGGAGAAGAAAATAAAAGTACGATCTGTAAAGGGAAAGTCTGACTGGGCGTCGCCGGAAGTTATATGAGCTATGAAATTTCAGAGAGTTTAACCAGAGGTAAAGAAGAAGAAGAAGAAGAAGAAGCAACGAAAAGCCGAGACGACTTAATTAACGACTGTCACGGTCTAACAGTACAGAACCGGCAGTCGCCTAGTCGTCATAAAACATCGCAAGAAGCGGCTAGGGGACTCTGCTGATGGGTTCTTCGTTAACAAAGATATAACTGAGCCCAAGCCCAATGGGCTCATCTGTGTCGATTTATTTTTGCTTGAGATGAGACTTTCGGGCTTTAGTCCAAGAATGCAGCTAGAAATTACTTAAAAGAGTATTGGCCTTGCGAATTAAATCGTGATCAATTATTTGGAATAACAAAAGTTAAATCAACTTTTTTTTTTTTTTTTTTAATTAAAGTGAAGTTAAATCGTGACCAATTTATTTCGGATTAACTGAAAAGTTAAATCAACTTTTTTTTTTTTTTTTTTTTTTTTTTTTTTTTTTTAATGAAAGTGATTCTTTTATTTATATCTCAAATATGAAGTTCCCATGGCCTCCAATAATACAATACTTTTAATCAAACCAGGTAAAGAATTAAAAGAGGTAAAAGAGAGAGAACAATGATGTAGTATTTGATGAGTGGCCAAAAGTTGTGCCGCTTGATTTCTTTCACGATATATGTGATGAATGGAAGAGGAGTGAAGATGCAATTGGTTAGCAACACGTAGCAAAATCGAAGGACATGCTTTAGTCCATTGTGCCCGATTAACTCGAGCAACTAGATCCTGACAATTCATTTCCACCTGGATAGGATAAAATCCTTTATCAATGCTCCAGGAGAGCTCCCAAATCAATGCTTCAAGGTCTGCATCATAAGCTGTCTCGGCAGCAAACGTAAAACAAGCGGCAGCAACAAAGTTATCATGGCTATTTCGGAGGATAGCACCCCCCACTGCTGAAAATTTGTTGAAAGACGTAGCAATATTCCCCACTGCTGGAAAATTTGTTGAAAGACGTAGCAATATTCAGTTAATAGCAATCTTGCTAAGTGCCGAATCCAAGTAAATCCAAGTAATAATCATTGGCTTTAATTTTTGTTTGCCAAAAGAAGCCGAAATGAAGTGACAATCAGTTTTTGCTGACCAAGTTGTTGCAAATCTTTTACCAGAATTGGCAATGCTACAGTTTAATAATAGCCTACTGATATCTTGTATAAGGAGGTCTGGAAAACAAGCTTCATTACCCCAATTACACTTACAATATATTTTCCACACAGACCAGACAATTACCTGTGGTACCAAGCGCCTAAGCTTACCCATAGCCGAATCTGGTTTGTTACAAAGCCACAAAAAAATCAACGCTTGCCGCAGAGAATTTTGTGGCTCAAGAGTATCTAGGAAGAAAGAGCCAAAATAATTCCAAATTTTGGCAATAGTGGGGCAGAAATAAAAAAGGTGGTTCGCAGTTGTCTTCGACTCGAAGCAGAATGGGCAACGGGATGGACCATATATCCCGAATAATTGAAGACGTCTCGGTAAAGGTAAAGCTTCCCTGAGGAGTTTCCATGTAAAAATGGAAAGCTTAATCGGGAAAGATGAGTCCTAAATAGCAGTGCTTGTTAGGCAAGAAGCTGTGCTCTCTCTAACACAATCATAGGCTGAAGTAAGAGTAAATTTGTCATTCCTTTCTCCTCGCCACACCACATTATTATCTGCAAAATCAACAAGTGGACAAGCAAGAGAGTGAACTTGACAAATTCGTTTCCAAGTGCAAGAGTCGATGAGTTGATGATATCGCAATTTCTCCCTGCCGATGATATTTTCTGTGAACATATAGAGAGTGAACTTGACAAATTCGTTTCCAAGTGCAAGAGTCGATGAGTTGATATCGCATTTCTCCCTGCCGATGATATTTCTGGAACATATAGTTAGCCCACAATGAGTTCCTCTACATATAAGTCCACCAGATTTTGAGTGAATAGGCTTGCTGTAAATAGTTAAGAGATCTTAAACCTAGCCCTCCTTCTTTAGTCGGATAACACATATCACGATAACTGACCCAGTGATATTTCGAATGATCCACATCATTACCTTAGAAGAAAGTAGCCATTTTTCGCTCCAATAAGCTCAATATTTTTTTGGGCAACGCCATGGCTCGCATTATGTGCAAAGGAATACAAAAGTTAAATAAACTAACAAGAATATTATTTAATAAAACTTATATAGCTTAATATACGTGATTTGAATCTTGTTTTTGTTTTATACAAGTGAATTTAGAAAATCAACTTCAAGAGAATGGATTTGAGACTTCTAACGTGAAAGTGAATTTTATACAAATCAATTTTAAAGTTAAAGCTTTCTAGTGTCATGTTTTACCCACATAATAATATATTTTTTTCATATGGGAAATTTCGTTTGTTTTATAAATCGAATTTCCAAATTTGTGGAAATTCCCAGTAAATTTAACCATTGGAACCATTCTTTATTGCTATTTATCGTGTTATATTAATAATATGTATATTTATCAAATTAGCCAGGGTGGGAGTTGGTGAGAGAAAGATAAAGAAAAATAAAATAAATAAGTATTATTTTTCTTAATTTTGATCAATTAAGTTAATAAATTAGGATGTAATTAAAGTCATAAAATTAATGGAAATATGTGTTCTTGCTAGGGCTATCTGATATCATAATGTGAAAACTCCATTAAATATTAATAGACTGTAACCAACTCCAGCAAACAACCACCAAAACATGTGCATGTTTGCTCCACTTGAAAGATGAAGACAAAATTTAAATCCATTGAAATAAATAAAAACAAAATAAAATGTAGAAAAAAGATAAGACAGACATAAATAGGGTTACGTATGTACGTGTGGGTGGTTTCAAGAATCTTACAGAAGCGTTCATGGAGTCTAGCCAACTCAAGCTCGCAAACAAACACAAATAAGACACACTGTAACAACCTACTTTAATGGCAGAAACTAATCGTTCTGTCTTTTCCTTTTTGTTTTTATAACAAGATAAACCAAATATGATTCATATATACAAAAGAAGATATATTATAAACTCTAATACCTTGTAAAATTTTGATTGATTAAATAAGAAATATATAGTTAGCACGCACGGGTTAGAGATAAGACAGGCATCTTAGAACATTAGTAGATAAGTTATAAAACATATATATATGCAACAAAATCATAACAAACATACAAAATTGTTAAAAAAAAAAGATTCGGATTCCTTAGGAGATTACTAATTAGTCTTAAATATTAGGCAGTTCTGACATTCATGGCGTAAAAAAGTTGACTGTTGCATCGAAATTCATATATAGAATAGAACTGCACCCAATTAAATTGGCTTTAATTGTTTGATGGTCCTCACTGCTAGCTAGCTATTACAATGGACCTTCACTTTGTAGTGATAGTGATAAAGTTGAAAGATTACTGTTTTGGCAGACAATGTTTGTCTAACTGTATCATGGATAGGGATTAAAAGTGACTCTGATGTAAGTTTCAAAATCCCTTGGAGAAAATGTTTGATTTGGATCTAAAATGAGAAAATAAATATGGGTTTTCGAATTCATCAAATATGGATTTTGTTTAACAGAAAGTACTATCAATTTCCTTAATTGTAATGAAGAACAAACCCAGAAAGAAAAAAGTCATCTTCTTCCCTGCCAGATCTGAGCTCTACTTGGTTACTATTGGTTTACTATTTTGGTCTAAGTCATTTATTTCATGCAAGTTCTTAGTCATGCCATTTTCATGATTACAATTCTGACTCCAAAGACCTAATTTTCTTTCAAGAAATCAAACTCAATTTGACAACTAAAAGATCAATTCTTTCTAGATGAACTATATATCTATGCCATGTCAAATCCAAAATAATGGTAAAAGAAGAAGAAGAAGAAGAAGAAAAAAAGAAAAGAAAGATATAGAAACATTGAATTATTAATAATTAGTAGGAAAGAAAGTATAAAAAAAGTAAAATTGACACGAACAACTCCTTCAGGAAAAAATATAATAGCACTGTGTTCAAGGCAAAAGGATAGATCTCAGAAGAGCCAAATAACCAAACAAAGCCATGATTTATTAACATCGCAAACCTGTTAATAAGATTCTCCTCATAAATTAATTAACCTTAACATAGAAAAGAAGAACACAACGGCCAAAATTTAATACTATGAAAAGAACCAAGTAAAAACGGCTAAAGAGAAAGAAATAAAAGAAAGAAAACAAAATAGCAATTAATCAATATAAACAATAGTATACCTCATCGTCTAGTGTTTTTCCATGATTAATCTCTAATGGGTTGACAAAATTGGATAGAATCAGGAAATTAGGGTTTATCCCGATTAGGGTTCTTATTTTCATGCTACCATTAACAGGTGAAACTGCCACATGATCTAATCCCTCCTCTCTGGATAGGGTAGGATCGATGAGTATTAAGGAAAGCTCAGATCATGCTGGCAGCTTCAACTACTAGAGGTACACGATGAGATTATCATGGGGACAGTAGCTCTACCCTATGAGAAACATGTTCTTCTTCATCTGCTCCTTTTCCATCTTTAAACTTTGAAGGCTTGATAGATAAGAAAGGATAGGAAGATATAAATAGAGAAGAATTCTAGAGGTAGAGGACTTCTATTTCTACTTTCTCCACCTATTTATTTATTTTATTTCTATTTATTAATTTTCTCATCAATTTTGTCTTATTATATATGACTAAGATTAATTGAATATATACCTAAAAATAGATGTTATTGCTTATTAATTAGTCAAGTGGAAATAGTAAAACTTTAATAAAGCTTAATTTCTACTCTCTTACTTTTTTTATTTACACATAAAAAGTTTGTAATATTTGAGCTCAATCCTATAAAAATTTCAGAACATGACATACTCTTTTATAAGAGTACCATAGCAATTATGTAAAGGCATGCTAATTTATATCGGGATTAATTTGCCTAGACCGGTTGAAAATAATGAAAAATAAATTTTAATTTAAACGAGAGTATTTTTAACAATTCACTAAAAAAAAGATAACGTGTGAATAATTTTAAAAAAATTTTTATTTTCATTGGTTTGGTTCATAAATAAATCCATAGACCGGATCTAGACAAATCTAATTAATTAATAAGTTTTGATTATAAAATAGTGGGATTTGAAATATGAAAATGAATGTAATTAGAGATTAGAAATAGGGGAATATAAAATTAGAAGGAGGATAGAAAAGTAAATAGAGATGATGGAAAGAAAGAAAAAGGTAAGGGAAATAAGAAGGTGGTCCCAAAAGGAATTGAATATAGTCACGCCTACGCCACCACATGCAGACAGGGGAGTGAGAGTTTCTAAAACTCTTAAGAGGCTTTTACTAATAACATAAGGTGTCTGTGGGTGTGTTGTTGTTGTTGTTGTAAGGTAAGCATCAAATTTCCAACGAAGAACCAAAAAGAGTATGAAACACAAACAACTAGCATCTGGGGACCACTTTGCATGGTTCCTTACATGTTGCATAAGGTTCACACAAAAAGCAAAATCAACCCAAAACCATTTTTTCTTTAACCCTCTCAAGTGGGGTTTGGTTTGGGTTAATTATATCCACTACTCTTTTATTTATTTATTTAATTAATTCACTAATACTCACTCTCTTTTAAGTCGGCCCATTAACGAATAAAGAACTTTCAATGAATATTTACATTTACTCGTCTTGACGCTCTTAATATCTTCGACACTCTTGTAATAGAATATTATATAATTTGCATTATCTACGATAGTTAGAATAATATGAAACCCGTATAAGACGGAAATATATATTAAAAATTATTAATTTCAAAAATAAACCTTGAGATCTCAGGGCATCACCCTTATTATACTATTTGGAATATGCATAATTTGCTAAACTCAAACATACCTAACTCCGGGACTGAGACTCGCTATTTATGATAATTTTAACTGATTAGATTAGTTTGTGAAGTGAAAATTGCAGATATGATTTTAAAACCTGGAGGAACCAATTGCGTGATAAGCCTGCAACAGACAGGCTCTGATTGGTGCCAGTTAAACGTCCAAAGCAATTATTAAAGACATTACCACGGATTAGGTGACATTTGGAACATTACTCTGTAAAGTGGTTTTTCTGACTTTGGAAAATTTTAAATTTTTAAAATTATTTTTTAATTTTTAATGCCATAAACTTTGCTTAAAGTTTCTTCTGATTTCGACCTTTCTGCCCTTCTGCTTTCCATTAATTAATTAATTAATTACTTTGCTTAGGAGCTTTAAGACAGCCTTTGTGTGGCCAATCACCTACATACATATAGCTCTTGTAATGGAAACATTCATCCCAACCCTAATTATTAATAATAAAATAATACTATTAATTAATTATTCTTTAAAAAAAATAAAGAAATAATATTCACAAAGTTTATGATATTTTGGATGAAACATAAACTAAAATGTTGGCTTTTTAGGCTTATAGCCGACCATTAATAGGGTTGGGTCATCACTCATAATTGGCAATGTTGCCATTTCACTAAAATAATGCTAATTAAAAATCTCAAATATATATTCATTCGTAAATAAGTTTTATTTCCTTTTTCTTTATTTAAAACTTTCCAATTCTTTTATTTTTTTTATTTTTTCTATTGTTGAATAATATATATTACATCAGTGCCATTCAAATGCTAATTTATTTACTACCTAACATTTATCATTGGATTAAAGCAGCAATTACTATATATTTTATATTTTCAGTTGAGTTAATTATTTGGGTGAAAGATAATGTAAATAATAATAATAAAAAAAAAGATGTAACAGTATCATTATGTGTGTGACCCAACAATCATTACAGTGGCAATAATAATATGTTTATATCAGTTTTTCTTTAATCATTTATGTAATTATCATTAGGCAATATATTTATATATGAAGGTAATGATTTTGACACTGTATAGCAATAATACTGTCCTTTATATTAATTTATTATATCAACTTTAGTGATCTCATAAAAAGAAATATATATATTTATCTATTTGTGCCAAAGCATGCATTATCTGGGCCTTCAATGAATCAGAATCCACTCTATTAATCAAATTTTGGATTAAAAAAAAATCAATAATGTAATCTAAAATACTGATTGTAAATATTATATTATTTTTTTAATTAAATTAAGCGGATTGCAGTCATAAAAATTTCAAATTAACTAAATAAAAAATTCAAATTATTTATTAACATAATTTAAGGTAATATATTTGAAAATATTAGTTTTGATTTTAATATGAAAATAGATTAATCCTAGTAATTGGGATTTAACTTTTAATAATAAAAATGAGCATTGATCTAACCCATTATGATTAATTGGGCTAAAATACATGTTCTACAAAATATTTATGCACAAGTCACTCGTCAACTCTTCTAGCCATGGCCCATGGGCTAGAACCAATTGGGCTTCCGCCTCCCTTGATTTGTTTCGGTCCGTGTTTACCTATTTCTGCATCAATAAATTCGTATCAAACGACAGCTCGTTGGCTCCAGTTTAGCCAATGAATTTTTTTTTTTTCAACTTTTAAATTTTATTTTACAATATTTATCAAAAAGTTAAAACACAATGCAATTTATAACAAATTACAAAATTTGCTACACTGACTAATCACAAAAGAAATACTATTTCTAACGGTGGAGTATAAATTTTCTAACATCAATGACACAAAAGTCAAGAAAATATAGTAAATCAAGTTGACTTTACACCTGACGACTGTCGTGTGATCATCATGTTCACTCGCTTTGCTTTATCCTCGGCTCCAGGATCACCGCTCACTATATAAGAGTTAGAGCTCACTGCCCGAGCAATTGATATTACTGTAGAAGCAGAGTAGAGTAAGATGACAGATCAAAAGCAGAGAGTTGTAGTTCCAAGAGTGAAACTTGGTAACCATGGATTTGAGGTAAATCCCATTTCACTTTCTTGCCATTCCATCTCTGCAATTACAAATTTCTTTATATACCCGTTTGCTTACTATTGATCAAGAAATTGTTTCCTTGTTCTTTATTCAAATTGTTAATTAAAAATCCTTTCTTTATGTTTGAATTATTGGGAATACGTGAAATATGATCTTTTTTTAATCTGTTCCTTGAAGTTCAATCCAGTGGAGTTAGCTATTAATGAAATAAATTTTTTTTTTAGCCAATAAAACAATAAGCATTTAGGAAGTTAGACAAAATGGGTGTTCTATTAATCTAACAAGGAAATAGGTAAAATATATTCATGCTAGAGAAGTTAAATTTGCACTATCTTCTCATTCATGTATGTATCCATTAACTTTCAGGTCTCAAAGTTAGGGCTTGGATGTATGGTGCTTAGTGGTGTTTACAATGCCCCTCTTCCTGAAGAGGCTGGCATTTCAATCATTAAGGAAGCTTTCGAAAGAGGAATTACATTTTTCGACACAGCTGATGTTTATGGACCTCACACTAATGAAGTCTTGGTTGGGAAGGTAAAAAGTCTTAAATATTCTGTTTAAAGATTTTGGCTGCTGGTTGCAAAATGCAAAGTAATAGTTGCTATAATGTGTAATTAATGCAAAAATTACATCTTTGTTTGGCTTCATCGAGATAGCCCTAATATTTTTCTTGTTGTTGGATGATAAAGTTCTTTCCCCTTGTTTTTTTTCTTCTCCTATATATACAGTTATCACGAAATTATTCATACTCATACAGATACAGGCAACTAGTTTTCTAATGCTAATGCGCATGCAATTGCTGAATGCTGAATGATAAAACCATATTGCGTTTTTTATTTTCGGATGGCTTTTGGTATCTGTTCATTAAATTTTAAGTCATGCTTTAGTTTCCAAAAAACTTGAGGATGAGAGCTTTCTATCAGTAGGCAAGGAAAGGTTTGCGAATTTGCTAAAACTTCTGAAATAGACATTAATTCAACGACGCAAGTTCTCTCATGGTTTTATTTGTGGCCTCTGAGAGAGAGAGAGAGAGAGAGAGATGAACAAAAAAATAATAATAATAATAATTGACTGAAAGAGCAGAGGTTCATTGTCATGTCATGTGATGAAAGCAACAACGTAAATGCGAGGCAGGCCTGTCTAGAAACACGGGAGACACAAAATAAGAAATATTTTGCTCCAGAGTGTTATTAATGTGAATCTGGTATACCATTAAATTTTACTTTCATTTATGTACTATTACAAGTCTAAACTCTACGATATTCATGAATTGCAGGCATTGAAACAACTGCCAAGAGAAAAGCTTCAGCTGGCTACAAAATTCGGTATTGTCCTCCAGAATACTGATTATAGAGGTGCTTCAATTAAAGGCAACCCTGAATACGTTCGTGCATGCTGTGAGGCTAGCCTTAAGCGTCTTGACGTGCAATATATTGATCTCTACTATCAGCATCGTATTGACACTTCAGTACCAATAGAGGAAACTGTATGACTACTGTTTTCCACCTTATTTTAGAAACACTTCAGATTGATGACATGTACACACTCTTTTGAAGGAAATTAGACAAATCTCCAGCCTTGTTAATTTCTGATCACATTAGTTTTTGGGTTTATAGATGGGAGAGCTTAGGAAGTTAGTGGAAGAAGGAAAAATTAAATACATTGGATTATCTGAAGCAAGTCCAGACACTATAAAGAGAGCACATGCAGTCCATCCGATTACTGCAGTGCAAATGGAATGGGCACTTTGGACTCGTGACATTGAAGAAGAAATAATCCCTCTCTGCAGGTATTACTACTCAAGTCATTTCCAAGTAAAATTTGATTATGTATATCGGAATGCTAGTCGGAATGTAAAAGAACCTTCTGTTCACTTTTAATGAGATAATATAATTGCCTGCATTGTTTTTTCCTCTTTCATTTTTTCTTTCTTTTTCAAAATCTAGCCACATTCTCTTCTATGTATGAGCACATTTGACTGTGAAAAACATGCAGGGAACTTGGAATTGCAGTCGTTGCATATAGTCCTCTAGGTCGGGGATTTTTTGGTGGCAAAGCAGTTGTGGAAAGTTTGCCTTCAGAGACCTCACTGGTACTTGTATTACTAACTTAGACTTTAAGTACCCCTGAAAATTGAACTTTACACTCAAATTTGTGTTGATACCTATTTTTTGTTGGATGTTTGAGTCATTGAGCGAATATGCTTAAATAACTGATATTGCATATTTGAGTGAATGTACTTGGTAACTGATCACCTGCATTGTCTTATTTCAGAAAAATCATCCTAGATTCACAGAAGAAAATATTGAAAAGAATAAGGTGTTTTATACTAGAACTGAAAAACTGGCGGAAAAATATGGATGTACTTCAGCTCAGCTTGCACTTGCATGGGTCCTCAATCAAGGAGATGATGCGGTTCCTATCCCTGGTGAGTCAGCTTCTTCTTTAGTTTATTTTTTTTTTTGGGCATTTGGATTTGAATTCAAATTTACATTAGCTGTATTCCGATAATCACACCTCCTTGAATTTCTTCAGGGACAACTAAGATTAAACATCTGGTTGATAATATTGAAGCATTGAGAATCAAGCTGACAAAAGATGAATTGAAGGAGATCTCTGATGCAGTCCCTGTCGATGAAGTAGCTGGAGATCGATCTTTTAATTTCAAGCAGACCTTTAAATTTGCTGATACACCACTGCCTAAAACTGCTTGAGCTGCAACCTCATAAGTCATAAGTATGTGGAAGCAAAGTTAATGCAACTGCAGTTCACATGTAAACTGCTTCGAATAGCAGACTCTATTGTTGCTGGGTTTGTTAGTAGTTGTTTTCTTTTAGTCTTATTAAATGAATGTCCTGTATTTACTTCCCAATGTACCAGAAAAGAAAAAGCTGAATTCAGGGATACTATTCCTCTTAAGCAGATATATAATATTTTGAATAATGCAGCTTTCACCGATAATTTCTTCATCTCAATATTACATACTGCATGCCGATTTTGTCATTGGTGCAAACGACAGATCCTATACACCAAGAACCAATCCGCACGGATTTATATTCTATTCCAGCCAAAGGAAAGGTTGCATTTTTAGGGTAAAATCTATGGAGTTATGCATGGACCAAAACCAAGTATCTTCTTGAATCTTGTCAGGTTTCAAATCTTTTGACACCACCACCCAAATCACAACATCAAAATTATGGGTTGTACTAGCAAACCTGTTGTTGATTTGGTTTAAGAGAGTAGTTTTGCCAACAGCCCCCATACCATATATGCCAACAGTGCCCAGTTGTTCATCTTGTGTGAGCCATCTCCAAACATCATCTAACATCGTTTCCATGCCAACTGTTGGTTTATCATTTCTTTCAACTACTGGTTCTGGAAGTACCCTCTCAACCACTTCTTTGAATTCTCCTTTATCTCTTAGAGCAACTGCATCTTCTAAAATGTTAGCCACCTTCCGTACAAATTCATAGTTGGAAAGGTCTTTACAACGCAATTTCTCAATTTCTTGTGGACCATCTCTTACCAGCTCCTCTACTCCAGTCACTATTGATGGGAGCGGGTATAAAGCGGAAACAATCCTCGTCGAAACCATATGAGGCAAACTAAAAACATTATCGAACAAATCAATAAACTGACCTCTTGAAGCGCAGAATCGCTCACCGGTCTTCTTTCTAGAGATCTTGGAGAGTCACTCACTGATCTTCTGCAGTAATCCCAACTAACCACGCGCGTCTCTCATTCTTAGGGTTTTTCCATCTTACATTAAAAAGACGTCTCTTCGATAGGAAGATATTTTTTTACAATATAAATAAATTAAATAAAAAATTATTTATATTAAAATATTATCAATCATTTTAAAATTAAATAAATATCTATTTAATTAATACCCTCTTAATTTCCAATTCATTAGGGCATCTACAGGGACCTGCAGGATATAAAATAAATCAAGGCTACTAAATTTAATAAGTAACCTATGTAGGACGCACCATATTCTTATTAGTAATTAACATTGAATTCATCACTAAAAACTCATGACTGAACTGCCTTATTTATTTTTACACATTCCACACATATAAAAGATATATGTTCCCCGCACGTTAAGATGCTGTCATTTAAATAACTTACTGACAATTTATTTAAATCACAATATAACTTTAAGATTGTCGCTCAACTTATTTCATTATTTCATGTGTCGGATTCAAAATCCACCTGCAGGGTTTACACTATGAAACCTTATAAGCTTACTTAAAGTGCATCATCAATCTCTAAACCGAGACATTGATTCTATCATTAATTAATATTTCACAAACACAAAAAGCTTTGCCCAATTCACCGAGAATATTATTCCAATAATGAAACTCATCCTTTAATGAATCAAAGCATAAGACAATCAATGTTTGCTCATATTAAAATAAATCAAGATTAAGAACAATAAACATTATTTCTAATGTCTTAGAGAATATGTTTAACAGTCATTACTAATTTAAGCAGTCAGTCTTAAACATGCATTCTCTACTGGTCCAATTAAATACATACAAATGTACTTAATTCTACCAATTATTGTTCATTATCTAATAATTTATTTAAAGGCAAATTTAAATTTCCAATTAAATACAAAGAAATAATTGTCAATAGAAAATCATTCATAGCTATACTATTACATATGCATGGTTAATAGTATATCTCTATCACTAAGGATCACATAATTACATTTTAAACTTCTCTAATCTTGTACGTGTGACGTATGATCATTCGTCATTAACATTAGTCACAGAGAAGAAAAGAAAATCCAGTAATTGAATTTGAATGTATGCCTGACGTGTGATCATGCGTCAGTGGCCTCGGTTTTTTTTATTCTCAACTCCAGGATCACCTCAGCTCACTATATAATACTTAGAGCTAAAGCAAATTGATAGAATTGTAGAAGCAGAGTAGAGAAAGATGGCAGATCAAAAGTGGAGAGCTGTAGTTCCAAGAGTGAAACTGGGTAAACATGGATTTGAGGTAACATTTTCTTACCATTCCATATTTGCAATTACAAATTCCTCCATATACCCATTTGCTTACTGTTGATCAAGAAAATGTTTCTTTATTCTTTTTTTCGAAGTGTTAATTAAAAACCCTTTCTTTATGTTTGAATTATTTGAGAATATGTCAAAGAATATTCTTCTTTTATCCGTTCTCTGTGTTTCAACAAAATTTGTATTTGCTCTAATCAATATGCAGTAGTTTAATCCAGTGGATTAATTAATATTAATTAGAAATCTTTTGTCCAATAAAACAATAAACATTTAAGGAGTGAGAAAAAAAAAAAGGGTTTTCTATTAATTTTATAGAGGAAAGAGATAAATTGTATACATGCTGGAGGTATCTTCTAACTCATCCATCTACTCATCGTCTTTCAGGTCTCAAAGTTAGGGTTTGGATGTATGGGGCTTTCTGGTGGTTATAATGCCCCTATTCCTGAAGAGGCCGGAATTTCAATCATCAAGGAAGCTTTCGAAAGGGGAATTACATTTTTCGACACAGCTGATGTTTATGGCCCTCACACTAATGAAGTCTTGGTTGGGAAGGTAAAATTATTAGAATATTCTGCTTAAAGATTTTGGCTGGTTGCAAAGGTATAATTGCCATAATGTATAATAATTGCAAAATTCAATCTTTTGCTTGGCCTCATCGAGTCTGGAATATTTTTCTTGTTGTTTCATGATAAACTTTTTTGGCCCTTCAAGTTCTTGTTCTTTTATATATACTTATCATGAAATTATTCATACTCATTAACTCATACAGATACAGGCAATAAAAATCTGAACTCCACAATACTCGTATATTGCAGGCACTGAAACAATTGCCTAGAGAAAAGATCCAGCTGGCTTCAAAATTCGGTGTTGTTCTTCAGAATTCTGATTATAGAGGTGCTTCAGTTAAAGGCAATCCTGAATATGTTCGTGCATGCTGTGAGGCTAGCCTTAAGCGTCTTGACGTGGAATATATTGATCTCTACTATCAGCATCGTATCGACACTTCAGTATCAATAGAGGAAACTGTATGACTACTGTTTTTTACCTTATTTTATAAACACTTCAGATTGACGACATGCACCCTCTCTTTCGAAGGAAGTTATATGATCTCCAGGCTTGTTAATTTCTGATTTTCGGGTTTATAGATGGGAGAGCTTAAGAAGTTAGTGGAAGAAGGAAAAATTAAATACATTGGATTATCTGAAGCAAGTCCAGACACTATAAAGAGAGCACATGCAGTCCATCCGATTACTGCTGTGCAAATGGAATGGTCACTTTGGACTCGTGACATTGAAGAAGAAATAATTCCCCTTTGCAGGTATTTCAACTTCTGTGATTTCCAGTTAGATTTTCGAATGTAAAAAGATCTCCTATTGATTTCCCCTGAAATGATCTAATTGCCTCCATTTTTCTTTTGAAAATCTAGCAGCATTCTCTTTTATGTATGAGGGCATTTGACTGAGCAAAAAATGCAGGGAACTTGGAATTGGAGTCGTTCCATATAGCCCTCTAGGTCGAGGTTTTTTTGGTGGCAGAGCAGTTGTGGAAAGTTTGCCTTCAGAGACCAGACTGGTACTTATATTACTAACATAAACTGTTAATTCTTGAATACTACTAAAATTGAACTTTACACTCAAATTTTGTGTTAATACCTATTTCTTGTCGCATATTTGAGTGAATATGCTTAGTAACTGATATACTGATATTGCATATGACCTGCACTGTCTTATTTTAGAAAAATCATCCAAGGTTCACAGAAGAAAATATTGAAAAGAACAAGGTGTTCTATACTCGAATTGAAAATTTGGCGAAAAAGTATGGATGTACTCCAGCTCAGCTGGCCCTTGCATGGGTTCTCAATCAAGGGGATGATGTGGTTCCCATCCCAGGTGAGTGAGCTTCTTCTTTAGGTTCTATTTGCTGGGCACTTGGATATGAATTCAAGTGTACCTTAATTCTGGTTTGGTAATCTCCTTGAATTTCTTTAGGGACAACTAAGGTTAAAAATCTGGTTGACAATATGGAAGCATTGAGAATCAAGCTGACAAAAGATGAATTGAAGGAGATCTCTGATGCAGTCCCTATCAATGAAGTAGCTGGGAATCGAGCTTACAATGTCCATCATACCTTTAAGTTTGCTGATACACCCCTACCTAAAAATGCTCAACCAGCAACCTCTTAAGCTGTGGGAGCAAAGATAATGCAACTGCATACTATATTGGATAGCAGATTCTGTTGTTGGGTTTTTTAGGAATTCTTTCTTCTTAGTCTTATGGAATAAATGTCTTATGTTGCTTTCCAATGTACCAAAAAAACGAAAAAAAAGATCAATTATATGATTATATTACCACACACAGAAAATTAAACAATTTTTCAATTAAAGTGTTTTATCTCTTGGAATTTATGGCTGTATTTCCTTGGTCTCTATTTTTGTAAAAATATTATAGCTTTCAGCTATAGTTTCTTCATCCCAATTTCCCAGACTGCTTGCTGTTTTTGTCATCTGTGCAAACGACAAGATCCTACGCATGGGGAATTTATCTTGTGTTCCGGCCAAAGAAAAGGTTGCATTTCAGTTACAACATAAAAACGACAGAACTGAATAAATAAATAATAAAATTATAAAAGATCCACGTCTTGTGGAGCGTCAATTTTTTCTGTGCATTCTTATAATATTATTACCGTATTTTGCCACTACAGCACCAGTGGTCTAGTGGTAGAATAGTACCCTGCCACGGTACAGACCCGGGTTCGATTCCCGGCTGGTGCAAGATTTTTGCTTTTCATTGTTGTTAGTCAGGGTCAATGGTGTCTCACATTCACCTACCCCAGTTGGAATCGACCCACCAAGATGTCTCACATTCTCACTCCCACCAACCTCAGTTTGCTTTTCATTGTTGTTAGTCAGGGTCAATGGTGTCTCACATTCACCTACCCCAGTTGGAATCGACCCACCAAGATGTCTCACATTCTCACTCCCACCAACCTCAGTTTGCTTTTCATTGTTGTTAGTCAGGGTCAATGGTGTCTCACATTCACCTACCCCAGTTGGAATCGACCCACCAAGATGTCTCACATTCTCACTCCCACCAACCTCAGTTTGCTTTTCATTGTTGTTAGTCAGGGTCAATGGTGTCTCACATTCACCTACCCCAGTTGGAATCGACCCACCAAGATGTCTCACATTCTCACTCCCACCAACCTCAGTTTGCTCCCACCAACCTCAGTTTGCTTTTCATTGTTGTTAGTCAGGGTCAATGGTGTCTCACATTCACCTACCCCAGTTGGAATCGACCCACCAAGATGTCTCACATTCTCACTCCCACCAACCTCAGTTTGAACCAAATCACTATTCGAACCGAAAAGAACGGGGAACATTTTGCAAAGAACATTACAGCAAAGGAATGGCGGAGAAAGACGATGTCCAAATTCCAAGGGTGAAACTGGGTAGCCAAGGACTTGAGGTACGTTTCTCTTAAATCCAATTTATCTTTTTGGATAAAACATGAGTCTTTGAAAAATAACTAAACGAGTCTTTGCTTTAAGGATACGTATGTATCTTATCTTAGTCTAGCATTTTTAATTGAACTGGTGTATACACTATAGATAACTGTAAAAACAAACCCTAATACTTACTTCTACGTGTCTCTTTATTGTCTGTGTTAACTATTGATTTTCCTTAATGGGATCTTCTTGATTGATTTGTAAATTAAAGCATGGCCATTTCAATTGTGATGGATTTGATCTAAATGATTTTTTTTTTTTTTTTAATTCCTAAGTACTAGGTATCAGTATTTTGTGGGGGGAAGATGTTGAATATGAAATTTGTGATCTGAGTAGTTTCTGATGTAACTTCAAAATTATTATATCATGAACTTTATTAGTCTTTTCCTCAAGAATAAAAAAGCTGCTTGGGCTTTCAAGTTCTTAATTTTAGTCTTCTTCCTAAATAAAGAACTAATATTAGGCAATATTTTGTTTTTTCTGCATTTCTCCTGATTTTGTAACATTTATAGATTTCAAAGCTAGGGTTTGGATGTATGGGACTAACTGGAGCCTACAATTCTCCAGTCTCAGATGAGGATGGAATCTCAATATTGAAGGATGCATTCAATAAAGGAATCACATTTTTTGATACAGCAGATTTATATGGAACTGGCGCCAATGAAATTCTGGTTGGAAAGGTACATGTAGTTTATCAGATTACTGAGCCATTCTAGCTCTTAAAATCAGATTATGGACTTGTCTTTATGATGATGAATTAAGTTCCTTGCTATATATATATATACACACTTTTCAGGCCTTGAAGCAATTACCAAGAGAAAGAATTCAGTTAGCCACCAAGTTTGGTATTGTTAAATTTGAACCCACTCGTATTATAGTGAATGGTAATCCTGAATATGCACGCGCATGTTGTGAAGCTAGTTTGAAGCGCCTAGGTGTAGATTACATTGATCTGTACTATCAACATCGAGTAGACACGTCTGTACTCATTGAAGATACTGTAAGTGAACATATGCAATGTGGTAGTAAATATTTACATTTCTTGCATGTTTGTTATATATTATTGTTTCTTGATAGTAGAATCCAGTTTGCAGCATTAGGACTTTCTTTTTTTGAGCACAGATGAGTGAACTTAAAAAACTGGTGGAAGAGGGAAAAATCAATTACATTGGGCTATCTGAAGCCAGTCCGGACACAATAAGGAGGGCACATGCTGTTCATCCCATCACAGCAGTGCAAATCGAGTGGAGCCTTTGGACTCGTGATGTTGAGGAAGAGATTATTCCACTTTGCAGGTTTGAATCACGTCAAGTTCTCAATTAATTGCTCCACTAAGTCCTCCCATTTTTAAGAAAAGCTTTGGAGAATTATAACAATATGCATTCTGATATTGGATGAACTTGGTGGTCGAATAATTTTTTTTTTTTCAGAATCATAAGAATGTTTTCCTGATGCATTTAAGTTTGCAGGGAGCTTGGCATTGGAATTGTTCCATACAGTCCCCTTGGTCATGGTTTTTTTGCTGGTAAAGCAATTGTGGAAAATTTGCCTGCAAATAGTTTGTTGGTATGAGTTCTAACACTGTAAAAGTTACTATATGTTAATCCTTAAGAATTCTCTATGTTGGTAGCTATTGAAGAAAATTCTCTTCAGCCCTTTATTTGAATGTTGATCATGCTTTGCTTTTTTAATACAGCCTTTACATAATTGGAGGGTTTTCAAACTTCTTTTCTTTCACCCTTCTTTTCTGTTTGAGAAGAGAAACCATTTCATTTTCACTTTACTGTTGCTTTTGTAAGGTCACACATCCTAGGTTTCGAGCAGAGAACTTGGAAAAAAACAGTAAGATATACAATCGACTGGAAAACCTCGCTAAGAAGCACCAATGCTCTCTTTCTCAGTTAGCATTGGCTTGGCTTCTCCAACAAGGGGATGGTGTTGTGCCTATTCCAGGTCAGTCATTTTCTTTTTCCTCTGCCTCAGTTTAAGTAACTTAAAATTTTCTATAGCAATAGTTGGAAAATAAAATGCAAATAACTCTCTTTGTTCAGAAATTCCAGTAAAAATTCTTAAATATAGAAGATTAAGACATCAATGCAATATTCTTACAGTTCATTTGCTTTAAATCGTTGAAGGAACCACAAAGATAAAAAACTTGGTTGAGAACATCGGCTCCTTGAAGGTGAAACTTACAGAAGAAGAGCTGCAAGAAATAGCTGCTGCTGTACCCGTCGAAGAGGTTGCTGGTGATAGAACATACGAAAGCATGAGTAATGTGACATGGAGGTTCGCAAACACGCCCCCAAAAGGAAGCAAAGCTTCAAATTAAAACATTCATTCATCAATGTTGCTTTCTAGAATTGAGCGTGCAACTATATGTATTGCGAATTGCAGAAGTGTGAGTTGGTGAACTAAATAAAATAATTTGTGATATGTTACCACTCTATTTGCTTAATATTGTGCTTGATCAATTCCTTTCTTTTCCATTGAATTTTGGAAAGAAAATATAAACATTTCAATCTCATGAATTGCAATAAGAAAATATAAACCTAATTTTTGTATCAGAATATAAAAGTGGTCAATTAAGTTTGAAGAAATTCAGATTCCTCGACTCTTTTTATTGCATATCCAAAGTATTTATTCTAAATCATCAGGAGGGTTATTTCATTTGGCATTCCTCAACTTATCATTAATCTACTTTGTCAATCTTCAACTTCAATTTTTCAATTTGTAACACAAAAATAATTCAGCTTCAAATTTATTCCTCTCAAACTAGCAATGCGACGACGCATTGCAAACACAAAGCTCTGATGGTTTTATAATCTCAATGTTCTCGTAATTAATGAATTTTTATGCATTATCTGTAGCTCGAAGACTTTAGTTGGATGTTTTTCCAAAAATAAATTAATTAAAATGATTCGCACTTTTTTTTTTTTTTTTTTTTTTAATGAATTTTTTATGCAATTACTCTGTAGGCTCGAAGACTTTTAGGTTGGGATGTTTTTTCCAAAAATAAATTAAATTAAAATGATTCGCACTTTTTTTTTTTTTTTTTTTTTCTTTGGCGTTTAACATTTCTTAAGTGTAAAAATAGAGTTTGAAAGGAATGTTTTTTTTTTTTTTTTTTTTTTTGCGTTAATTTCTTCGTGTAAAATAGAGTTTGAAAGGAATTAAACGCGGTCGTCGACCGGTCAAACATTTTGGACAGATCTTTAAACGAGCATCATTCCTGAAAGTAACTAGTTCAAACGACCAGTTGGCCCAGTGCAATCGGGAAATGATTAAACCCCGGTAATCTAACGACTAGACAAGCAGTACCGTCGCCGTCGTCGTATCTAATTCATAGTTTGTATGGTATGTAGTTTTACGATAAGAATATCACAAGAAAAGAATTTTGTTTTTGAACGCGTTTCGTGTCGTCGTTTTACATTTCTCGTTCCCACTACTAAAGCATACTGGTGCAGAGACGGAGAAAGAAGACCGGAGTCAGAGGGCAAAGATGGTAGCTCGAAAATTCCTTGTTCGTTGCAGTGACTCCACCTTTGACGTCGATTACGACACCGATGATGGCGTCGAAGTCTTTCTCTTTCTCTAATAAATTTTCTCGTTCTCTATATATAATCTTCCTTGAATTACCTTATTTTTTTCTTTCTCCTAAGTTGCCATTTGATTGATTTTAGGTTTTCAAATTCCAACTTTTTTCGCTCACTTCAATTCCTCCTGATGAGCAGAAGGTTTCTTTTTTCCTCCCTTGGAATTCGTTCCTTCTATGTGAAATTGCAATGGTATAGATATTTGTTTTATTGTTGATAGTGAGAATCGTGTCTCTATTTAGATTATTGGAGGAGATGATGATCGTGTCGTCTCTGACGACTCTGATCTTGTCGCAATCCCTAACGAGCTCAAATTGGTATCCATCAGCGATGAGGACAAGAACAAGGTTCATGAATCAACGAGTAATGCTGGTGCTGTAGTGCAGGATAATGTCAATTCATTGATATCTGACGAGGAATTTGCGCGAAGACTGCAGGTCGTTTGGACAATTTGATCTGTTCATATTTAGTGTATTACTCGTTTTGGTTTCTGAGACTGTGGAATGTAATGTATTTGTTTCTTTGCTTTTAGGCAGAGGAAGAGGCGTTGATGTTGCAGGAGTTTGCTGTTAGTGATCAAAGCCGACAGTTTGAGCAGAGAATAAGGCCTTATGTTAGTCAAGTTTTAATGGTAATTGTAAATTTCCTTCTTTCTTTTTTCTTTCTTTTTTTGGCCCTTCTTGTATGATACCGTGTGATAATTTGATGCCTGCATTCCCAATATGTTCTGTTAACTCGTTTAGTTACTGGGAAATACGGAACTTTTTGTCTTTAATTTATTCTTAGGTTGGGTTCAAGAAGATAGTGAATTAAATTTACTTGTCTTCTCTTTAGAGTTGAGGGTTTTTTTTTTTTTTATTAGAGGGTGATGTTTCATCTGAGTACTTGGCTTACTGTTGCTGCAGTATGAGGACCCTCTGCGCCAGGAGGCAGCACGAAAAACAGTTCCTGTGGAAGAGCTTGAAGAGAAAGCAGTGGTTTCTTTGGCCAAGGTAAGATCTTTTTTTTTCTTGTATAAGAAAGGGTCCTTATCTGTCAAAATGACCTGCAATTTTGTCACAATTATTTGAATAGCAAAATGCTGCTTTGGTTCCTGAGCTCAAGCTAGTTTTAACTTTTCTAAGTTCTATGAATCTTGTCTTGAGAGTTTCTTCTACTAATATCCCTTGTTAGTTCGAAATTTTGACATATTTTTTAGGAGGAGAATTTTAAAGCATCAAAAATCGAACAAGACCATGCTTTCCTCCTGCAGCTGCTTTTCTGGTTCAAAGGATTTTTCAGGTGTTTTTCATTACTTGCTTAATGTTGGACTTCCCCTTACATATAATAAAACATTGGTTAATGAATAGCAGTGTGACCTACATAAAAACTTACAGAGGTAGTAATTGCCCTGGTGCAAAGCTTTGATTTCTTTAAGTTTTTGGTTCCATATGCATATGATGCAAATGCATATCTGTGCTTTTACATGCACAAAAGCCATAAGGGCACTTACCAAGTTTTCAAGAACAATTTCATACTCTACTGCAGAATGAGATTTTTTGTTCAATTGAAATTTCTGATGGTTTTCCATGACCTAGCTGTAGATAATTTTAATTAATTTATGTACCAGATTGCTGACAGTCTTTTTCTTTTATCTGTGGCTATCATTTTCTGATACTGTAGGTGGGTTAATGCACCTCCTTGTGATGGTTGTGGCAATAACACCATTAATCAAGGAATGGGTGTTGCCCTCCCTTCTGAAAGTCAATATGGAGCAACTCGAGTTGAGCTTTATCGGTATGTGTCTGGGGCGGATTTGTTCCTAATTGCTCAGTTTTTTCTTTCCTTTTTTATTTTAGAATGTAAATATGCAGTCCTTTCTACTGTTTCTTCATGGTTATTTTGGATGTCTTTATTTATTCGGTTCTTGTTTCTAGTCACTCCATGGTCCATAATGCAACCATACAATATACCAAGTAAGTTTCTTATGTGCTACCATTCTAAGGGACATTTAATGATCTTTTCAAAGAGCATAGCTTGTGATAGTGTGTATTTAGAATACAGCATAGCTGTGTTTATATTTACACCAGTTTGAAGAACTCTTTTTTTTAGACATGGAAAACAAGTCTTGTGAGCTAAGCTTCACCTATATGAAGATAATGAGAAGTTTTATATAGGCAGATACTTTTGGATGATATAGATCCATTTGTTTATGGAAAATAACTTATTTCTAAAGAAAAATGTTTCCATTGAAAATATTTTTCAAATAACTTGTTTTTTATTGTTTGGTTGCAGTATTAAAATTAATTTTAAAAAATAAAAATCTTAATTTATAATGTTATAAAAGTATTTTAAATTATAAAAACTTTATATTTTGAAAATTTTTATTGTTAATATGAGAAAAAATTATGATATTTGCTGATGACTGGTGGTGGCCGTCGGCTGGTGTTTATTAGCGGTGGTCAGTAATAATGACTATTGGTAAATGATTTATTAATAATTTAATAAATATTTTTTTTGTTATAAATAAGTCTGCCAATGTTCGGAAAACCTCTTCTTCTCTTAAAAAGGGTCACCTTAGAAATGGCTTAGTTTTCCCTGAGTGGGAAAATGTTTTACTTTGACTGATTTTTCTTATTGCTCCGCACATTAGAAAATGTGAAAAATGTCTTCCACATTTTATCTCCGGAAGCAAATGGAACCTTACTGTGTTCTACTTTGAGCCTTATGCTAGCATTCTTATTTGGTTTGCAGGTAATTGATTTGTCAGATAGGGAAATCAATTACCAGAAATTGTTTCCTTCTTTGGTATCTGACCACAGACATGATTGTTTTCATACACAAAGCTCTCACATTTGTTTTTTCTTTCCCTCCCACCATTGGGCTTCAGCTGCAATTCTTGTTCAAGGGTTACTCGGTTCCCACGGTACAATGATCCATTAAAGGTATTTATTTTTTTTCATATAAGCTGGTTGAGAAGTTTATATTTCTGAAGCTCCTCGCTTATTTTCTTTTTTCCCTTTTCTATATGCAGCTTGTGGAAACTCGAAGGGGTCGCTGTGGGGAGTGGGCCAATTGCTTTACACTTTACTGTCGAGCTTTTGGCTATGAATCTCGTCTGGTTAGTCTGTTTCTGGATCCACTGAATACAATAGATCATGCTCCAACCATTTTGGTCATTCAGGGAATACTGGATACAGTGATACCGGACAATATTGGTTTTGTGCAGAGTAGTATTTATATGCTTTGGTGTTACCTTCACACTTGAGAACTTGTTATTGATTGAAGACAATGCAATCATTTTCTAATTCATATTTCGTTTCCAGATCCTGGATTTCACTGATCATGTTTGGACAGAGTGCTTCTCTCCATATTTGGGAAGGTATGCTGCATTAAAAAATTCAAGCATTTTACTTTTTTCCAAGAAAATAAAATGCATTTGGAAATTGTAGTTAAGCCAAACTACACTATTGGTAATGTCAACCATCAGTTACATCTGTTCTGACATTTTGGACAGATGGATGCATCTCGACCCATGTGAAGCAGTATATGACAAACCATTGTTATATGAAAAGGGGTACTTTGACTTCTACCCAATATATATTTGCTGAACCTTTTTTTTTCCTGTTCTGTGGTCCTGCTTCTGTGAAAGCTGAAATTTATGCTTTCCTGGTAGGTGGGGTAAGAAATTGAATTATGTCATTGCAATAGCAAAAGATGGAGTTCATGATGTCACTAAACGTTACACAAGGAAGTGGCTTGAGGTAATGATACAAGAATGGCTTCCTTTAAAGAATGTTTACTCTTTTCAAGCACAGTTATGCGTTCATATGTTGACTTATGAGTAAAAGGTTTTTTTTTTTTTTTTTTCTTTCTCAATTTGGAGGTTTTGTCCCGACGAAACATTATCACAGAACCACTTTTGTCAGTTGCTCTCACTAATATGACAAAAGACTGCAGAAGAAACTTGACATCCCAAGTTCTTTCCTTGCTTGAAGACCGTGACAAAAATGAATCAGAAGAACTCGAGAGGCTTTTGCATTCGGTAGATGATGATGCAGTCTCATTGCCTGGAAGGCAAAGTGGGGACAAAGAATGGCGCATTTTAAGATCAGAAATTGGTTCAAATGAAGATTACTCTTTCAGTTGTTCTACTTGCGCTGTTCGTTTATGTGTAGATGTACATGTGACGAGGATTTACAATGCATTTTCCCCTGTTCTTTCGCAGTTTGTTGAGAACTCTCTTTCTAAATCTAGAGCTGTTGAAATACTGAAGATCTTTAAGGGTATTTTGGTGGATCTTCGAAATTCCCCCTATAAAACAAGGAGGACTTCCATAAATCCTTTTGTACTTCATTTCCTGCCTTACTTTGATGAGTTACTTAATGCCCTTTCACTGAAGAGTGAGATTGACTCTGATGAAAAAGTAAATGTATGTTTAGCGGGTGATCCTGTTAAAACATCTTTAGCACTGCCTGTTGCATTGGATGCTTTGGATGATATGATCTTCAGTCTTAACAAATGTGATTGCTTAAATAAAGCTTTACTTTCCTCGCCATTGATGAGATTGAACAGAATCCATTCTGGTTCAGTTTTTGCAAGTGGTGAGGAACTTCCTTTTGGAATTGTGAGTAGTATTATTTGTTTTTGTGCTTCGTCAATTTTCTGTTATGGAACATGGAACATGTGCCTAAAGAGTCATTTATGATTCCATTTTCAATAAATATCAGGCGACATCAGCATTTGATGGACTTCGTACTACTAAATGGGAAGAACCAAATGGTGCAAAAGGTATTGCAATAAAAGTTTTAACATTTTCTGGATTACGGGCACATTGTAATGCTGACAATTGAAATTTTCCATCTGTAAAACAATTGAGTTGAGTAATCTTTCATTTTGTAAAATTTGATTACGTTTGCTGAAACATAGAGATTGCATGATGCTTGAATTTTTTTTGTTAATTCTGATTTTCTGCTTTGTAATAATTCAATTACATCTTGCAGGTGGTTGGATCGTTTATAAACTTCCAGACAACCAAATGCATGAACTGGTGGCATATGATTTAATGTCAGCCAATGATGCCCCGGAGAGGGATCCAATGGATTGGTATGAAACTTAGAATATATGCCTGGATTTATTTTGCATTTGGCAGCCTTTATGTGAATGGATTTCTTCTGCATTTGTCCAATGCTGCTGCTGCTTTCCTCTGAATGCCTACACAGATTATTTGCACTAATGAGTTTGACATTGAATTTGAATTTGATTATTTCTCAGGCTTGTCGAGGGAACCAATGATGGGGGATCCAGTTGGCTTGTCTTGGATAAACAGACTTCTCAGGTGTTTGACAATCGTTTTCAGCGGAGATCTTTCAAAATCAGATCGGAAGGTTTCCTATGTAATACTTTTAGGTAATTCTTCTTTTATTCAAAGATTCTGGTCATTTTGCTCTTTTTATGTTGTAGTTCATGACCTGTATTTTGAGTTATAAAATGGCAGGTTCAGATTTCTGGCAGTCAGAGATGTTCAATCAACTTCACGGCTGCAGTTGGGTAGCATTGACCTATATGCAAAAGCAAGAGCAAGTAATTCATAATGATCAACCTCACTGAATAATTACTGACAAACAAAGTACAAAATCAGCATTTCGGTTGGTCTTGCATTTATTGCAACACTGCATGGCCTCGGACCAGAATATGGCCTCCTCTGTCTGGATTGTTTGTTGTCCCTTATTTAACAAAATAATTTTTTCTGAATATCTTGTCATAGTCCTAAACAAACAATGAAACAGACTTGTGTAAAACACTTGCTACATTAGAATTGTGTGTAATAATTTATCTTCGATGCAGAGTATTTATTTCAATATGAAAGAGACGTGTAAACACTACTCCTTTGGAATTGTGTAATGATTATTTTCTGTTTAGAAACTTTTTATTTCAATAAGATGGATGAAGCAGGAAAAAACTATTTTGCTACTGTTGCACTGAATTGAACACCGGAAACTGTAGTAAAATGCTCATACTTTTGTCCAACAGGATCATGTGGGATCATAAAGGATTTCATTTATCCATATTGATCAACGAAAGATTGTTAAAAATATTAGCGAATGAGTTTGCCAATTTGATCCATTCGTAAAACTGGACAAAATAGCGCAACATGAATGTAACTAAAAGGACATGGTTATATATGCAATCATCAAGGGAAATCTTGCTTAAAAACACCACAGAATTCTAGGAATTTTGCAGATTTCGAGGATGAGAGATTGAAACAAACAGCCATAAAACTTTCGTGCACCAAACTGTTAGATGTTTGTATAACTGTTTGAAAATTAGAAAAACACAAATAAGGAGATTAACAGTGGCTCCAAGTAAATTCAACCCTCTCCTTCACTATTAATGATCCTCAATCTTCTTCAAGCCCTTCATGTCAGTTGTTTCCACACTGCAATAAGAAAATAATCAGCAAACTGATGCAGGATTTCCGGAGCAACTAACTTTAATAACAAGAGAATGGGGAAAGAAAAAGCAAACTGCATCTCCGAAATACAGAATACTGTAAATTTGTAACATTTGCTTTTCCTTAAAGAAGTGAATTCTCTTCTATGTTTATTGAGAACAAAAAGCTAAACAAATTTAACTTTTGGATAGTCTGACTAGTTATTAAAATTTACAGGTTTTTACAACCTAATAATCAAATATGGGTATCTACTCCCAAAACGTATAAAAGAGAATCACTACGAAAGAATAAGGTAATGACATCGATTCACTAGATAGAAACTCAAAGGATACGTGGTAAAGATATCATATGAGTAAAGTGAGACACTTGTAATAACAAGGGAAGGGAAGGTACAACAAAGTTCAATGAGCATTCAAACTTACGTAGTTCCAAACAGAGCGATCTTTTGGACTTTGGTGATGTCAGAACCAGACTGATTATCCTCGATGAATATTGTCAAGCTGATTAAAAAAATTAAGTAAATTTAGATGCTTGCTGATAGAAGATGTCCTCATAAGAACAAATTCAAGTACAATACAAGAACTTGCCATACCTGCGAACATTCTGAAATTTGACATACTTCAAGACTACAGGTTTTCCCTACAGTGAGGTAAATGACAACAAATGGTAACATATAAGATTCTTTAAAATAATTTCTAAAAGAACAACATCAGCATCGCAGTAGCAGGCGAAGAAAACAAACACATACCTTAAGATTATCTGGGGATAAAATTGCAGTGTCACTAGGTGGGAAGTCGCTGACATTACTGCCATATCACATCATGCAAAAGATTAGTGAGCTTTGCTCTTTTCCGTTTCTGCTGCACTTTTTGTCAATACTAATTAGTTAAAGGCTTAAAGCAGGTGCTGAATAATACCTAAATCCCATATGCTCCTTGTTTGAGAAAAGTTTTACAGTCTTAGGACCTGTAGAGACAACCATCTCATTAGAACCTTTCTGGTTTATAATACAAAGTGGAATAATAGATTAAACCTAGGAAATACTAACTGATATAATAAATAGATGATGCTGAAAAAAAAAAAAGAAATGGAAGGGTTTAGCTTAATGGAAAAGGATACCTTCTTCTTCAGGTCCTTTGATGATGACAGAGTACAATTTAACAACTTGAGTGAATGGTATATAAATCAATAATTGCTCGTCTGCATCACTCTCTAGATTCAAACCATCATCTTCTCTATAATCCTAATTTCGGAATAAAGTACAATCAATAAAACCGAATAGAATAGTATTTTGTTGTTACTGTCGATAGCACTCAGGGGAGGAAAAAAGTACAATGGACAAAAAGAAGTCTACTTAAATCCTTTGTATTTCTTTGAGAATACTTGAAAGACAACATCACTATCATACTCAAACAATTTTTTCCAATAACACTGAGGTAAAAGAATGAATAACAGTTGAATCTCAAAACTTTCATTGCTTTGAAATTAAAGAATAAAAGAAGGGACAAATTGATACCGGGCGAGAATGATAGAACAAGAAGCAAACCTTCCGTCTTTAACAAAATCCAAAACAACATAAATTAACTAATACAGACAATTCTGTACTTCTAAATTTTACCTGCTTGAGAGCATTAGGAAGCGAATGGCTGGTGTTTTGATTAAGACATTCAACTCCAGACCAATCAACAAAGTCCACTAGATCAACCTGATTCATAGAAAAGATTCAACAAATCTCAATCACCCACCAAAACCCAGCATCCCATAATCAAATAGTCCCCCACTAATTTTCTCAGGAAACAAACGGAAACAAGAATACTTACTTGGCTTCTTTGAATTGCATTAGCTGATTCCGAAGACATGGTTTAATGGCCTGATTAATGAAAGTCTAGAGAGAAAACACCCACAAACAAAGAGAACAACTTTAAAGAAGAAAAGGATACACCACTGTTAGGACAGAGATCAAAATGTATAGTGTGCGCAACAAACATAGGAATCCTAGCGGAAGACGAAATTCGATGATTAAACGACAGCATTTTGTACACCTTCCCGTTGAATCTTAAGACTCGGGAGTTGGGGCCGGACCCAATTCGGAGGCCCAAACCCAAACTCGTGTGCAGCTGCCAAAAACTTTAGCCTTTAGAGATTGAGATCAATGACTTGAATTACAGTTAAGTATATTAATTAGAAAATATTGATTATATTAATTCATAGTTGCCCCCAACAAACAATTCATCTTCTCTTCAAAGCATATAAAAAAAAAAAAAAAAAAAAGAATTATTCCTAATTACTAATAAATTATGGACTCACTATAATTTTTGCTTAAATTTTTTATTATTATTTTTTTTAATAAAAAGAAAGTAATTAAGGACTAACCAAAACCATCTCGAGAAAGCTCTTTAAGAATATGAACACACAAAGTTAGAGTAGAAGCAGGCTTCCAAAGTCAATTTTTTATTATCTTATTTTTACAAATTTCACATTGTTCTAAAGTTACCTATTTAAATTGTCTTCCAATATAATTAAAAGCTTATGCTATAGTTTTTTTTTTTAATAATCACATATCATATTAAATTCACTATTTTCATTTAGACAATGACAAATCATTTATATTAAAATCAAGAGATTTTCAAATAAAAAAAATATATTTTTTACATATTGCCCATGGTATTTTATAACTATATTTAGCACTTGAAATTAAAATTTATGGTATTTATTAATTTTAGCTACACATCATTTGAAAGTCGGAATTAAGTTAAAATTAATTTAAAGTAATAAAATTAAAAATTTTAATTTGAAAATTTAGATGTTTAATTTTTATTTTTATTTTTATTTTTATTTTTATTTTACCAATAATAAGGAAAAACAAGATGTGTGCATTTCACCTTCCAAAGATACATATTATCAAAGCCAACAACCTCAGATATCCCAAGAGCCAAACTCAACCAAAAGTCTAAAACCTTTGAACCTTGCTTACCATGTAAGTCCAAAATCCAAACAAACATAAAGCCACACCAAACACAAAATCAAGAAAAGAGAGGAGCCCGAAAAACATCCTTTCATCTCCATTCACTTTCTCCACCTCTAAAATTATGGCTTCCTTATCCCTCCTCTCTCCTTCCTCTACCTCCTCCTCTCTCCACCACAATGCTTCCTTCCACCTTAACATGCGCACCAGCTCGCTTGCCCTGCGCACATCTACCAAGACTTTCTCAGTCAGAGCCCAATCCGCTCCAGTCCTCACCCAAGACGATCTCAAGAAACTCGCCGCTGACAAAGCCGTCGACAATGTAAAATCCGGCATGGTTCTCGGCCTCGGAACTGGCTCCACTGCTTCTTTCGTCGTTGCCAAGATTGGAGAACTTATGAAATCCGGTCAATTGACCGATATTGTTGGTATACCCACTTCAAAACGTACGGAAGAGCAAGCTCTATCGCTTGGGATTCCGCTCTCAGTCCTTGATGATCATCCTCGTATCGACCTTGCAATTGACGGCGCAGATGAGGTCGACCCAGATCTTAATTTAGTCAAAGGCCGAGGTGGGGCTCTTTTGAGAGAGAAAATGGTGGAAGCAGCGTCCGAAAAGTTCGTTGTCGTCGCCGATGAGACGAAACTAGTAACGGGTCTTGGTGGAAGCAAGCTTGCAATGCCGGTAGAGGTGGTGCAATTTTGTTGGAAATACAATCTGGTGAGATTGAAAGAATTGTTCAATGAGGAAGGGGTTGAGGCTAAACTAAGATTGAATGAAGATGGCAAGCCATACGTGACTGACAACTCTAATTACATTGTGGATTTGTATTTTGAGAATCCAATTAAAGATAGTTATGCAGCTGGAAAGGAAATTTCAGCTCTTGAAGGAGTAGTAGAACATGGGTTGTTTTTGGATATGGCAACTGCAGTTATTATTGCTGGGAAGAGTGGAGTAGAGGTCAAGACCAAGTGACAATTTTCAAGAAGGTAGTGACAACTGGATTGTCTTATCATTTGCTGATGTGCTATTGTTGTTGTTAATTACTTATGCTTTTTGTGGTGATTTTGAGCTCTTTTTGCCTGTTAGATGAGCATTATCTGAATGCTTGTTAGATTTTTTTTTTTTGTTTATGCTATGACTTTGCTCAGTTAACATAGCAATGGAGATGGTGAAATAATGGAAAATGAATTTCATACTTATATAATTCATTTGCAACCACATTATTTTTATACAGTCTTTTTGCTCCCATGGAATTCAAGAGACTAATTTGCTTGCAATAATAGTTAATGCTCTTGTTAGTTGTTTCTTTCCCTTCCCTTTTGGGTATGATTCAATCTGAATTGCTTCTAAACTTATATCGTCTTGTACATTTCAATGATGGCGTATTCTTAGACATTTTATCACTTTTCTAGTGCCCATGCGAGTGAGAAACTGAGAATTCCAAATACACTCAATACCAAAACTTTTCTACCGGTAATTTGGCTTATTGGGAGTTTATTACTGACCAACTGTGTGTAGGATGGCCCAGTTATCATCTTTATATTGCTTATTAGTCCTCCATCGGATGTAATGTTAAATTTGGTTAACAAAGGTCAAATAGAATCTTAATTCTGTGGGAGCATCGTGTGACTTTCAGTTAACAAATCCGTTTTAGGTGATTAAGCCTTTTTTTTTCAGTTTCTACTATAATGTCAATTTTCCCATGGAGCAGAGCTGGTAATATTGCAGCATGGACTCAGATAGAAAGAGATAGATTAAGGGTGCCTAACTCTAGAAACTCTAGAATACTAGAACTTATTACTCTTTAGTTACAAACCTTGAAGATAATGGAAATGAGAACTTAAATATATGAGTGAAAATATTATCTGCAGAATTAGATTATACCCTTTATCTTTTCTGTGATAACAGAGTTATTTGTTTGACTGGAACTTGTTTGTTGCTCATCTAATAGAGAAGTCTCTTCTGCTGAGGAACAGAATGAAGGTCAAGCTTGTGGTCCATTACTTGCGGAGTTGCAAGTGTTTGAATATTCAGAATTAGATGGAAGTGGCATCTATTTTCAAACTATAATTTTTTAAAATTATGATTAAATTGTTATAATTACTAACCATTCATATTTCCACTTGTAATTCATTTCTGAATTAAATCATAATAATTGACAAATTAGAGAAAGACACCACTATGTATCCTCAAAACATACGGGTTCAATCAAAATAAATTACAATACAAAAATCAATAGCATACATATAAATATAATCACAGCATCGATCCAAGAAGTGGATTTTATTTCTAAAAAAGTATGTAATATGGTTATAATAAAAGGCGCTACAGGCATAGGATCCTGCATGCTGCTTTATTATATGATCATCCTACTTGCTCAGAGCCATTAGCGTAGACATGAACAATACGATCCTCCACTGCAAGTTCCCTGCCATAGTTGAGCTACCTGGAAAAAACCCACAAGGTTTAAACTTGTGGGTCTTGAAGTCAATTATATAGAAAGATTAAACTTAAATTGAATTGGTAAGCTTAATTGACAAAAACATTAAATCAAATTATTAATTAAGGATGAAAGGGCTTAATCACAAAACGAAATTAATTATAGAAAACTAATTCATCTTACAAAAATAACTGATATTTTGATAAAAATATATGATGGGAACTTGAAAAATGTAGCTAATGAACATGGTAAATGGACATCCTTTTATATCATCATAACCACATGTTAATTCATAAATGAGTCCTGCTTAATTAATTAATCAAATTAATTAACTCACCATGATTTCCAGGAATGCTTGCAGTATCATCAGTTAATAGAGATTTTGCAACTGTTATTCCAAGCTTGGAACAATCAGATCCAAGAGAACCTTAAACAATCAGGGACATAGAACTTGTGTAAGTTTTTAATTAAATTAGTATCAAAATTAATTAGGGTTGACTCAATTTGACAAAGTCGTTAAAGCTCTTACAATTGCTATAGCATGGGAAGAAAGGGATCTTAAAAAGGTTAGTAAATCCAGATTTGCAAGTACAGAAATGGGTAAAAGTTGAATTTTTTGTGCAGGTACCTTCTCCACAATAGATCCAATTGCAAGCTAGATACATAAAAAGAATTCAGTAACAGCAACAATCAGCTTGGTTAATTAAGATTAAGAGAAATAACGGTTTAATTATGAGAATTAATATATAGAGAGCTTCATTATTATGTGGTAATTACGATCAAAAATAGATGTGTTCAAAGGAACAGGCGTTGCTGGTGGAGTAGGTGGAGCTACTTGGCAACCTTTATATTTGAGCTTACCTGCAAAAGTAAAATGAAGAACAAGAAAAAACGAATTACAAAATATTTATTTTTATTGAGAAGAAAATGAAAAAAAGATCAGAAAAAAAAATTAAGAAGAGAGAAATAATTACATGTTGGAATGACACAAGGAAGGAACTGAAGATTATTGTTAAGATTATCATCTGTAGTTCTGTTCCAACCAGTCTCACATTTGCAGATGTAGCCTAATGGGTATTTTATATTTGCTATGCATTTTCCCTTCCCACATTGCACTAGATCACATATAACATCTGCATCTGCATCTGCAATAATATTAAAAAAAAAACTGATCAAATATCCATAAATGCATCGATTTTGGTGTTCATGTGGATGTGTGATTTTTTTTTTTTTTTTTCATCAAAAGGGTTTTCTCTTGGATTTCAATCCCTGTGCGTTATCAGATAAATATAGTACAACTGTGTTGCTGTGTTTACACTTTACAGTGTGTGTGTGAGAAAGAAAGAGAAAGAGAGTACCATATACAGAAGTTAAGGGATTATCATCCCCCAAAGCAATCACAGGTAGTAACAGAAGAAAGAAAGCTAGAAAAGGGAGTGCCTTAAAGAAAGTCATCTTCCCCACAGAGAAAGAGAGAGAGAGAGATTAGGAAATTTGGTGAGAAGGATCAAAGATTGTTGCTTTTGTAATTGTAATGCATGAATGCATGTATATATAGAGATAATATTACGTAGCAATCTCAGTGAGACTAAATTTTTAAACACTATAAATTTTTGGGGTTCATTAAAGTTTTCTTCTCTATATCAATAACTATAACAAGAAACCTTATGTTTTCTAATTTATTTGCAGAAGTTTCTATGCACTGCCAGTAAACAAATTATATCGTATTTCTGCAAATCTTTGTTTGTCAATGCAGTCACTTTCTTTCTGCAAATCCTTTAATTATAATTGTCTTTAATATCTACAAATAATTGCAATTTGAATAAACCAATCAATCAAATTATACATATTTCAAATAAAATTATGATTCTCATTTTGCAAAATTTTTATTTTGTGAAAAGTTTACCGTTGAATTTAGATAAATTAAGTTTTTTTTTTTAAATTTTCCCTCGAATATCCCATTTCATTTACTAATCTCATATTTTGATTCGCTGTATTATTTAGTATAAGTGTTTTTCTATGCATCGAACCCCCTAAATTAAATTAAATTTTAACTAAGGAAATTTTATTTATAATTAGATTGACAAGTCAAATTGAGGGATAGCGGTCCATATCTGCAACAACATAAACAGGGAAGGGGGTGTGCGATGAATTTAATACTATATGAAAAAATTAATCTGTGACAATTTCGTGTGTTATGGGGGAAGACCTAAAAATTCATATAATAGATACAAGATTTAAAGGGAATGAGACATGTGATATTAATTATATCTTTGTTAAGAAGAGAAAGCAAGTAATCTTTATATATATATATATATAAGCTTATTACAAAGTCAAAATCTCACCACTCTAAAAAATTATCAATGGAAACTTAGAAAAAACACATATATATATATATATATAATCCGGAAGTGTAGAACATAAAGCTTTTTACTTTCTTTTAAATACTTTTTTCAAAAAATAAATTTGTATTTTTATTCTTACACGTGGTAAAAAAACATTAGTAGCTAGATATTTCTTATGATTGTTAAAATTCTTGTACTATACTTGTTGTCTTTTAAATAGGGTAAAAATGTTATATCAATCGAATAATTGACTTCTGACTATAGCATTTGCCAAATCGCGTTGGGTTTTTTTTTTTTATATATCAGAAGTTAGAAAAATTGCGGTTGGGTATTTGACCACATAAAACATGAAAGCATAATTTCCTTGACAAGGTCAATTATATACAATATCTTCTACTTCACTCTCTATGTTACTTCTTTTTCCCATGTGAAATTTTGACCAATTGGTAGTATAATTATAGGCATAACAAATAGCAATACTTAAACTTTGCAATTTGCATTTTATTTTTAGTTTTTTTTAATAAACATACTCTAAAATAAAATTTAGAGACTAATAATTAATTACATTTCATAATTGAAATTGAAAGGCGAGAACAAAGTGCGATTGCAAAAATGCATAAAAGTTCGGGACATTTTCCATTGAATCCAGGAAAGTCAGTTAATTTAGTTAAACTATCTTTTTTACTTATTTTTTCGTCTGAAATATCCCTTTACTAATATTAAATGATGTATACAATTAGAAATATTAAATAGTATATTAAGAAATTAAATAATAAATTATATTTAAAAAAAAAAAAAGGAAATAGGTACATTTTAAGACAAATGAAAAAAAGTGAGCATATATATATAAGAGGGAATAAAAAAAAATGGAAGAAGAAGAAGTAAAAGACAATGTTCATTGAAATACAAAATCCTTTTTTTGACAATTTCTGATTCTTGTTTAGAGAGGTTGTAACTTGTAAGTAATGAGTGGATCACCAGGCCTCCAATCCACCATATTCCACTTTTGTATCATCGAGGCTAATGAATTAAATTTGGACTTCACATTTAGTCCAGCAGAACTGATAAAAGGCCCACTTTTATTAACTAAAAATTTTAAAAATCAGGTGTAATTGTAACAAGAAGCAACATTGATAGTGAAGCCCCTTATGAGATATTACTAAAATACCCCTAATGGTCCATATGCATTGCATATGAGTTTGTGGGTAGAAAGGGAAATAATAGTAGACATCAATCAGACTCCATAGGTGAACCTAACAGGATGCATAGCCTGGCTATAATCTCTTAAAAATGGTTTGCATAAAGCAAATGGTATCTTGTTCAAAGAAGAAAAAAAACTACCCTCCCAGATGTTGTGCAATCCCACACCCATAATCAAGTTAAAGAGTGAGGAGAAACATTTATAGCACAAGTCTTAGAGCTAGAAGCACCACACCAGACACCCACAGAAAGAGGAAGGGAGAGGGGTTGTGAATATCTAGTCAGACATTTCATTATCTCATACCACTTGAATCAATCCATCATACTAGCTCAAAGAATATTCTAAACAATCATGAGCTATAAAGCAGCACCAACAGTCAAACATCCCCTTTCCCTCAAGGGCTTTCCAACTTCCCTTCATTCCATCCCCATTTCTTTCGGATACTTCCAATTGCATCACAATCCTAGAACAAAACTATGTAATCCTTTTTTCCAACGAGGTTACGAGAATGCTTCACTACATGAAAATTTTAATGCGCACTTACCATTAGCTCTACACTCATATCTACACTCACTACATGAAAGGAGTCACAAATAATTATGCTTATTCAAGTGAAGTTTCAAACAAGACAATACAAAAGCTCTCCAAAGCTCTTATTCAACTTAAGTCGCACAAACCACTTGATCATCAGCATCTCAATACTACTTCTGTCATCTCATTCTTATTTTCTTTAAAAGAGCTAATACCCTATCATCTAAGTCCTCAGGTTTATACATACCAAGGAAACGCAGTTAGGACCCATCAGTATGTCAGTCCAGGGCAAATAAATTCAAGTCATGGCTTCCATTTATATACATCATACAATCACTTTGTTTTGATGAATGAGTATCCCATGAATGGTAGTTTCAAGTTATTGAATAATGTTTCCCCAAGGCCAGAGTAGAGAACATGAAGTATGGTGCTAACTAGTTCCACAAAGTTCACAAGAACCAGATATGTTCAGAATATCCACTCAACACAAAGCCAACATGATACAAATACAGCATAAAAGAGAATTAGACATGACATAATAATGTTCCCTTAAAACAATTAAGATTATCTAAAAGAGAAGCCAACATGATACCAATATAACATAATAAAGAAACACTAACCTGAGATCTTTTATGGTTTTACGGAATAATATGTTCTGAAAAATTAAGCATTATCAAGCAATGATGCACTAAACACACAAGAGAAGTCACAGCATATCGGAATTTCCATAAGAAAAAAAAAATGAGGATGGCAAGATAACAATAATGCTTACTAGCAATAATCACATCTTACACCAAAAGACCATAGAAGCAAATATAATATCACCAACATAATCAATAGTTATTTCAATCCCTAAACATCTTTCAGGGGCTTTCCTATAAACAATCAATTCAGTAAATGGAAAATAATAAGAACCCAAAATTCCTATCAAACAGGACATGAAGAAACGGCAAGTCGGCAGATTGGATTATGAAACAAAATACTCGTTACTATTACCAATCCAATTTATAGCAAAATCTATTAAATTCAATTACCTAACATTACCAAGCGAGACACCTCGCAAATCCTTTACCTCCCGAAACAACTTCCCCTCCCAACAAAACCCCCAGAAAGAAAACTTTCAATTTTCAAATGGGCACATATCTCTTAACCACCTGCTTTCCGGAAACAGCTGCCGCGGCCGCGATCCCTCCAATAGCCCCAGCAATAGCCGCTGATCTGGGACCCCTAGCCGCACGATAAATCGCTCCAGTCCCGAGACCCGCAAGAACCGTATTGACCAAGTCATCAGTATCTCTATAATGAATCAAAGCGCTTTCAAGCCCAGCGAACATAAGCCCCAAAACTCCCAAATTGTTCCCAAACTTTCGACCAGCATGTCCACCAGAATTGAGAATCCTATTGACCCGCAATTTCATAGAGTCCCCAGGCTCGGCGGTGCGAATACCTTCCCATGAGCCCTTAATCCCGCCGGCAATCGCTCCTGATAAGTAGCCGGTTCCAGTATAATATTGAAGATTTTCGCTCCAGCTGCGGCGTTGATGAACAGCTTCTTCTTGAAAAAGGAACTCGGGCGATGTGGGTAACTTGTATAAACTTTGAGCTGGTACGTTATAGAGATCTTGATATGGATGATATGTGTAGTATTTCTGATCGTTCGAGTCATCCATTATTGATGTTTGTTTTGCTTAGAGAGATAAAAAGTGAAGATCTTTATACAGAAAACGAAGAGTAGAAGATTGTTTAAGGAGAAAGGTACGGTTTTTATGGAAGAGAAAGGTAGATTTATGAGAAATTTGGGGTCTAGGTTCGGTTCTTGACAGTTCTTCGATGGGTCAAAACTCCTCACGAGAATCCCCTAAAGAAAAAGAGAGGTTTCTAGGAAGAAGCAGCTCTCTTTAGAAGAGGAGTAGGGTTTAACGACAAGGAAGGGTTTTCTAGTTTGACTCTGACTTGGCCAAAAAAGAATAGAATGTCAGAATTTTTTTTTTTTTTTTAATTCTCTTATAGTTATAAAGCTCTGGCCAGGCCCAGTATACTTTTTGGCCCAATTGTAAACAAAGTTTTTCACTTTGGATCTTTGGGCTAAAAGAGGCCCAATCAGATAGAGTTCACACTTTCAGCTAAAACTGTGGCCCATTTATTGATTGTTTGAACAGACTTGCATCCTTTCTTGTGTGGTTTCTAATCTCTATTGTCCCAACCCCAAGAGAGTGGATTTGTAATTTTATTTTGGTGCATTCTATTAAAGTTTAAATTTCTAATATTAAAAATGATATTATTTAAGAATTAGCCTTACTATTCAAATCTTATGAATAGATAATTTCTTAAATTTAAGAGGAAAAATATAATTTTTCACTAAAGAAATATTTTTTTTTTTAAACTCCCCCAAATACTAGTGTATTTCCACTCCTGCTAGGGGCTAACTATTTGTAACCCTAGTCATATCGACATTTTGATTGAAGAAATTAAGCAAAATATCACAAAATTAAACAAAATACTTGATATTATAATGATAATTGTAATTAATATTTTTTAATTGGGATAAAATCCAAAACTTTAATATATGAAAAATATATTTCTATCCAATATAGGTATCCAAAAGCTACTCCATTCACCAATAAATAAAATAATTAAGATGCTAAAATTTGGAGATTTATTATCTCAAACTATACATAAAAAAATATTAGGCTTAATACATAATTTAATCTTTTGAACTTTCATGAAATAATTTTGAACCTTTCATAAATTAATTATTTTGAACTTTCATAAAATAATTCCAAACTTCAATTCTTAAAATTTTTTTCGTAAACCACCAGTATCTAAATCTTATTACCAGGAATCGTCTAATCTGATTTGGGACTTAGTCATATTTAAGGCTTAGCACTTCTTTACGCTTTTATAACTCTTTATAATAGTCTAGATTAAAAAATGAATCACTTTCAACGGCCATTATTATAGAAAAAGTCTCATTAAAAATATTTAGAAACATAACATCAAACTGATATGTAACACAAACTTATATTATAGGTGATTTACGATTAGCCCTTTAAATAGAAGTAGTGTTATTGAATTGAAGGTATACAGTATACTGTAGCCCTGAGCACCATGTGAAAATAATCTCCTTTCCTTTCCCTTTACTTCCTTAAATAATTGTCCCAGTCTCACTGCATGTTTTCACGTGTCCTGCCATCCCTCTTGCCGTTAATTACACCATCATCACCATCAGCTACTGCATAGGATTCTAAAGGACCCCACCAAACCCTAAATATTAATAACCCATTATTTTTTTTTTTTTTGCTTACAAAACTAATTCCCAATCTCATCTATAGCCTGTGCACATTACATTCCTCTAATGATGACACTGTAAAGCCAATAGCCATTAAGCCCAATTTGACATTGTTCATTTACTTTGATAGGACAGTGACTTCACCTCCCTCCAAAAGAGTGTACTGGGCCATCTCTTTTCCCTTCCATGATAGGACAAAGTCCTTGATAAATGAGAGAGAAATGGCAAGAGGTTGGTGTTGCAGTTTTGTGTATTCTTTTTTTCTTTTTGTTTTTTGGTTAAAAAAAAAAAAAAAAAAAAAAAAAAAAAAACATGTTTGAAGGAGTACCAGACCAATTTCACCAATTCATAGCTTCAAGAACTTCACTTCCTCTACCTCTTTCTTTCCAACCTATTCATGGCTCCTCTGTTGCTACTACCAATACTAGTACTAACTTTACCCCTACTTTTGATCCTTATAGTAGCACCACTTCTCATCAATTGCAAGTGCAACCCAATTTCTTGCACACATTGCACCATGTTTCGCAACCCACTGCCAAAAATGAAGACAAGGAACAGAATAACATGGTGGCTACTATGGATTTGGAGATTGAAAGAGAGAGATCGATACACCAATCCGTCGATCCGTGGTCTAATGATGAAGTGCTTGCCCTATTGAGGATCAGATCTAGCATGGAAAATTGGTTCCCTGAATTCACTTGGGAACATGTATCAAGGTATTCACTTTATTAATTCAGTGAGACAATATCTTCTTTGTGTTTCTCTTTTCTTCTAATGATTATTTGAGTCGCATTAATCCTTTTCAAAATTATGGAGATTTCGTAAATTTGTTTCAGCTGGATGTTATTAGTTAAAGCTCTTGCTAACATGAAGCCAGCATCTTGTGTCAAGTAGTCTTGGGATTTTCAATATCATGTCTTTGTTTATGTGTGAGAGAGGAGAATTAAAGAAGTCTTATTTGAATATTTAATGACCGACTAATAAAATCAAGAAAGAAAATAAATGCTAATGATATGTGTATAGGTGGCTTTTGTTTTTATTCATATTTATGGTGGGTACAGGAAACTAGCAGAGCTTGGGTTCAAAAGGAGTGCTGAAAAATGCAAGGAGAAGTTTGAAGAAGAAAGCAGATACTTCAACAACATTAACTATTCCAAGAATTATAGGTTTTTTGGTGAGCTTGAAGAATTATATAACAATGGTGATGATACTAATAATAATAGTCAAAGCTACCCTCAAGAAAATAATTTAGCAACAGCAGGAAAGAACAAGAAAATGGACAAGCTAGCCAGTGAAGAAGAAGAAGACAAGATTGATCATGAGAAGAACATGGAAGAAGATTCAAGAATTGATCAAACAGTAGGAAATCCAACTGAAGATAATGATAATAATGATGAGGGAAAGGAAATTGAGAAATCCAAGAGCAAGAAAAGGAAAAGAAGACATAAAAAATTTGAGATGTTTAAGGGTTTTTGTGAAGATATTATAAGGAGAATTATGGTTCAACAAGAAGAAATGCATAATAAGCTTCTCGAAGATATAGCGAAGAGAGACGAAGAAAAGATAGCAAGAGAAGAAGCTTGGAAAAAACAAGAAATGGAAAGAATCAAAAAAGAACTTGAAATTAGGGCACAAGAACAAGCTCTTGTTGGCGATAGACAAGCAAAAATAATCAATTTCTTGAAAAAATTCTCATCGTCATCAACTTCTTCTGATTCTATTGAAATTCTTGGAGAGACGACTACTTCATCTTCAATGGTGATACCCAAAAACCCTAATAAACAAATTAGCAAACCTGAAACACCCATATCAACTACCATAGCTTTAGGCCATCAAACAAATCCTGTGATTATATCTAAAAACCCTAGTTCATCTTCTACACTCTCTCACCCTCCCCAAAACTCTATTTTCCTCAATACCCAAAGCAAACCATCAATGCCCATTTCATTATGGACGGAAATAGCGCAAAGAAAGCCTTCACCCAGTAATAAGGAAGATCTTGGTAAGAGATGGCCAAAAGATGAGGTATTAGCATTGATAAACCTAAGGAGCAGTTTTTATAATAATAATATTAATGAAGAAAAGGAAACAACAGTAAAGGCTCCTCTATGGGAAAGAATCTCTCAAGGGATGTTAGAGTTGGGTTATAAAAGAAGTGCAAAGAGGTGTAAAGAGAAATGGGAAAATATAAATAAGTATTTTAAAAAAACTAAGGATGTTAACAAGAAAAGATCTGTTGATTCTAGGACATGTCCATACTTTCATCAATTAAGCACATTGTATAATCAAGGATCACTTGTAATAACATCTTCCGACGGCGTCCAAAAGCGATCCGTGGCAGCTTCACCGGAAAACCACTCGTCGGACGCAGGTGGTGGGCTGATCAGTTCCTCCCAAAATGGTTCTAGTAATTCAGCAATGCATGTTGTTGAAGGTGAGAAACATGATCTTGATTTTGAATTCTAATTGATATTAATTTTTGCAATGTTTATTTGGGTGTGTTCTTTCATTAATAATGAACTAATAAGAGGTTAATTTTTCCAATTTTTTAATTTTTTTTTGGCATATTAGTTTATATAGTATCTTTTATTTGTCACATATATATTATATTTCTTGGAGGAAACATGTGAGCTTGTATTTTAGTGAGCACCGACAAAATAAGAAATGAGGAAAGAGAACCGAGCATTATTTCTGCTTGTAAATCAATAAATTAATTTTCATTTTATAAATAATTGCTATTTCTGATCCTAATATTTTCTATTTTTATTGAAGTTTTGTTTTCCAAATTGAGGAAAGACATCCTTTATGCTGCTTTCACTGTTCAATTTCCAAATCCAATGAAACAATAAGAAATGGAAACTTGGAATCTTTCAGCAAAAGAAAATTCACCAGAATATATGTTACATTGCACATATTCATCACAGACCAACAGAAAAAATAACATATATATATATAAATCATTAGCTAGGTCTATGTATTATGTATATATTATGGTAATAATAATTGTCATTTTTCAGGTGAATTTCTTGCCAATATTGTGTAACCGCCAAACATACATATGCTTATTAATAATAAAAATGTATGTGTGTGTGTCAAAAATATATATTCCCCTTACCTTCTTTATTCATTTTAAATTTTCATTTATACTTTTTATATAAAAATATAAAAACTTGTTGATCTATAATATTGTTTTCTTCTAATAAAATTTACAGTTTTAATTTATTTTAAAAAAAATTTACAATAAAAATATATAAATTTTTATTTTACCACAATTATCCTTTTTAAATAGAAGACTAATTTTATTTTGGGATCTCTTTTATAACTCCTTTTCCATTGAATCAATATCTAATTTCTTTGAAAAAAAAATCGCACATTTTATAAAAATAATTTGTGAGAATAAAGTGTATCTTACCGTTTCAATCGCTGGATCTAATTTGAAAAAAAAAAAAATTTTTTTTCATAAATAAATAGAATATGTCCTTATTTGAAATTAATTGTTTATATTGATTAAGTTAATTTAGTTTTGAAGGGTGGCCCACTAATCTTAGTCGTAGACAGACTACATTACAAAGCCTACAACGACAACACAAAAACATTACATTTGTTTCTGTTCGGGGTGGTGGGTCCTACCACATGATCATCAGAGGAATACATTACATTTATATACGGATGCGATGAATGAATGTCTCCAAAAAATTTTCCAATTTTTTTTTACTTGAAAATAAATAATAATAAAATAAAGGAACAGGGAACGTTTGATCGTTTCGTGTCTTTACGAAGATGAACATACAAGAGAAGAGACAAGTCAAGGCTCAAACTGGGGCCCACTCCTTCCCTTGCATCTAATCTTATTATGTGTGCTACAATTGATACGGTGCAGCGCATCTACGTATTCTGTGATGGTCGTGTGGCGGTACACTGTAGCCGGCGTAGGCTCGAGCAGCTGTGAGTTTGGACCAGTTGGTGCAGCGTATTGCATTAGGGTCCTCACAATCCAACGGTTCAGAGTCAGATGTGCTAATGAATATCACATTCCAGATATATATAATATTATAAATGCTTAATCATTAAAATTTATAATACAATTATAAGTACATTTGCTCAAATTAACCATGAATAAATTATTGAAATAGGTAAAACTTCAATATTGCAAGTCAAGAATTGTTTGATTTCTAATATTTAATTTCAAATTTGAAAATATAGTATTTTCTGTTTGCTTCATTTATTTAAATACTTACATTAAAAGCACAATAATCTTTAGTTTAATTTTATTTATCCCATTGTTAATAAATATGTTAGATAAACAATTTAATAATTATTATATCACTTCATTGAATATTAACTATTTTATACTTTTTATATATTTAAATTTGATTTTTTTTTTTTAAGAAAAAAAACCATATTTGTGATTGTTCTCAGTAATTTTAAAATCATAAAATTCATATGACAGTAAATTGTTATCCATAAACCTTTATTTCTTTTTTCTTTTTGTAATTTTTGGCCTAAAATTATTTATTAATAAAGGCAAAATCAAATTAAAACTTTATCTGATGTAATTTTCCTTATTTTATCATTTTGGGCCATAGCCCATAAGAAAGTTTTATTTGGTTGGGTTGGGTTAGCTCATCTAAAAGGATACCGATTCTTCACAATCAGCCCTACATTGCTCACATCTTGCAAGTGTTGGAAGCAAAGGCACGACCAGCCCAAACTTAGAGGGTCAAAACCATATATAAGATTGTTTAATTCATTTTTTAAAAACCTATAGAAAAAAAAAAAGAAATTGAATATGGAACTCATTTGTGGCAGAAAATAACTAGGTTATTGCTGACTAACTGAGAATTTCATAAACTTTATATGCACAACCAACAAGTCTTATTTTTTCCTATATAAAATTGAAACAACACACGTTCGAGATTCAGAAGTCTCATCTACAATAATGTCTTTTTCCTCTGATAATTACGAGAGAGATGGAAAGCGTTGTCTCGATTGATAGCATTAGGCAGAAGAGATTGCTAATTTGGATGAATTAAATTTGAATCCTAAGCTCTCATCTTTAAATGGCAATACCTAGATTAAGACATGATTAAACACAACCATAAAAATAAAGTAAAACATTGACTAAAAAAATCATATGTTAATGTGTTCTAGTACTTTTGTTCTTAATACTTAAAAGGAACTTTTACTTGCCTTCCTTTAACTACTTAATCTTCTCTCAACAAAAGAAATCATTTTGTGCTTTAAGCTCCTCCTATATTTGACAATTGTGACTTAGACCTTGATATTTGACAATTGCTTTTTTTTTTTTCACCCCATTTTTACTTTGTTGACTTATTTCATTCTTAATCATATTGTTAGGTAATGGAAAATTTTGTTTTTGCTATTCTATAAAGTTTCTAAAATTACCGTTACACTATTTAATTTCTCTATTTTAATTTAAGTTGTCTACCTAAATTTTCCATTTTAAAAAATTTCTCAATCTCTTATTATTTACATAAGAAGTCTCCATTTTCTAATTGACAGACGCTTACATGCATCATTTTGACCTAACAATATTTAGATTTTTATACGAAAATGCAAAATTTTAGAGGGAGACAAATTAATCCTCATCTCCAATTATGAACTTTTTTTAATAGCTAGGATATTATTGGAAGAGTTACATAAAAAGTAGTTTTTACCATTTGGATTGACAACTTATTTGCCCTTGCCCACGAAGGAAATGGAAGTGTTGGTAGTTTAGTGGATTTTATGTACGAAAATGTATAAAGTTATAGTTTTAGAGCCAGCTGCTAATGAGGACAGAAATATGACAAGTTGAGTGGTGGGTGTGTATTATGTGATGTTACTGTGGTTGTGGGTAGCACTATCCGATCCTACTCTCCATCCCCAATTTTATTTCCATAATAATATCTTTATCTATATTTAGAAAATTTGTTGCTTACCACTCCACCATGTTTGCTCTAATTGCTAACCGACTCCTTATCCCACACCAAAAACAAAAATAAAATATAATTAACAAAGTTATTTATTTATATATATTGAAAGTTCTTATCGGCAGAATTGGCTACATAATAAGGATAATTTATCGTTGATGTACTAAATTAATGAAAACTTTTATGGTTGATAGTGGGATGAGCAATTATCGGTTTCTAAACTAGAATCGAAGCAAATCGACCCATTTCAATCAAATTCAGGTAATTGTCTTAGAAATTTGATTAATGATCAATTTGGGTATATAAAATCATTCAATTTTTTTTTGTTGAGTTACCATATATAACTAACTAAATTTATTTTTAAAACTAAAAAAATAGCTTATTTGGTTTGGAATAATTAAATCCAAATGAACCAAACAGATTTTGGATTTGGATACTATAAAAATACCTTTGCATAAACCGAAATCAATCTAATTCGAATTGGTTAACCGCATGCTCATCCCTAATCGCGAGAGCTCGAATTTAAGACCTTTCACTCCTCGTATGTTATTATTTTTACATTATCTTGATGAACATACTACACAATAGAGAAGTATTTTCCAATTTTAAATTACAATAAACCCACATTTGCTTACATGTTTGCCAATATCCAAAGAAGACTATTGTTCTTTTTTCTAGTAATGAGATGAGATGGACTTATGAAATTGCCTTAAAAAGTCAACAAAAGAATATGCACTATCAACTATAGTTATTTTTTAATTTTTTGATGATTAGATCACCCTCCATTAATGTTCTCACATAAAGGTTTTTCTTTTCTGTTTTTTCAGCTCACTTCACGGATGATCCATTCACTTCTTTTTTTGTTAAGCTACTTGAACGTTTCACTCTTTTGTAGATGAAGATGTGACATTTCCTTTATGGAGCCACTCATCTCAATCAATATTCATGGTTATTTTACTTTTTCATGATTTTGAAATTTAAGTAAAGGAACAAAGGGGTTTCACTGAAATTTTAGGTAATTGCATGTGGGTCATGAATTTCAATCATCCAATAATTCTATTAAAAGAGTATTTCTAAATGCATTAATTCAATATGAGGAGCGTGGGATTGCAATTGCTCGTATAAAATATTTAATTGCGGTAAAAAAGTTAACTCGAAAATATTCTGGAGTACCTGACTCTCATTTCCTTTCTAACTCTGCGATTAATTACATTATATTATGGTTTATAAAATAAAAACATTATAATTTTTTAAAAATCACAACAATGTGGTCCGAGTAAAAACTCAATAATTGAGATAAATTTGAAATTTCACAAAAGTGATGATGTGTTTAAAAATAATATTAGTTCGTTAATTACTTTCAATATTACACAAACTGATTTTAATAATTGGTTGATATTGCATGATGAGTTACCACATAAATAATGCTTGGCTACCGTTAATGGTTTTGAAGGCCATTTCTAAACCTTTTTATCCAAAAAGTCAGGAATTTGTTTTCTTTCTCTAGGAACTTTCTCAGGCTTTACAATATTCTTGCATGTGATTGTATGTAAGTTAAAATCTGGATTTATTTGCTAGATTTGATTGGAACCTAAGTCATGGTAATTAAGCCCGTAAGTATTTTTCTCGACTTATATTATAAAATAATTTAATTTTTAAAATCTAAGGATAACATATTAAAATTATTAATTTTAAAATATAGACATAAAATATATTAGAAGAAATTTACTTTTTTAAAAAAAAAAAAGAAGAAAGGAAATTTCCTGTACCGGATAGCTGCCTGCCTCCTACCGCTAATGCAAATATCTAGAACAACAAAACAGTGGTGGTGAGGCACCACTTGAGGGCAAAAATCTGGAAATATAAGAAAGTTAGGAGGGTGTTTTAGTAAAATCAGGTGAATGAAAAGCGCCGGGTTATTAGCCTCGTGATTGCAGATCTAGGAAGAGGTCCATGGGCTCCACTCTGTTTCCTTTGGTCGGTCTTCTCCTCTTCATCCATGTACTTCCATTCATGAACTCAAATGAAATAAAATAAATAAATAATAAAATATTTATGGTAAAAAATGAAGTCTCTTTCATTTGTACCTAACAAATGCAAATACTTTGAGAAATTTCACATAAACCATTAAGAGATATATTTATATTCTTTAAATTATTATATTTTTAAATATTTAAGTATGTCAATCTAAGGTAAAAATACTGGAAAAAAGTTTGTAACGCAATTGATTAATTCTTTTTTTATTTATAAAAAAAAGGTATATATTCAAGTTTGACTAAGGAGCGGCACAGGATAGAATTAGGAGTATCCTATTTTTCACAGTAGCTGTAGATTTTTAATTTAAAAAAAAAAAAAAAATCCCAACACAAAGCTGACAAATTAACAGTAAGAGTGGTAGAGCTACACCCACCTTTGCTTTAACACCTACCGACTAGTTTGAGTTTTCACTCCTTTTAACAAACATAAAAATAAAAATAAAGCACAAAAAAGAAAATACTAACCCAGCAACTTCAATATTGTTGCGTGATTCTCATCTTGACCCATTATTGCCTTCGGGCCTTCCCTTCACTCTCTCTCATTTTTTAATAATTTGAGATATTAAGTAAAATTAATTATTTTGATAGCCCATAACTGTTTTAATAGTATTTTTTTTTCTGTAATTAGTAGTAGTTATTTATAAAATATTACTTTAATTTTTAAACATTAATTTAAAATGTTGTCTTAATCTTTAAAAATTAGATATTACTGAACTTGCCTTTAGCATTTTAATTCGTCAAAACGGTAAAAATTGTTGTCAAATATTACCTTAATCTTTAAAATCTAAACATTACTTACAGTGTGTTTAACATTTTAATTAATCAAAATGTTAATAGTTATTTAAAAAACTGCAGTAGAACACATCATTTCTTTGTTTTCAATATAATTTGGTTACAAGAGTTATGGAGTCATAACCACGGTCTAAAGGTATCTCATCCAAGCTAAACTAAATTTAAAGAATAAAAATGTAAAAAATTAGTGTCATAATCAGCAGTCAGCACACTAATCTCTCCCTCCCTTTGTTTTATTTAAGTAAATATAAATTAGTTTAAGCATTCTATAAAATGGTGGTCCAATCATCTTTTCCTTCTCAGCTCTCTTACTGAAGTTTGTCATTTTCTCTCTCTCTCTCTACAAACAACTCAGTATGTCCCTGGAGCTGCTGCTGCTTCCGCTGCAACTTGCTCCTAAGCTCCTTCTTCTGCTACTCAAACGCTGTCGTTTCTTTGTATCTCTGCAAATGTTCAATTCCGCCTTCTTGTTCCTCTCTCTTCCACACACATTTTGATCTCTCTCTTCGATCCCCTACCTTTCTTTTTCTTCATCATTCACATTCAGGTATTTTCTTTTCAGACTCTGTAGATTTGATTCGCTTTCCTTTTCTGTAATCTTTCTTTGCATTTTCTCAGCTGCATTTTAATTTCTTTTCCTTATTCAAAGATTGAAGATTCACTTGATTTTGTTTCTAATAATTTTTCTTCTGTGTAATCAATTGCTTTGTATTGTGTACATTTTGGTAATTGCTGTTTTTGGAACTTTGATTTGAAATGCAAGTAGTTCAGCTGTTCTACTTGTGGCCTTGAGTTCCTTCATTAGCCAGATATTTTCATTTTTGTCTACTTCTTTCTCTCTCCCTGCTTTTTCCTTTTTTTTTTTTTCTTTTTTTACCTTTTTTTTGGGTAATGACTGCGTTTGGTTGCCGGGAAAATGTGGGGAAAGGCAGGGCGCTAGCATTTTGAGTCTCAATTTATTAATTTATATTGTTTGGTGAGAAATTGATTGTTTTATTGAGTTGCGCTTTTTCTGTTTGATATGGTTAATGCAAATTGCAAATTTCAGCTTTACAAGTATATATTAAAAACACAAAAAATCAACATGTGGCGTTTTGTTTTCTTTCCTTACTCTATTTTGTTGGCCAATAAATTTGCGATTAAAATCTCTTACTTATATTATCTGCCGTTTATGCATTTGTCAAGATCTTCAATTATTTTTACATGGAAATATTTTTTTAAAATAATTTATTTTCCCAGCTCTAAATCCAGTTTATTTGAATCTATGAGTGCACGAATTCTTGCAATTTAGTTCACTATTCAGTGTTTTTTTTTTTTTTTTTTTTTGATGTCAGTGGGTTTTCGTGGTTGTTTTTTTATTTCTCTGTGGGGTATTTGAGGACATTGTATGTATCTTTTTTGTCTATTAGAAGAGACTCATCTCTTCAATATTTGTGTCATAAAATTAATATCAAAATAAAAAAGAAAAGAAATGTGTTAGTGTATCCATAGAACTTATCTTGTTTTGGCATTCAGAAATACAACATACTTGGATACACCATAGTCTTTTTGGTTCTTTATTTCAAGAAGGTCTCTGTTTTTATAATTATTGTGTGGTTTGAATTTTAAGCTCACTTTTACATTGAGCGATAGTTTCATTTCGTGGCAGTTCCCTCCTCTCTTTGTCCACTGGTCATCATAGGACAATGGCGATTTTCTTCGTGAGTAATTTCTTTCACGCGATTTCATACTCGTAACTTCATGTTATACGTTGAACATGAATTGATATGCATTCTGCGTTCCTACACGATAACATTGTTGAGTTATTAGTGATAGAGTATGTGTAATTTTCAGATTTTCATACCATTATTTGTGGGAAATTTAGTTGCATTCTTTTGTCTTTGTGTCGAGAAGAGAGTAAGTCTCTTAAATTGCTGCGTTCAGCATAGGGGAGACAGATGTAAAGGTGACATGGCACAGCAAGATAGGCTCATATTGGATGAAATCCATTTTGTTTCGTCTTCTTCTTTCTTGTGTTCGTTTGTAGGCGATAAAACACGAATAGAGAAGAAGTTGAGATTTTTTGCACCTAACGCTCTCCTATTCTTAATCTATTCTTGTTTGCAAACTCGCATTCTATATACCCTTTGAATTTTTCTGTTCTTGTATGAAGGATAAATTGTTTAGCTAGGTATGTTTTGAGTGGTAACACGGAGTTTCAATCGGTATTTTATTGCTGTGAAATATACTTGTCCTTATTTTGTGGAAGGGTAGTGGTGTGTTTTGAACAACATATAAAGATATCAGCCTTGCCCGGCAGGGACTTGATAGGTTCACGTTACGATCTAGCACATCAAGAGAGAATACGAAGTAAATGCTTTTGTCTTGCTTTGGGCCATTTATCATCTATGGATCCTATTTAGGACACTGATGTTTTACTCTTATATATTTCTCATCCTTAGGTTTCTCCTTCTACATTTCTAGAATGGCTCCTGCACGAGAAAATGATTAGGTTTTTCCATGGTACACCTATAAAAAAAATTTCCCTATGCAGGTTGAGCCCGCGAACCTAGCATGTGCTCTGGCTTTCTATACTTTGTCTTTGAGAAAATTAGGAATGACACATAAACCAGTGTTAGTCAAGGTCGTCTGCAATTCAGTGATAATAGAGCTTGTACCTCCATTTTTAGGTGTTTAAACAACGGTCCATTTGAAGATCTTGCATATATAAATCGCTTTTCAAAATGGATTTTAATATGTATTAATGAATGATTACAGCAATGATTATGGTGAGATAAACCTCTCGTTTATGCCATATTTGGGCATCTTTTTCATCTAGTGGGGTTAAAACCTTTAGTAGATTGTATATATATGCAATGAAAAACGCACGCCTTCACCTTTGGTGTTCTCTAGGAAGTACCTCTTATGAGACTGACTACAATCCTCCAACTTGATATTGTTTGATGTTAGTGTTACTCTTATATAATGGATTGCTTGGGTATTGAGATAAGGGTTATGGTAAATTCTGCCTGTTAAATTCTATTTTGTTAGTGTATTATTCTGTTGGCCACTCTGGTTCTTTTGCGCGCTGTATTTCTTGTTTCCTTATCTCTTGTCTTTGATGATTGATGGTTCATAGGTGGCATGGCGTGGGTTGTGGCGCATTCATGATTTTGATTAAGTTCGCCCCTGTTCAATTCGATGAAGCCTCATTTTTCGCTCGAAAACAGCCTATCTATGCGTTTCCTACTACAAAAAATGTACAAACAAACCTAATTTTATTTGAATGTAGCCGGACAAGCAGATCTTTCGCTTCCTTTTGCTGACCTTTTTATATATATATCTATGTTCTACGAAACTTGGGTTGTTCAATTCCTACACTATAAAATTAAGCTCTCTTAGAAGAGTTTCTCAAAGTACAATGTGATTTTTCTTCCCCCCTCTCTCGCGTAGAGAGAGAACATTAATAGACGCTACACTTAAAATAAATTAAACATCATTGGGACGCTTTTCTACATTTGTTTCAAATGCAGTTTTAGCCTATAGCGAGCTTGAGGTATTTAAATTTTTAACAATTTAAATCATCATTCATTTTTTTTTTTTTTTTTTTTTTTTGGGTTTTGAGAATTTATTTCTTTTGTCAAAGAGATCATCTCTTCATATTGTGCTAAAAAATAAAAAATAAAAAGAAAAGAAAGTGTAGTGTTCCAAAACTTATCTGTTTTTGGCATTGCAAAATCTTGGATAATTTCTTGGCTTTCAAGGTCTCTTTTATATAATTATTTTTTTTAATTAATCCTTTACATGACATAGTTTCATTTTCGTGCAGTTCCTTTCTTTGCCACTGGCTTATAGGACATGCATTTCTTGAGTAACTTTACGGATAGTGTAACTTCATGTTATCGTTAACATTTTGCATTCCTTTCTAAGTACATTGTGATTATTAGATGAGTATGTGTAATTTTCAGATTTACCATTTTTTTTGGAATTAGTCATTCTTTTTGTCTTTGTTCAGAAAAGTAAGTCTCTTAAATCTCTCACATGGAGCAATATGAAGTACTGGAGCAGATAGGCAAAGGATCATTTGGTTCAGCTCTTCTTGTGAGGCATAAACACGAAAAGAAGAAGTGAGAATGAACCTAGCTCTCTATTCTTAATCTTCTTGTTTGCCTGCTATATTTGAATTTTGTTCTATGAAGGATAAATTGTTTGCTGTATGTTTTTTGGTGACACATTTCATCTTTTATTCTGATTCTTTTATGTTTGTGAAGGTATGTGTTGAAAAAGATTCGCCTTGCCCGGCAGACTGATAGGTCACGTCGATCTGCACATCAAGAGGTCAGTATCTTGCTTGCTGGGCCATTTATCATCAGATTATAGGACATGATGTTTATTTATATTTAAGTTCCTTCTACATTTCTGTTCTGCCGAAATGATAGGTTTTTCCATGGTTTACACCAAAAAATATTTCCCAGCGGTGAGGGAAGCATGTGCTCCTGGCTTCTTATGTCTGAAAAATTAGGAATGAAATAAACCAGTGTTAGTCAAGGGTCTGAATTCAGTGATTTAATAGGCTGTACCTCTTTTTAAGTTTAAACAAGGATATTTGGATCTTGATATGATAAATGCTTTTCAAATGGGTTTTGATATGTATTAATGAATGAATTCACAGCATGTTATGTGGATAAACCTCTGTTTATGATATTTGGATCTACAGGGTTAACCTTTTATTTGTTTTATGCAGAAAGAGCTCATTTCTAGAATACGAAATCCATTTATTGTAGAGTACAAAGATTCTTGGGTAGAGAAGGTAAATTCTGCCTGTAACTATTTGTTAGTTATAATGTGGCATCTTCTTTTGGTGTTTCTTTTTTCCCTCTCCTTGTCCTTGTGAATGGTTTGCATGGGTGTGCATTATGATTTTGATTAGGGTGTTCTTGATGAATCTTCCTCGAAAACAGTATATGGTTCCTATCAAAATTACACACCTAATTGATTTGAATGTACGACAGCAATCTTGTCCTTGTCCAACTATTCCAACTGGGTGTCACCCTTGACATTAATGCGCTACACTTAAATATTAACATCATGGGACGCTTTCTAACATTTGTCAAATGCTTTTAGCATGGAGTGATATTTTTAACATATCATCATCATGAAATCCTCTTAGATTCATGATTGGTTTGTTATGGCGTCTTTCTTCATTGGCCCAGTTATTGCATCATTATTACGGTTCGAGGACTCTTTTGAGAGATGGTCTAATAGTCATTCAATTTTGATACTTTTGGCTCAGGGTTGCTATGTATGCATTATCATAGGTTATTGTGAAGGAGGAGACATGTAAGTTTCCTATCTTGCCAGAATGATGATATATGGAACTGTAAATCCATATATGCATTTCACTTTGAAGTTAAGTTAACCTTGGCACCTGTGCTGTTTTCCTTTCCATGTGTTATAGGGCAGAAGCTATAAAGAAAGCTAATGGAAAGCTTTTCCCAGAAGCGGTTTGTGTTTTCCTTCTCTTTTTGGGCCCCCTTGTATCTTCAGGCAGTTTTCTATTCATTTTTATCGACTTCTATGCAAAAATTTAAAATTTGACCACTTCTTACTTTTTTGTTATCTAATATTTTTCAGAAGATCTGTAAGTGGCTTGTTCAACTCCTGATGGCACTTGACTACTTGCATATGAACCATATTCTTCATCGTGATGTCAAGGTTAGTGGCATACACCGAGTTTCATACTTGGATTAAACATTGAACCTCTCTTTAGAAATGCACTGATAATGTCTCATGATCCTAATGTCTCATGATCCTTCAGTGTTCAAATATCTTTTTGACAAAAGAACAAGACATTCGTCTTGGTGAGTGATCACATTTTTATCTTGTAATTTTTGTGGAGGGAGTTACAATATTCACGAATGAATAATGAACAACATTGATGCAGGCGATTTTGGACTTGCCAAAATACTGACTTCAGATGACCTTGCTTCTTCTGTAAGTATTTTGCTGCCTGAACTGGGTTAACCTTTCAATTCTCTTTCTTTTAGCTTAAGTTTTGCTGTCCTACATTCAGGTTGTGGGGACTCCCAGCTATATGTGTCCTGAGCTTCTGGCTGATATACCTTATGGTTCAAAATCTGACATTTGGTCATTGGGTAAGTTGTGGTATGTGTATGCAAAAGTTGTTCACTTTGATTTCTCTTTTGATTCTTGTAGTTTTTTATATTTCTTGAAACATTGTTGCTCAGGATGCTGTATATACGAAATGACTTCTCTAAAGCCTGCATTTAAAGCCTTTGTAAGCTTCATCGACCCTGATTTTTTACTTTGTAGATTTAAGATGTATTTCTTGTTACACTTTATTACATGTATAAAGATGGATTAATGAAAAAAGGTTCTCACTGTACTTCTCCATTTATGTTTGAGTTGTCTCCAACTGGCTAACATTTCTTTTTGTTTCTAGTTCTGAGTCTACTTATTGTATTTAAATTCTTTTGCTATGTTTCTTGAGCAGGATATGCAAGCACTGATTAACAAGATAAATAAATCAATAGTTGCTCCGCTTCCAACTAAATATTCTGGCGCCTTGTATGTTCTGCATCCCTTCATTTTATAGCTGCTGTAGCAGTAAAGCCTATAGATGATGGGGTTTTAGTGAATATTCTGTCTGATCCTGTTCCTATTCAATGTTACAGCCGAGGTCTCGTCAAAAGCATGCTGCGAAAGAATCCAGAACTTAGGCCAAGTGTATGTGTAATCTCCTTTCGTCTCTTCTTTTGTGATGTGTGAAAATCCTTCTGCAAAAGAGCATCATTGTAGGCTGCCATAATGATGGCCTATAAAGTCCCATTTCATTGGTTCTGCAGCAAAATATTGCTATTCGTTGGACTACACAAATATTTACACTTATATTCTGAACTATGAAGTAAAGTTTCAAAGTAAATTAGTTATTTCATGCTAATCAGTAATCTCGAACACTTCCAGAGATGACAACACAGAGCCAAGTTTACTGTTAGTACACAGTGCTCTAAAATCTTTTGTTGTTTTGCTATAATTTGCTTGCTGGTAAATTAACCCTTGCATTAGAGATATGTGCCAGTGTATAGACTTTCTTGTAAATTGATATGGTTCTCTATTTGAATGTATATTGAGGTAGGCTGCAGAGCTGCTGAGGCACCCACATCTTCAGCCTTATGTTGTTAAGGTTCACCTTAAGATGAATAGTCCTCGACGAGATGCACTACCTTACCAGTGGCCTGAGCCGAATTACATAAAGAAAACACGATTTGCAGATCCAGAAGATTTTCCTCTGAACTCATACAGGGAGAAGCGGTACTCATTCAGCAATGATAGGGCATTAAACCCAATTACATCTGAAGCAGATGAAGAGTCCTTTTGTTCTACCAAAGGAATGCATCGTAGGTTATCAGAATTATCCATTGGAAGTAGCAATGAAGGAACAGTTATTTGTAAACCGATTACTTCTTCAAAACCTTCAAAAATTTCCAAGACTTCAAAGGTTACCGCAACAAAAGCTTCTGCTGCTGTTGTTAGGAGAGAAAGAGAACCTGTGAAGAAACGTGAATCTGTAAGACAATGGAAATTCCTGTCTGTCTTTTCTCAAACACATACATGCAAGCATTTACACTCGCACATGCGAACTCCAGCATGCATGCACGCACACACAAATGCACATAGAGCTTGTCAATTGCAACTTTTCCTGGAAACACAAATCAGGTTCTTATGTGTCATTTCATTATCTTTTTCAGCTTCCTGTTACACGCACACCAACAAAAAAATCTGACCCTACAAATCGCAGAGCATCTTTCCCATTGCCAGCAAGATCCACAAATATTGGTATCCTTCACAGTATAAAATCTCCAGATGTCTCTGTCAATGCACCACGAATTGACAGGATAGCTGAATTTCCATTAGCTTCATATGAAGAGGCATTCTTTCCTATCCGGAAAACTTCATCAACTTCAGCACAAGGATCATGTGGTTCCCCACATCATGGTGACCGTTCAATCACTAAGGACAAATGCACAGTTCAGATAAGTGACAGACCCACTGCGAAGCTCAATTTCAGTGAGGCATGGCAAGGAATTGAGCATAGCATGTTTCAGTTAGACGAAGAGGAAGGAAGCAACTCCTCTAATCAAAATGCAACTGCTGGGGCATCAAGCCACACCTCATCAGACACAAGGCGCCGTAGGTTTGACACCTCATCGTACCAGCAGCGAGCTGAAGCTCTGGAAGGACTGCTTGAATTTAGTGCAAGATTACTGCAAGAGGAAAGGTATGATGAACTTGGTGTGCTACTAAAGCCTTTTGGACCCGGCAAGGTCTCGCCGAGGGAAACTGCTATATGGTTGACAAAAAGCTTCAAGGAGAATACTCAAACCTGAAGATTCCTAGCAAGTAACCAGTTTCACATGTATTATAATTGTAGCTGTGACAGTTTTTAGAGCTCGGTCTATCAGCTTTTCGTCAATGACATGTGAAGAGGCACTAGATATTTAGGCAGATGCTTCTTAGATTGTAAATTTCAGTGCCCCTCTCATTTTTCCTTTTTTTTATTTTTTTTATTTTTTTTTTTTTAAATTTTTATCAAGGTAGCCAATGTAGTATGGCAAAATACCGATTCAAACTCATAATTTGTAGACGAGTTGGGGCAGGCAAATGGACTACCATAGCTGTACTCTCCAATAGATATTTTATATCCACGGCTAATCTGCAGTTCCCATACGACAGATTTGTCACTTCTGTAGCTTCCAGTTCTCCTATCCTCTAATTTTGTTTATGGAAAAAAAAGACATTGATCGATTTTTAGGGTTCTAAAGTATGAAATACTTGAATGTTAGTTTGCGGGACTCCAAACATAAACATTACCTTAAACCTACGTCATATTCCCTTGGCAAATAAAAGCAGAACGTGAAATTTTGGAGGATTCTATGTGGTCAAGTCTGATACAAATTTAAATTTAGGTTTTAATAAAATGTTGCATTTAGATCATTTAAATTTTAAATAAAATTACAGGTACTTTTTTTCGAGGGAGAAAATCACATGTACTTTTAAACTCTGTTTCTTAAGAACTATTAAATTATATTTAATAATCTAACAAAAAAATTCAGAAAGAATCTTTGCCAGTAACTCTTTAGGAGAGTGGCAAATGGCTTGATTAGGGGGAACTTTGCAGGCCTTAGCCAATAAACTATGGCAGGAGAACATACAATATAAAAACAAATACAAACAAAATCAAGTGATAGAGACCATTAAAGAGTCAACAGGAGGGTTTATTTCCTTTAAATAAGAACAATGCCTGCGTCTTTGTAGTGGAGATGGGAAAGGCAAGTAGGTGGATGATAAGTTTCTTGCTAGGGAAAAAGGAGGAGAAAGAAAAGAAGAAAAAAAACATTTCTTTCTATGAGGATAATGTGAAAACCCCAAATGCAAGTTTACCATCTGCTCCTACTACTTACAAGAGGAGATGGAGTTTTGGGAAATCATCAAGCAAAGAGAAAGTTCATAAAAGTTCAACATCTCTCGACTCAATCATCCCTCTCATAGCTCAACATGCATCATCATCATTGGAATGGGAAAATCAGCTAAGTAAAAAGACCAAGACAATAGCAACACCACCACAATCTATAAAAAGACTTGTGGCATCAGAACATATAATAGATAGAATAAGCAAATCAGCTGAAGATGCGGCTGCCACCAGAATCCAAGCTGCTTTTCGATCTCATCTGGTACTAACATGTATTCCTTTTCATTTTACACATGTATGTTTTCGATTCAAATCCTGACATTTTTTCCTTTGAAAATTTTCAATGATACTGAAGAAAAAATAAAGTTTACTGAACTACTTTTGCAGGCAAGAAAAGCACTATGTGCTTTGAGGGGATTAGTGAAGTTACAAGCACTGGCAAGGGGTCACTTGGTGAGGAAACAAACAACGGCTACTCTCCGGCAAATGCATGCACTGATGGCAATACAAGTTAGGGCCCGGTTTCAGAGAATTCAGATGGTTGAAGAATTATCACAGCTTGTTGCAAGAAGCCAATCATCCAGGCATGGAAATTTCTCTCATGATAATGAACTAAGAGAAGCATACAGAGTAAGCAATACAGGAATTCAATCAAACTCTTGACATTTGATTTGATTTACTACTGTTTTAATTTGGTAACGTGTTCATGTAGGAAACTATCGACCTAAATATTTATGAAACGAAAAGACATTTAAAGGAGAAACATCGATATTTTAATCATTCACATATAGATAAAAGAGGGCACAGCAGGCCCCAGAAATACTACTCCAGCGAACTCATCTCAAACAGAGAGAAGCAATACGATGAGTTTTCCTTCCCAACAGCACCAAGTAGTCCCCAAATCCATTCCCCAACTTCAAAGGCAATCCCAGGAAGAGCCTCTTTCACCTATCAGAAACCAGATTACATGCAACCTATTTCTCATCCAAACTACATGGCCAACACAGAATCTTCAAGAGCTAAAGTCAGGTCACAGAGTGAACCTAAACAGAGACCAAATTGGAATATCAAACCAAAAAGCAAGCAAGCAGCTTCAATGGATGGAAGGAATCGCCAGCTAGATGCTCAGATACAAGGCTCATCCACTTACTCGACACCCATTGCTCATGAGAATGAAGACCCCTGGTTCGTCAAGCTTTATCAATCAACCAGATCAAAGGATGGTGACTGTGATGTTAAGAGCCCAGCTAGCTCTAGTTATTCAAATTACAGCAAACTTCTTGTTGCATACGAGGTAGGTTCCTATTCATTTTCATGACTATTTCACAAATTATCTTGCAAATGTTTTTGTTCTGAGTAATTTGAATCTTTTGACTGCAGCCACATTTGAATCTGTACTAACTGATCACCCAAATTCTTATGGCTCTTTATGCCTACTGAAGAATTTCTGAAGGAATAACTAGCATACAAGTTCGCTGCTATGATGCTATCAAAGAAACATGCCAATTGTTTTAAATTTACAAATCTAACATATTGTAAGGGAGCAGCAAATTCAAGTTCATCCATAAAAAACTTCTAGGGAAACAAATTAACGAAATCAGTTCAATTTGACAATTTATGGTAATCATCACTGCAGTCACAGGGTAAGGATGAATCCTGCACAGCATAAAATTCATGGATGAAGGAACGATCTGATTATGTATTTAATATGCTAAAGATATAAAATCATGGAACAAAAGGTGAAATACCAAAATCATGTTCGTCTTTCCTTCCTTTACAATGATGAATGATAGCTTTTTCCAAAAAACATATCACGAGCAATGAACAAGGTGATTAATTGTCTGCAAAATCTAACCTGCACATGCAGTGAATCCATAAGTTAGAGAAACATGCCCCTGCATTATATACTGTTTAAACTTTAAAACTGTGCATTCATTGTGTTTCAATTGATTAGTCCCCCAAAATCTCAGTTGTTCTTGAAGAACAAATTTGAGATCCCATTTAAAATAGCTAGAAAAGCTGATATGCAGTGAATCCATAAGTTGGAAAAAAAATGCCCCTGCATGAAATACTTGTTAAAAACAATGTAAACTTTTAGGCATTTCATTGTGATTCAATTGATTAGTCCCCAAAATTCAGTGTTTCTAAAGAAGCTGATTAATACATCATAATTGCACAGCTTCAAACTGACAGAATTATGAGGTATATTTTATGAATGCACAATGTGCTTTGAGAAGCACTATGATCAGGAAACCTAACCGAGCCATGTAGATATGTATGACATTTGCAAGGCTTCAGCAAAAGGTATTACAAGGTTAAGAATATTTATAAGGATGTTCCAAGTCAAATGAACATGCTAATCAAGAAAATTCAGGGAAGACAAGCAGACCCTGAGGTATTAATAAGATAGTATTGATCAACAAGCGGAAATTCTTAATACATGGAAAGAGACTGAACCTCGTTTGCTCTTGTAACTAGTACTTGTGATCTCCACAAAAGCGTAATTCTGTTGCCAGTACACCAAACCTCTAAGATTTCAGTGGTTTAATGTTTTATGGAATGCAACCTGCAATTTTCATGAATTATTAATTATGCATGTGTATATGCGTTGTAGGCTTAAATTTGAAAAGAAGAAAAATCTGAGTATGTATGTTGACCAAGTAACCACATTGGAACGAGTATGAAGCATGGGACTCAGAAGTACTATGAATACAATTTCAAAATATGAGATTGTTGACACATTCACTAAATGAAAATACGTACAGATGTTGATGTCTTCAGCAACTCCCTAATGGCCATTGTAGCATAACATGAAGCAGGAAGTGTGAAGCTTAACTTGAGAGCTGTTTGGGCTCCATGTGAATTAGACCCAGTGGGAGACTCAGCTTGTGGTAGCCCTTCTTCTCCATCACTCTCTGCCTCTTTATCTACCCGTTCATGTTCATCATTTTCAAAGCTTGCTGTCAATTCCGTTCCATCAGAAAGGCTTTTCCCCTCATCTCTGTTGACTCGTTCTTCTTCTTTGATTAATGTATGTGTTTTTCTCTTGGCAACTTTTTCTAAATCTGTCTCTGCCAATGGTGTATTACAATCAGTATATGAGACTAATTCCCTGCAAAATGAGAGAGATAACAATGATTGGTCAAAATATTATCCAGATATCGAGACCAATAAAGCTACACGATGAGGAAACAGGCATGCATACGGCATACCATTCAAAGTCCATTGGCTTCTGAAAAACACGCCTATAACTTCCCGTCATGCTGGTTATAGAAAATTCCCTACAGAAAAGACATGTATAGCTTTAATTAGAATAAAGTAAGTGTGCATGAGAGGGAGAGAGAGAGGGAGCGAAAAAAGTAATATCGTAAAGAAATTGAGGAACAGCATTTTGTTGAGTACTTGACATTATGCACACTCTCAGCCAAATTGATAGCATCCTGATCAGAACAAATAAGATGATAATTAAAAGTAAAAACAAACAAAAAGAAAAAGGAAACTGAGAAGACTATAATTTGAATGTGAAATAAGCAAATAAATAAATAGAAAAAGTGAACCCCCACCACCCATAGGTGAGTGGTCAGACTCAAATCTGATGCTCCCTAAATTGAGAATGGCAAAAAGGCAGCCAAATTTTCATATTTTATGCTTTGTCAACATGGAATGATAAAAATGAGATTTGTGCACCCTATTCACGTTGAGGGGGCTGAGACCAAGGTCTCTTCCCCTTTGAAATAAACAGTTAAGATAATTGATTAAACAGCTAAGGACTTTTCTTTTTCCTTATAGAGGCAGGTAATTGATCACTAATGCATTTCAAACCTTCTTTGCCAAATCATGATAAGCCTCAGCAATGTCATTTGTTGGATAGCACACCCTAGATCTGCCAAAACAACAAAATCTAAACTTTAAGAAGAAGGAAAAGAGAACTTCATTGTTGACTTTCTTAATATTGTACAATCATGTAATGGTTGGCTTTCCTTACCCAGGCATCGGAAGGATGACATCATCAACATTATAATTTCCAGTGGAGATATCTTCCGCAGTTACTGCCTGCCAAATGATAGGTAGCCATCTTTACAATTTAACATATTCATTGCATGAGTGGGTTATACATCAGATTAACAACAGAGAGCACTATCAGCACGGTTCATTCATAGTTAACTTCAGAATGTGTACAAAAATGTAAGAAATAATTATGTGATAACTATAATGTAGGACCTAACCTTAACAAGAGCATTTTTCCTTTCAGGACAATCTGTTCCAGTGGTTTCATCCAAATTAGAGCAATCATAGATGTCCCCACAGCTACCATCTTCACATTCAGAATTAAAATCTGCTGCATCCTTCTCAGTATCATTTTCTTTGCAATACACCAAGTCCCCCACCACAACTTGGTCAGTTCCTGGCACATAATTAAACATATCAAAATTTTTTGTGATCGCTGCCAAAAAAGAGTGATAAAGCTTTGACAATGTGCATAATGGTATCAGCCTATAAAGGACAACAATGACAGGCAAACCACATGCTTTATTCACTGTGCACAAGAACAACAAGAAACTAGAAATACAACAGGATACCATATTTTTGCACTCTCATACTTGCTGCATGGTTCCACAAATAGCTTTGATAACTGTGTACATACCTGAAAAATAATTGCAGAATAAATATCAAAATTAGAAACCATAAATCTAATATAAAATAGCTTCCTCACGCAAGTTCCACAATCTCTTTGTATTAAACCAGTTATGCAGAAAATATAATGGTATAGTTGTACCTAAAAAGATTAGACATTGAAAGAATATTGGTTTTACATTAAGAATACACATCACAAGCACAAACTCACACAAGGCATTGAAAAAATATTGGCTTTACATTAAGCATATATTGGTTTTCTATTTTTCATTTTCTAAGAAAACCGTTTTTTATAAGTGAACACGCCCTTAACATGTAAAGCTTAATCATGCCTAAGCACTGGATTGTCTAAAATAGAATCACCTATAGCACAAGTTTATTAAATTTAATATTCAATGGTGAGTGAAGGCTTAGAAGTGCGAGTGCCTGAGATACTTTCAGAGAGCATGTATATAACCATGGAACACAGCCTGTCTATGTTAGTTCTCTTATGAAACTAGGCCAATTTCATGTCAAAAGGAATATATTAGTGTTGATATTGCTGAATAATCACTTACATCATTCTCAAGGTTCTAGGTATGGACTTTAAGGCCTGTGAATAGTTACCAGGACATTTTTTCAAACACTGAAGCTGTGAAACATATAAAAAAAAGAGAAAGTTACGCTAATCAAGAGGTAATATTATGCAAGAATATAAATCCCACCTCTCACATGGATGTATGAACAACATTTATTAAACAATTGTGACTAAAACAGAAGGGAAAGGACAGTAAGTTAATTGATTCCACAATAGGGTTAGAAACCTGTTATCTTTTCCCTCTTTTTTCTCACACTTATTTCACATGTTGTCCAACAGATTAAATACTAGCAGTGGCCACCACAGAGAGAATGGTGCAGAACAATGATATCAGACAACTTACTATAGCCCTTTCAGCAATCAGATAGCGAGGTAATTGCCTTAGAGTTCCTTCAATATCGCCAGTTTCCTTATAATATTCTCGTGCCTTCCTTACTGCATCTCTTTGTATTTAAATATCTTAGTCAAGAAAACAACTGCTACTAGTTCTACAAATAATGTTCTAGTGTTGGAAGTAACATACATTTGACTTAAGAACAATTATATGGGAAAATCCTCTGCATAAAATACAGAGCCAACAAAAGGATATCTCCTTCTCTTGGATCAAGAATCATGCTTACGACATTTTTCCATTCTCCTCGGAATAATGCAGCCCCAATGAGATGTGTTGGCACAGAACCACTACCAAAACGCTGAAAATTATATGATAAAACAGTGTAAGGCATACAATAAAATCATGAGTAAAATTATAATAATGAAAAAATAAGATGTAATAGGTAATTCAACTCAAAGTTTTATAGAAATCAAAATCAGATATCAGTATGCTCAGCCAACAAATTTCTGTAAGGCTGGCTGATTAACTACATTTGAGAACAGCAAATATAGAATGTATACTACAAATTTCAGAAGAAATGGAAGCATCAACACAAATATAAAAGTGGGAGAGAGAAGAAAGATAGATGATCAAGGAAGTACTTGTAAGCCAAAGTAGTTGATGAACCCATTCCTTCCTAATGAATCTGCAGATCTTTTAATCGTATCTTCAGAGTCTGCAACAACTCCTCTAATGAAATGCAAAAGCTGTGAGTCCATGCAACAAGAAATTGGACAATGAATGCAACTAGCCAGCATAGAAATGAAATCCATGCATGGGAAACCACTCTTACCGTAATGTGACTGTGAATCGATTCCCTAGGAGCTGCCCAAGAAGAAGTCCTTCCTTAACATGGCTGCAGAATAATGCAACAATAGTTTATGACGTGCTAAAAATAATTTCACAAGAAACTAGGCGAACTTAAAATTTGACCTTACCAGAAATCACCCACTTTGATACCAATCAATCTGTCATTAAGAGCAGCTAGTCTACTGGCATGCTGCTTGAAAACAGTGACCTGGAAGAACAAAAAGAACATAACAACTGAAATATCTTTCTCCAATCAGGCAATAATTAATCAAGCATGCCAAGAAAATTGCACCATTCATGCAGTCACACTCAACTTTGTTAAGAACATAGACCTAGAAATCCCAAATGAATTTCCATTTTATAATCGCAATTCAATTCAGGTTGAAGCAAATGCCCTTTATAAATGGACAAACTAAAATGAAGCAACAGGAGGATTTCTGATTAATGAGAATGGCTTACTCTTTGAGTTGAGATAGCGCGCTTGTCCTTTGTACCCGCAAACCCAAAAGATCGTGGCTGTGAAAAAAAAAAATTCAAACAGAAATTCCAAAATATGATAAAACAATTTCAATTTCCTAGAAGCACAGACATCATAATCCAAATAGGGGGAAATACGAGCAGCATATCAACATATTTGTTCCCAGGAAAAAAAAAAAGGTTTAAAAAGATAACAGGCCAAAAAAAAAAAGTATTATTCCCATGATTACTAATTATGCCCCAAAATGACTGATTCAAATAATAATCCGATTGTAAGCCAAAAATTTTTGGTTTTATTATCTTTCACCATCTCAACGTAGGCAAAAACATAACAACGCCACAAAGCTTGATGTACCTGAAGGCCAAGCATCTTTCCTATCAGACTCATAGCTTCCTGTGTATCCTTATTCTCTTTGTAAAGATGAAACCTGAAAATTTAAATTTTCGGTCCCTTAATGATTTTAAATTATAATAACAAAATCTCTCATCATAAAAAAAAAAAAAAAAAGCTATATTTGCTGCAATTTTGAAAATCCTACAACCATTATTTGACAACCACCTAAGAAATTTGCCAAGATGCTCTGGCCAATCATCTGAACCTCTACTATCAAAAGGCTTATCACCTCTTTCCTTCCTTTTCTTGGAGTTTCTACCTCCATTTTTATGTCCTCCAGAATTCAATCTGATACGAATGCATTTCGATGAAGCATCAGGTCCGTCAACAGTATCAGTCACAAGGAACTTGAACTTCTCCTTGAAGAAATTGTGCATTGCCTATAAAATTCAAAACACCAAATCAACAAACATCATGTACGCCATTAAAAATAAATAGATAAATTAAATAAAATCAAAACTTGAGAACAAACCGTTCTATGAGCTTTATCAGAATCCGGAGAAAGAAGAATAGGCGAAATGCTACTTCTATCTTCACTAGCAGAAGTAATTTGAGCAATAAAAGCTTCTAAACACTGCGTATCAGGCTCACTTGCAAGTAACCTAAACGATTCAATTTCAGATTTGTAATCTTTATCTAATTCATTCGATACTTTGTTTGCTCTGTCTCCTACAGCTTCCACAATCTAAAAAAAATAAAATAAAAGCAAAAAACAAATTAACACAAAAACCTATCTAAACAGACTAAACAAGTATCGACTTTCCGAAAAATTATGAAATTAACCTGTGGAGGGACTTCAAGAGAGGTCAAATGAACTACATTTCCATCGGTATCAACTTCGTTTACTATAAAATCGGAGTATCTTTGCTTGAGAATTCCGCGAAAGCCAGGGAGTTGAGATATATAGCAGAGGATTCCGACGTCGCGTTCTTCTATGGTAGTTTTGAGGGTTGACATCGGAGATATTGAAGAATAACTTTCTCTTGATGCGGTGGTTAGGGTTCTGACATAATATGTGGAGTTGCAGAAGGAAGACGACAGGCAGGGTTTTAGTACTGAAACGTGCCACCGCATCTGGAGGTTTTAGTTTACTACACTGCTTCTCCAAAAATGTGTCGTTTTACTTTTAGTCTCATCACTTGAGAAAACTCGACAGAAAAAACTTGCTGACGTTTGATAAATTTCTGCTAATATCTAATTGTCGTTCGCCTCTATACAAAGTGGAAATGCATTTTCCCACAAAACAAATAGTTTCCAATCATTTTCAAAAATTGGTGGTTATTTATTTGATGTGAAATCTATATAATTTTGCATTTTTATCATTTATAGTTGTAAAATAGAGCCTACAAATTTGAATAGTAATACTTGTAAAAATAAAATTAAATGATTTAATTAGCATCGATGATTAAAAAGATTATGAAATTCATAAATCCCACTTTTGCTTTAAAATGATTAAATTAAGAGTATCATGGAAATTTATGTTTATTACTCTTCAATTAAATTAAAAAAATGAAAAATTCATTAAATATTTAAATATATCATTGGAATTCCATCCATACAAAATACCTCTTAATTAAAAAAAAAAACATTTTTCACTTGTTTATTATGAGTTGGATGTTTTTTCATTCACCATTTATAATTATTTTAAATGGAATTACCTATATTGGAGGATGAATTAAAATAAATAAATTTGCAAAATCTTTCATATATTCCCGTTTATCCATTAACTAATTATTTATGATAAATATAAATAATTTAAACCGTTAAACTTGATGAGGGAACAAAACAAACCATATAGGAAAGATTTAAATAGTAAATTTAAAAGTTATTTAAACCATATTGAGTAAAAGTTATTTAAAAATAATGGAAAAATCTTATCCCCATACTATTTTGTTGGATCGAATATTCAATAAATGTAAATTTGATTAATAAATTTCCCTTATTTATTTTAAAATTTTTATCACTCTAGTTATTTTCATTTGAACTTACTAAATTTGAATGATGATATTTAAATTTTTCATAAATTTATTAACTTTTATAAAATATACCATAACACACAAAATTAATAATTATTTTTCTAGCAGCCTCACCTCAATATTCAATTATTATAGATAACTTTATGGATTTTTTTTTATTAACAATAAAATTTAAACCAATGAATTCCATCCTAAACTAAATTAAAAGGTTTTAATTTGTAAATTAAGTGAAACATGACAAAATAAATAATAATTAACCCAAAGCCGAAAACGAGTGTTCCAAGGTCAGTTCGCACTCTTTTTAACTCTTTCCGTCCTCTCGTTAACGGTACAAGTATATAACAGATCCGCCGGCCAGAGCCGGAGATCGAGAGCATAGAAAGATAGTCAGATACGCCTACTATCCACAGAGAGAGAGGGACTAATACTATGGTGACTAAAACAGAGGAGACACAATTGAATAGGCTAGAAAGTCAAGTAGAGCATGGAGGTGGAGGAGCATGGGAGTATCTCTGCTTGGTCAGGAAACTCAAGGTTAGAAGATCAGATAAGGTCTTGAAACATGGTTTGTTGATCTTGAATGAGCCGAAGAAAAGATCTAGTCTTGGCCCTGAAGGTGATTTATTTATTTATTTTTAAAGTTCCTTTCTCTTCTTTATTGATTTGCTATATTGGGTTTTGCTTAATTGCAGTGAATTTCAGTTTTTTTCAGCATTCTGACGAGCTCTGTGGTTGATTTGAATTGGGTCTGATTAAGAGTTCTGGACTTGTTTGTATGATTTTGAATGATTGGGATTTGAGACTTCAAAATTTGGTGTTGATTGATTTGAATATGAAATTCTGTGTAACACAGTGTGAAAGCCTTGACCTCTCAATGAATGAGTTTGACTATGTTTAAGAGGCTACAATGACTGCTTATCTGGATATGGGAGGAATTGAAAGTATAAGAAAGTAAACAGCAGGAGTGTCTAATGGAAAGCACTAGTTCTGCGTGCGAGGGATTCTATAGAAAACAGTACACTGTTTGTCAAGACTAGAGATTTATTCGACTTCTAATATAGATTAGACCAATGGCCTGTTTTCCGTTGGTCTTGTGATTTGAGTTTAACACGCGCACACATATAGATCTCATTGCTTTTAAATTGAAAAGAAAAATTGATGTCCTAATTGAAATAGTAGTTAAATCTTTCATGGTGCTTAGAATAAATTTATGTGGAATTCATTTCATTTTCAAATGAACTTCGTTAATGTATTTCATGTTTGGATCAATTATAGAATTCATTCTAAACGTGCAGCTTTACTAGCTTATACTTAAAATTGTTAGTTTTAGTAGCTTGTTCTCCTTCTAAGTTTAAAATTCATTTGCAAATTCTATCAGATGATCTAAGCATAATCAATTCCATAAAATTGAAAATGTGAAATTCTAAATAAATTTTCATTTATACCAAATATGTTGTAAATTGAATTCTATAAAATTTCATGAAATTCTTTTGTACCAAACAAAACCTTTAGAATTGAAGACTTTCAGTGTCACTGCAATTTAAAGTTTTTCCCTCAGCTTCCTCCCCGTTTTTTCCAAAGTTGCAGCTCTGCAATTATCGAATAGTACTTCTAACAGGAGATGTTTTTTTCTTGATGTAGAATGGACTCTGTACGAACAGGTGGCAATTGCAGCCATGGACTGCCAGTGTCTTGATGTTGCGAAGGTATTGCTTTTTCCCCCTTCTACACTCAACATCATTGCCTGTTTTTATTTTTAAGAAACGAGAATCTAGGCAAAAGTTTCTATTGGTGATTAAAGCCATAATTTCTTTCGAAGAAGACTGGTACTCTCAGATTTAAGCTGTTTCATTAGGTCATACATTGTTTAGATGATAAAATATGGTTTTTTTGCAGTCTTATGATTGCTTTATCATGATTAGTATTACCATATATTTTGTCAACAACTGGTGTGTCACCCTAGATATCTTTTGAAGACACAGATTATCATGTATGCAGTAGCTCCTCACCGCTTGAGCTATCATTAGATCAAAGCGCTCAACTCATATCCATTTCTGACCCTCCTTTCCTTTTCCATGCTAAAACATAATGTTTTATGTGGAGCTGTTTAATTCATAGAATTTTGTTGATTATTTCAATAGTGGGCAGTGCAAGATGCACTATCTTGAAATGATATGAAATTGGTGCACTTTTAATTCTGGAACTTTTTGCAGGATTGCATTAATGTGTTGCAGAAGAGATTTCCAGAGAGCAAAAGAGCTGGTAAGTCAAAATAACCTACGAGCAGCTCTATTTGTGTGCTTTACCATTATTTTGTGTAGGAGCATTCCTACTTGTCCCGGTTTCATACCCGTGAATTGTGCTTAAGAAATTCCATTATCCTACTTTTTCTCGTTTCTTCTATCTGTGGCCCTGTGGCTAGGAGAGTTTTAGGTTTTCTAGCAATTTTTTTAGATACTAAGGGGCACACCTGGATATATAGGTATGAAATTGTCAACATTCTTATCACCATTTGTTTCTCCATTTTGCTTATCCAACAGTAAAGAGAAACAAAGCAAAGAACCTTTTAGCAATTGTTTTATTTAACTCATCATCTGGCCACATTTTAATGGGCTAATACTAAAATAACCAATCTGAAGATTCTTGGTCAGTGATCCCATTTCAATATTCTTCGTGCTAGAAATTTTGTCTGTCTTCATTAGGCCTTCAGTCTTTGATGGTGTGCTTCTAGGGATGGAGAACTTTCTGTGATATGTCCTCAATTGGACAGCACGTTTTCTTTTGTTTCTTAGCATGTGGCAGTGACGGATGACCTATATGTAGGATCACTATATCTAATTGGCTAGTTTTTGGCTCAAGAGGATTATATAACGTTTTCTTTTGTTTCTTAGCATGTGGCAGTGACGGATGACCTATGATGTAGGATCACTATATCTAATTGGCTAGTTTTTTTTGGCTCAAGAGGAATTAATATATTATATATATATATATATATAATATAATATTGGTGGACATTCCTGTAACACTAAGTTGGGCTTCGGGTCTAAACAGCTTATATATTGGTGGACATTCTGTAACATAGTTGGCTTCGGTCATAAACAGCTGGTTTTATATATTGAAAAGATGAATAGTCAGTACCTTTTGGCTGTATTTTGGGCCTTTTAATGCTGTTAAACTAATTATGTAACTAGTGAAGAGATATTTCTTGAGCTTTTGACATTTGATGTTTTGATAATGTTATTTTGGACTAAATTACAGGCAGGCTGGAGGGGATGTTACTTGAAGCAAAGGGATCTTGGGCAGAGGCTGAAAAGGCTTACTCCAGTCTGCTAGAAGATAATCCACTGGATCAGGTAAATTTGTATCCAATTATTAATGAAATGGAACTTTTATTTCTTGAGGGGATGCTTTATTTATTGGTTTTCTTAAGCAGGTAATACTTAAGCGGAGGGTAGCTGTGGCAAAGGCACAAGGCAACATATCAGGAGCTATTGAATTGCTCAACAAATATCTTGAAATGTGAGGCAGATCTGAAAACCCTCATTCTTTGTGGTTGTGATAATAAATCAGTGTTGTGCATGTCTGAGTTTTGTTCTTTTGTTGTTCATCCCTTTCCAACTTTGCTAGATTTATGGCAGATTCTGATGCCTGGAGAGAACTTGCTGAGATATATGTATCTCTACAGATGTGAGTTCCTTTTCTTTATTGTCAGTTAAGAAAGCTATTGTCTACTAAATTCCTTCAGTCGTGTTGTCACTGGATACTTCATTAGCAGCTTAATCTATGTCTCTACATTGATAAATTAGGTACAAGCAAGCAGCATTCTGCTATGAGGAGTTGATACTATCTCAGCCTACTGTTCCTGTATATCATTTAGCCTATGCTGATGTAAGTAACTTCTCCATTCTGGTTATTATCCTTTTTATTTTAATGAAATATTAATCTCTTTCCTTTTCTCTTGGTTTTTGTGGTTTAATAAATTTTGATGCGTTTAAGAGTAAAATAGATCTTTTTTGAGAATATTATAATATACAAAACAAGATGCAATTAAATTTGCCATCTCCTTATTTGTAAAAATACTACATATTCTCCTTCTTGCCATTAATCCTATACAACAGCTGACGAAAATCCCAACTTCTGCTAATACTCATCAAACCATGCAGAAGGAGAAGCTTGACAGCATCTCTCATTCTGAAACTATTTGTTGATAGAAAACACTTGAGGCATACCCAAACAGCTTGCCTCAGACCCCTCTTCCTTTAAAAGCTCTATAGCTGCTGCCCACATTTGATATGTGTGTCTAGAAGCTTTTGGAGACTGTTGCAATGCAATCTTGCCACTGTCAGTAAATGTTAATCTTCTTGGTTTTACTGTTTAATGCTTATGCCTTCTTGGTTTAACAGGTGCTTTACACTCTTGGTGGATTAGAAAACCTACAGGCAGCTAAGAAATATTATGCATCTACAATAGAGTTGACTGGGGGCAAGAACACCAGAGCACTTTTGGGAATTTGTTTGGTGAGCTCCTCAATACTCATTAATTTCAATGATGGTTGCATTATATTTCATTTATTTGTTTCTCTTTTGGCCTTCACAGGCAAAATCCATTCATTAGCTTTATATATTATCTACTGTAGTTATGAGCTCTTTGCTTCTTCTAATCTGTCATTTAGCTGATATCTGAACTGTATGACTAAAAGAATACTATGATCCCTGTTATCCAGTGTACTTCCGCCATTGCACAGCTTACGAAGGGGCGAAACAAGGAAGACAAAGATAGCCCAGAGCTACAGTCTCTTGCAACAGCAACTTTGGAGAAAGACTACAAGCAAAGGGCTTCTAGCAAGCTTTCTGTGCTCACTTCAGCACTAAAAAGCTTGAAAGTTTCATCATAACTTCTTTATCATTGAGTGATGCTTTCTATGGTTGATAAGCTAGAATGCTACAAATGTTTCAAGTTCTTGTTTTTCTTTTCATTGAAGTCCTTAACATTAGGACATGATGTATTATTTTAGAATCCTCCATTGAGCAAACTACTAATATCGTGAGATGAATTTTTTTTTTCTTTGCTATCGAAATAATAGTGTAACAGATTTTCCTTTTTTTATTATTTTATACATCGAAATTCTTAAAAATTCTGCAATACTAGTCGATTGCAGAAACGCCAATAAACCGCTTCTGATATCATTTACTTTCATAAGAATTAAGAAAATAATTAAGATATCTCAATAAAAAAGAAGGTTTTTTTTTTTTTTTTTTAAAAATAATTAAGATATGCTCAATAAAAAAAGAAAGGTTTTTTTTTTTTTTTTTTTTAAGGTAAAAAATGAGGTTAATTTAAGAATTGGAATCATTAATAATCTAATTTTGGAGAAAAAAAATAGTAGTTTAAAAAAAATAAGAGTTTTTTTTTTTTTTTTTTAAGGTAAAAATGAAGGTTAATTTAAGAATTGGAAAATCATTAAATAATCTCAATTTTGGAGAAAAAAAAAATAGTAGTTTAAAAAAAATAAGAAAATGATTAAATGACTTTAATTTCAGAGAAATATCCTCTACAAGAAAGTCTGATATAATTTTTATACATTTTTTCTCATGTAATATTAATAAAGTTTTATATATAAATTTTTATTATTCTAAAATTTGTAGTCTTATAGATTTAGTTTTTTAATATGTTTTGGCTAATTTTTAATACTATAACCAATGAATTGTTGGAAAAAATAAATTAGTTCAAAAATATTTTTTCAGAAGTAATTATTTCCTTAACAAGACAAACTACTTTATTATTTCTATCATCCTGTCACAGAAATATAATTTTAAGAAAATGAGATTATTGATTTTTTTTACATTTTCTTTTATTCAAAACTATATGGAAAAATATGCTTTTTTTTTTGGGTACATATATTAATCTATTCGTTTAATGAATTTCTTTTGCTGTTAACTTTTTTTATTTCAGTTATTACTTATTGCCAGGTGGCCCAAGAGGCATTTTCGTAAATTAATGGGTTAACCGGTGGCATATATAATTCTTGGTGGATATAAGAGCTAACCCTAGTAGGGTTTTTGTTCCAGCTCTGCTTATTACCACTGCATCTTCTAAACGGCAGCCAAACCCTAATAGCAGCAGCTCTGAAATCATGGCCGTCGGGTATTCATCCATGTTAACCTCAATAATCTCTCCCTTATCTATAGCATTTGGACATTGAAATGATTTCGTTTCTGTTTTTCTTTTTCTCAGAAAGAACAAGCGTATATCCAAGGGAAAGAAGGGAGGCAAGAAGAAGGCGTAAGTAGATTTACAATCACCGTAACATCTTAATGACCTGAGTATCATATGAATTTTGAATCTTTTGATTAGAGATAGAGTTCATATGTTAATTTCTACGTGTATATATATTGATGATTGGAGATGCGTGTACTGTGTATTATCGATAAGTTCAATATTATACAATTTCAATCGAGGAAGGATATATTTTGCTGTGTGCTTTAATTAATTTTTTGCAAATATTTGTTTTTTTTTTCGACGAATTTGTGATATGGTGGATTATTGAAACAGAGCTGATCCGTTTGCCAAGAAGGACTGGTATGACATTAAGGCACCTTCTGTTTTCAATGTCAGAAATGTTGGCAAAACCCTTGTCACCAGAACTCAGGGAACCAAGGTATTTCTTTTGCCTCCTTTTCACAATCTCATATACATACGTGTGTTGTTAGTTAGTCCATGAGATGTTTGAGGATGTTGCTTAGATTATTTGAATCTGAATAGCCTGGTGACTGCCTGATGGAAATTTTATTTTGATAAATGACCATCTTCGTTTGTAAAATCAATCAAATTGCGTTTTTGTAGCTGTTATTGTGAATCTTTGCGATTACTAAACCCATTCCCCTATCCCCAAAACCAAAAAAAAGAAAAATAAAGGGTAGTTAATTGACAGGAACTTACAGTACTCCTTTAACTCCAATGGAACATTTGGTAAATTTTGAATTTTTGCATGTGAATCCATTTGCTTTTTTCGGGCTGTCATCTCCATTTGTATAAGACTGGACTATGTGACTTCCAATGTCTCTGATGTGAGGTAGATGTTGATAGATGCATTATTTGGGAATTATTATGCAATTTTTGTTCTGTGCTAACGTAAGAGTTTGATTGTGTTAACAGATTGCTTCTGAGGGGCTGAAACATAGAGTTTTTGAAGTATCTTTGGCTGACCTTCAAAAAGATGAAGATAATGCCTATAGGAAAATCCGTCTCAGAGCAGAGGATGTGCAAGGAAGGAATGTGCTGACAAACTTCTGGGTAAGTTGCATCAGGGTCACTATTTTCTGCTGGAAGGCAACTTTTTTTCTGGACATAAGTATTCTATCCTTATGAATCACTTGATTTCTTGTTTCCCCACAAATTTCAGGGAATGGACTTCACTACAGATAAGCTGAGATCACTGGTGCGGAAATGGCAGACACTGATCGAAGCCCATGTTGATGTGAAAACAACCGATAATTACACTCTGAGGTTGTTCTGCATTGCTTTCACTAAGAGACGTGCAAACCAGGTCAAGCGGACCTGCTATGCTCAGTCCAGTCAGATCCGCCAGGTTTATATTTTTCCCAGTGGTTGAATTAATTTTATACAACTGCACTTGTTAACTGTTTGCTTTTGCCTTGTCCTTGATGCCAGATTCGCCGGAAGATGAGGGAAATTATGATTAATCAGGCCTCATCATGTGATTTGAAAGAACTGGTGGCAAAGTTCATTCCTGAGATGATTGGTAGAGAGATTGAGAAGGCAACTTCCAGCATATACCCATTGCAAAATGTCTATATTCGAAAGGTCAAGATCTTGAAGGCACCCAAATTTGACCTTGGAAAGTTGATGGAGGTATCATTTGCTTCTTAAGTTTCAAAATTTGTAAACACAAGTAAACATTATGTTGATGTGCAATATAGATTAACATGAAAGCCATTTTGTGCAACATAGTTTAACATGAAAGCCATTTTTAAAGTCAAATCTTTATGGATTCATTGACTCATTGATATGCTGTTCATCGCTAGGTTCACGGTGACTATTCGGCCGATGATATTGGTGTGAAGTTGGACAGGCCGGCTGATGAAACAATTGCTGAGGCAGAGACTGAAGTTGTCGGTGCAGCCTAAGGAGTATTTTAGTTTGTTATAATCCTCTTGTTTTCAGACTTGTGAACATTTAGTACTTGGAAATTTTGCATTTTTGGATATTAAGAGGTGCTGAGCTAAGGTCTGTATATGACCAATATGTGTGGATTCTTTAGATATTAATAGCCATTAGCTTTTTCCTTATGTACCCAGATTCTAATGCTTCATTATGATTTTGTTTTGGATTTCATATTTGTTTGGTTGATGAACTTGGCAGGGTGTAGTGAATGATCATAGTCCTTGTGTTTAGTTTGCAATTGGCTTGCATTGCTGATATTCATAATGTAGACGGATGGGCAATTAATATTATCTTTTGAAGCGTTAAAGGAGGATTTTCTGCGGTTTGTTGAAATTTAGCATAATAATTGACAGATTTTTTTTCCTTGTCTTTTTACTGGATTTCTACAAAATGGAAAATTTCATAATTTCAAAAACGTTTTTTAACCATTGGTTCAGAATTTATATCGGGTTGAGTATTAAAATTTGATTGGGATGTGTAGTCTTGTTTTTTAATAAATTTTGTTAAGGTTGGAAATTATGCGATAAAAACTAAAAGATATATTTAGAAGTAAGATACAAATACAAAATTCTAATCCAAAATAGACTTCAAATACAAGTATTAAGCAAGAGCTCAGTACTAACTGCCATGCAAGTGGCAATATTACGAACATGTATAACAGAGGTTGCTACATTACAACATTTCATTACCTTGGAAAAAGGTAGTAGAGAAACCATTACAAACATAACAATTTTTTGTGAGCGTTTGGGGAATTACTTAACATCTACATTTCATATCTACATCCGTCATCATCAACCTTGTAAACCCGTGATAAAAAGAAAACTGAGATTTCTAATTAATTGTTTTGCTTCACTTTGACAAACATATAAATGAAGTGTATATGAGACTATATCATCAGAAGATGAGGACGTTTTACTATCTGTGCTTCAACTTTTATTTAGTTAGTAGAGTTGAAGTGCATTTCTAACTTCTCCTCCCTGAAATAATCCAGAGCCCAAAAGTTTATTTCTAACAGAAGAGAGTTGAGCAACAACATCACCAATGTTCATGCGCTCTTGTGGGAATTCAACCGAACAAGAAACTCCAATTTCAAGTATTGAAACCAGGCACTCAATAAGTATATTGTTTCCCCTTGTACTAAAATTCTGATTATTGCTTGATATTACATCTACATTGAGTTGCACATGAAGAAGGTTGAGATCTATGACTTGTCCGGCCACATGTTCAAGCAATGCTTCTTTAACAAAATTGTGCAAGCTCAAATTCTCTTTGAACATATCATCAGTGGGTCTCTTTCCTGTAAACATCTCTAACAAGAGTATGCCAAAGCTAAAAATGTCACCAGATGTTGATACTTCGCCTGCCACACCATACTCTATAATACATACATATTATGATAAGTTAGTTTAGAAATACATCGAGGCTATATATACTTTATATGAAGTATATATGAATATCACGAATTAATGGTAAGAATATGATTTAAGTACAATTACCTGGAGGACAATATCCAATAGTTCCTCTCAGTCCAAGAGAGCTAAATTGATTTGCAGAATCTAGCCTGTCATCAGCAAGGAACTTCGCCAACCCAAAATCACTTACATGTGCTGTCATTTCTTCATCAAGAAGAATGTTGTTTGGTTTTAGATCACAATGAACAATTGGTGCTCCACAATGAAGATGGAGATACTCGAGCGCACAAGCAACATCAATGGCAATATTAAGTCTTTGAAGAACATTTAAAGTCCTTGGCACTTCATCTGGTCCAAGAATTGGATGCAACCAATCATCTAAGCTCCCATTGCTCATGAATTCATAAACTAAAGCTTTGAAATCGTTACCCTGATAATCAACACTTGAACAAGCTGTAAGTACTTTGACAAGATTTCGATGTCTGATGTTCCTTATGGCTGCACATTCTGCTAGAAAACTCTTTGAAGCCCCTCGACGTTGAAGGTCGAGCACCTTCACTGCAATCACAATTCCCTCAGGATCGAGAACTCCCTTATACACAGACCCAGAGCCACCTGTGCCTATCAAGTTATTTGAAGAGAATCCATTAGTGGCTTTAAGAAGACTTTGATAGGACAAGTTCAATGGAGCATTGCCAAAAGGTGTGGATGCAGAGCCTTCCTTTTTCTTCCTTGAGTAGCAAAGAAACAAACAAACAAGCACAAGTGCTACGCTTGTAATCACAGAAACTGTAGAGATTATTATCTTCAATTTGATGGTCATTCTTTTGTTTTGTTCTTCGGAATTACAGGCAGGTAGCCCAAATTCAGGTATACCACCACAAAGCCTTTTATTTCCTGCTATTGACGTTGCACTTGCGTTCTTGAAAATACCTTGTGTTGGTACCATACCTTCGAAATCATTATAAGATAGATCCAAAGTCTGTGTTGAGTTGAATGCCTTTAGAAACTCTGGAATCTTTCCTGACAAATTGTTGTGAGAAACATTCAATTCTACGATGCCTCTTAATGAAATTAATGATGAAGGAATGGAGCCTTGGAAGTTATTTCTGCTTATGTCGAGAAACTCTAGAATTACACAACTGCCAAGACTAGTTGGAATATTTCCTGATAGCATGTTATTACCAAGCTCTAGCCTTTGGAGATTTTTCAAATTTCCAACTTCATTGGAAAAGGAACCTGACAATCGATTTCCAGATAATCCAAAATATAATGATAATGAAGAAAGTTGAAAAAGTTTAGAAGGTATAGAACCACTAAAATTGTTTCTACTAAGATCAATAGAAATTAATGTTTCGCAATTGCCTAGACTCGAAGGGATAATGCCCTGAAAATTATTGTCAGACAAATCTATTTGAAGCAAATTTGTCAAGTTTCCAATAGAAGATGGAATACTTCCCATGAATTGGTTATAATCTAGATAAAGCAGTCGTAGATTTTGAAGCTTTCCTATGGTATGAGGAATGGTACCCCAGAATCTGTTAGATGATGCATTAAATACCTGTAAGCTTTCAAGAGAAAATAATCCAGCTGGGATGTTTCCAAATATTTGGTTGCCTCCTAAATCAAAAGCCTCAAGCTTTTTCGATAAGTTTCCGGTCTCTTGAGGTAGCTCTCCTCCAAAGTTGTTTTGGCCTATGCTTATCAGTCTTAAAATGGTGGCATTAGTCAAAGTGGAAAGAAACTTCAAGTCATCGTTGTTAGGTTTCCCAGTCGCACTACTTCCTAAATGGTTCTCTGACATAGTTAAAAAATAAAGAGACTGCAATTTCTCAAAAGAAGGAACTGCTCCAGTCAAATCATTGATGCTTAGCTGAAGAGATTGCAGGTTGGAGGCGTTTGAAACTGAAGCAGGAATTGAGCCAGAGAATTTATTAGATACAATACAAAAGTGAATCAGATTTGGAAGGCCCAAGTCAATTGGAAGATTGCCATGGAAGTTGTTTAATGCTGCATCTATAATCTCAATGGAAGAGATATTGTAGATGGAGTAAGGGATAGTACCTGAAAACTGATTGCTAGAAAAAATTAAATCCTTTAAATTCTTCAACTTGCCAAAAGTATGAGGAAGATTCCCTCGCAATTGATTTCCATTTACAGAGAAGTATTGAAGAGATGATAAATTCCCTAAAGATGGAGGGAGAGTCCCTGTCAAATTATTTTTTCCAAAACGCATGTACTTGAGCTTCAATGAGGATCCAAGCTTACAAGGAACTTCCCCTACCAGTTTGTTTCTTGCCAAATTAATAGAAACAAGGTTAGAACAGTTAGTTAAAATTACACAAGGAAGTTCCCCCTCAATGGAATTATTATGAAGAAACAAAGTTTGTAGTCTGAGCAAATGGCTGATCTGATGAGGGATTTCTTGGGTAAAGCTATTGTTTTGAAGGAACAATTCTCTTAAAAAGCTTAAATTGCCAATATGGGGTGATATGGAACCAGAAAGCTTGAGAGAGCGTAGATCTAGCACCGTCACTCTCTGGTGTCTCCGTACACACTGAACACCATACCATTGGCAGAAATGAAAACTGGCATTCCATGAAGTCATGACACCAAGAGGATCATCAGTTATTTTAGACTTAAATTCTAGCAAAGCTAGTCGATCTGTCTCATTATTTCCGTAGATCATAGCACAAGTAGGCAAACTAAAGCAGAAGAAACGAATGATAGCAATGGCGCAAGAACGCTTCATTATGCAGTTTGAAACGCTGGTTAAAAGAATTGGCTATTTGGCTGTAAGGATGGGAAAAGGCTCGACTGATAGGCTGGTAGGCGTACTATCAATTTGGAGTTTTATATATGTATATATGCATTTTCATCTTATTTAGTAATAAATTTTTAAAATACAAAATTTCTATAGTTATAAAAATTTTAATATTTTTTAATTAATTTTCAATATCAACGATCAAATAACGAAAATAAGTTATTTAGAAATATTTTTTAAACAAAATTAAAAAATATTTTCTAAAAATAAATGGAATCTAGTTAATTAAATTACAATAACTGTTCTAATATATATATATATATATATTATTTTGTGAGCACTGATTTTCATCACGTCCAAATTTCAATTTTAGTCTAATCAGTTTTCATCAAGCCATTTATGGTATGGCCCAAAAACAGTATAAATTCCAAAATAAGTGATAAATATCCTTCACTTCATTATTGACCCAGAAAGAAACTGTTATATTATCCAAAGCCGTCTTCTTTATTAAGCAGACATGGATTTTCCACGTATTTGTTAGAGATAAAAATCAACATACAGGTCAAGTCGTCTGCAAAATTCAAAATTTTCGCCCTTCGTCACATATACAGTAGGCAACTAACTATTGTGCTTATTAACTCCCTAAAATTTAGATGTTTTAAATTATTTATTCATCGTTTATGCATTAAATGAAAAGTTAAGTAACAATAAAATAGTAAACATAAGAAATCTTATAGGTAAGATGGAATAATAGAAAATTTTTTTTCCTTAATCAAAAGTCTCCTTGAAATTAGAATATTTTTAAATATTCAAAGAGCGCTTTACCTATTAAAATAATATAAAAAAATAAATAATGATCAATTAATTAATTATATGGTATCTTTTAAGCATACTTTTAAAAAATAAAAAATATATTTATTAAATATGGGAGATTAAATTATAATTGTAACCAAATTTGAAGGACAGATAGTTACTTGTACACTTAATTTAGGGATTGCAAACAAACAAAAGAGCAAGAAAAAAGATTCTGTCTACTACAAAATACACAGCTAACAGTACAATTGGTAACTAACAAATATCTTTTAAGAGTTGCTACAACTTGGAGAAACTTTAGAGGTATATGCTACAGGCACTGCTTTATCTTGGGCAATACAACTAAGATACAAGGGGTAGACATACATTACATTAATGTTTAAGGTGCCATTGAAGATAGCATTATCGACAGGGAAACGAATTCGTCTCACTACTATTATACATGGGATCCCCTTATGCTTGGCTCATAACACAACATGCCTCGGCATTATAATTCTTGACGATGACAATTTTATCGGAGGATTCTGTCATTGCTGATGCGGTGAGTTGAGAGATGGGAAGGGTGGGACAGATCTCAGAATCAACTTTCTACCACCCCTCCAATTAGCAGACGACCCGAATCCATGATGAGGAGGTGAAACCCTTTTGCAGTTTGGTGAGGTTGACTTAACAACACTTGCAGCTGAGCGATTGCTGGTTAGAATCTCAGGGGTTTCCTCTTCTGGAATCGCCTGAAGATGTGTTTCAAATTTAGGCTGGCAAAACAGATCTGTTCCTGGATTTTGGCTGGAGCACAATTGAGTTGATGTACCAATAACTGGAAGAGATCTTGAGAGCTTCCCACTGAAGGTCATTGGAAGTTTAATTGAAGACCTAACAAAATGATAACATTCGATCTTAAAAAGTGAACTTGTAATTAGTGAGAATGTTATGTTGATTTATAATATGCTGAAAGAGAGAACCTAGCACTTTCAGAAAGTTCTGGAAGATTTGCATGCTGTTCTTCGCCCCCTTCTATTTTACCATCCAAATTCACATCCAATGCATTCTTCTCAAGGATTTCAGACTCTCCGCCTTCAAATTCATCTTCTTCAAGTCCTATAAGTATCAATCCATTTATCAATGAAAGGCAGGACCCTCATCGCAAGCAAAGTCATTGATTTCTACCATTAGGATTTGAACAAGTACTTGATAAACACTTACCATTCTTGGTACCAAAAGTGTTTTTACACCCTTCGCATCTACAGTTGGAAGAGCAACCAACCCCACCCTTAATACATAGAGTGTTGTCCACATTAGAAGGGATAAAAAGAACAGCACAAAGAAAGTGACAAGAGTAAAAACCTGGAAACATTCGCAGTATTTCTTTAAGCAACTGGATTTTTTACAATTGCATCCTCTTTTATGCCTGGCTGAAGCCGGAGTTTTGTTGACTTCATCCTGCACAAACAATTTAAGGAAATAAAAATATTGCCAATGACAGAACAAACAGACAACCATTAAAATGAAACCACAGCCATCAAAATACAATCATATCTGGTATTTTGTGAGGCACCATGTCATTGTCTTTACCACACAAAAGAGACCATGCCCTAACAAAAATAAGAGGATGCAATGTGATTGCATCATTGGCACTTTGCCACACAAATGAGACCATGTTAACTAAACAAGAAGAGGATGCAATGCAACCATTAACATGCTAGCATGACTCATAATCAAATAGTTTAGCTAGAGGGAGGATTTCTAACCCCAATTTCAGGAACAAAATCTGTGCTTCTAATCACTTTAGGAGCAAAAGCAAGAGGATTGCGAGATTCAATCTGTTTCCGAGTCTCTAGAACAGTGCCTTCATGAGCAGGCTTGTTAAAACAATCTTGACATGAACAAGGCTCAATACAGTAGAGTCCAGCAGCAAAACATTCACAATAACTGTAGCAAATAACATAACATTCACAGTAATTATACTTCCGATTACAGGATCTATCATGCTACAATAAATGTAAGAATTGAGATAATGCATTTGATTGTAAGGACACTTTAAACCTATTTGCATAAATTTAGGCAAACATATGAACTTACAGCTTCAAGCATTTTGACCTTTTACAGTTACATCGCTTGCAGGATGCTCCAACAGGTTCCAGTTTGTGCCTGCAAGTAACTAGAAATTAAATTGAATATTCTGGTTCAGCTATTTGAACTCGCGTTTCACAACATATCAATTCTAGAAATACCTCTTCGTTTTAGGACTGCTAGTGCCAAAGTCTTCACTAACATCCGTTGATGTTTGTTGAGCATTTTCCATAGCCTTATCTTCACTGTCGCAAAGGGCCAAACCTGTCTCCAGTTCCATAGAGGTCTAAGGTAAGGATTTACTAACAGAATTTGAGCCAAATGTCAAATAATTAGAAAAGGATTGAAGGTCAGCTTACTTATTTCCTGCCTGGAAGATAAAGTCTCAATCTTGACAATTTTACAATCACTTGAAGTAGTAGTAAGAGCATTCAAGTGCAAACCAATACCCTTTCTTGATAACATGGACATTCTTGCAGCTGAATGCGTTTCAACCTGGGCAACTCCACTATCTGGTTGCGGTGAGATTTGAGGAGACACATTGCTTTCACATACTGATTTCTTTTTATGAGCACCTGCCATCTCAAAAACCAGCCTTCGTATTCTATTTTGCTGCTCAAAAACAAGCAAAAGTATGTCAACTGGATAAAGCAAAACATACAAAATCACCATTAATGCTTTATGTAATTAAAGCAATTTATTACTAAATTTGAACTTCTTGGTATTGCATATGAAAACAGTTTACATGACTTGGCCATTTCTTTCAATAAGCAGTCGCCTAGTTTCATCCCACAAATTTATAAGAAGGAACTGACATAAATCTTTTTATACGAAAATGAACGACTTTACAATAACAAATATAGGACAATGATACCATAAAAACAAGGCTTTGCGGTTGAAAAGCTAGATGTTTGGAATGAATTCATGAAGTTTATCAAGATAACCCAAGCACCCAAGGCTCTCAGAAAGAACATAAATTTCAAAAGAAGGTCAGGTTGGTTTAATGTTGTCACTTCAAAAGAAATCAGCTTTATTTACATTGTATTAAGCAACACTCAGAGTAAACAAAAGTTACTTAAGTTTTACCTTGCAGCTCGATAGGCGCTTTTTCCCCTTGATGTCCATAACTGTGGCTGCATCATCCACAACTAGCTTGTTCAGTAGAGTGCCAGAGAGTACGGCCGGTATTTTATCTGCCTCCTTTTTTCCTAATTCTGTTGACTGAGTTCCTATTTCTCCCATTTTGTGTTCAGAAGAACCAACACAATTGGTAGATTCCATATTCTCCGAAGCATTGGTATTATCCTGTGGGATCTGCAGTACATTTGAGACAAAAGAGATTGTCCCAGGATCCACAATTTTCTGCTCTTCAGACTGTTCTGCACTAATGGATGAATCGAAACACAAGATATCAGACACATCAGAAATCAGTGTATCCCAATCACATCCGGCCTCATCTTCACTTTGCTCAATTCGACAGATTCTGCGCAAATGCTTTTCACTTTCATATAAACAATGTCTCTCATTTGATTTGTCCACCTTTTCTGGCTCAATATCCGTCCTAATTGCATCAAGAAGAGCAATGTCACCATCTGGACCAGCACCAACACATTTGAAAGCTTTTGGCAGCTCAATTCCTAATTCCAATTGCTCATTGAGTGGGTCAGTTGTAACCTCCTTAGCTGAACTACTAGAAGTTGCGCATCTGAGTTGTTCAGTGCACGAATCAGGTAGTTCAACAGCTTCAGAGACCCCTTCACTCGCATTGTTGTCACCTTTAATGTGAGAGAGCTCAGGTTTCAATGGGTCAGAGAATTGGCGCCTAATAGTAACAAAAACAGCCAGATAAAACTTGACTCAGCAATAATCACCAGTGCTCATTCATTTGATATAATAAAGCAAGGAAAACAATATGGGACTTTAGTTTTTACCTTCTAATAATAGATCTAGCATTTCTTTGGGGATTGAGCTTTGGTGATGTGAACACCAATGGAGGGGATGAAAAAGATAGAGAGTTGAAAGTTTGATCAGTGGACACTGATTTAACTAAGTCAATAGGTGAGAGATTGTTGATGTAATTAAAGACAGGAGAATCCTGCAAAATCAGAAGCATTATTTCTTTGTATCATCACAAAAGCCAATTATCAATAAATCTGGAGAGCTATTACAATAATCACCAATACTCATTCAACCAAGAAAAAAACAATGATGAATGAAGCAAAGTAGTCATATGCTAAGTAAACGCATAGGGCAACCATTGAAGGAAAACTATACTTAGAACTTTTAATTTTTCAAACTTTGAGCAAGGGAATTACTTCAGTTTTTTATTCTTTCATATTTCTGCTATTTAACTTGCATTGTCTCTAGGAAGCATAATTGGCAACAAGTTACATCACTCTCGTCCACAGAACAAAAGGGTTTACAAAAATTCGAAAATCCAGTTAAACCAGCAGTCAACAAATCCCTAAAAGAGGCACCCACTAAATTCCAAAGCAATTCAAACAACTATAGAAACAAAGCCAACGGAAAAACCATACGAAACAAGCTTGAATTCCATGCATTAGGAAAAAAAAACAAAGCCTAACCGGAGAAAAAAAAAAAGCCCGTAGTTCAATAATACCATAGAAACAAACTTACCAACCAAAAAACAAAATCAAATCAAAGTCAAACTTAAGGAGAAAACAGAAATTCGCTGAACTAAAGCCCGCAAGGTAAATCATCTTACTGAAGCCGATTATCCAATTTAAGAGAGTGCAATAAAGAGAGATTAGGGTTTGAAGAAGACAGACCTCAAACTGAGAAAGAGGAGCGGAGACGAGTTGGTCCTTATTAGGTGTGTTCAGCTCCATAGGTACTTCTCCGTAGATCTCCTCAACATTTCAGTCTTCTCAAAGCCTCACATCATAGCTTAAACAAAAACAAAACAGAGCTTATCTGGCTTTCTCTCTCAAAGAGTAGAGTGGAGAAGAAGAAGAGTAAAGAATTGAAGAGAGAGAATGAGGGGCGGGAAGGCGGGAAGATGGAGACTTCTTTTTGTTTTCGTAAATTTTGGGCTCAAACCCTAAACCTTTTGTTTGTTTTGTTTTGTACGGTTCTATTTTTATGGGCCCTCGGTCAGGAGGGGACCATTAACCATTGGGCATTATCCTTCCTCTCCTTGCCACCGCCGCGACCGCCTCAAGTTTTCATTTTTTATTTCCCAATTCTAAAAGAATTATGTATTATTAATTGTATTATTATTATTATTAGTATTATGACACTAATTTGAAATTATAAGACAAATGTTTTATAGTTGTTTGGAAATTGACCAAAATTCATGTTCAATTTTAATTAATTTTCAATTAAAAAATCAATTTGCCCTATTTAAACAAAATGTATTTCGCACGCAATTTATTTATTTTAAAAAATAGATTCAATTGATCTTTAGATTGAAAGTTTCAGTTAAAATCAGTTAGGAAATTCAATTTCCACTTCAATGAAATTTATGAGGCAAATTAATTATTATTTCTTCTGATAACCTAATTTTGGAAAATACGACGTCGATTAAAGAATAAAAGGGTAAATGTTAATTTTCTCATGTTTAATAATATTTACATCTAACATAAGTCCCTCTTTCTTAAAAAATAAATTAAATTAGTTTTTAATTTGACCGTATCTCTTTTACTCTCTTAGAATATTATATATTTTATTTTCCAGTTTTTTTCCTTTAAATAATATTCTAATTGTTAAATTCTAAAATAAAACAATTTAAAGTCAAGGGACTAAAAATTCTCTTTTGAAAAGTCAAGGACTAAAATGTATTTTATTCAACAGGTGGACCAAAATGCAATATACGGTGAAAACGATTGTTTTAGTAATTTATTTAAAATAAAAATATAAAACAATTAAAAAAAATGCAAGATTAGATATACAATAAACTTTTCTTAATATATCCAAAGGAAATCTATATATACATAGTACAAGATGTCGATATTCTATTGGTATAACCCCTGGTGATTTTGTGAATAATGGTGCATGCGAGAAATTTCACAATTTCACACCAAGAATAAACAAATAGACAAATAAATAAAAAGGTAACGGCAGTTCAAGAATATTTGTTTTAGAAAAAATGAAGTTACAAATATTCAAATAGGATGTATTACACATTAATCTTCCTTTACTAAAGAATCATTTCACAATCTGTTGATAGATTAACCAAGTTACCTTAGAATTTCTCCGGTACAACCTATTCTTTCTACAACTCCAAAAATCTTTCCTTGCCAATACAATCAAAGAATGTGAATCTATGCTACCATCCTACATATATGATACACCTATCATGGTTATATGTGCAAAGCTGAAATCTTGCTGCTTCACCCCCCCCCCCCCCCCCCCCCTTAGTCAATGGAGCAATCAAAGAATGTGGAATCCTATGCTGAGCTCCTAAATAATAATAGAAATACTACCATGTGTTATGTTGAAAGCATAAAAGAGAACTCTTTAGACCTGTTCAACCCACCAACCCCAGCGCGACCCCCCCCCCCCCCCCCCGCGATCGCTAACTCGGGGTCGTGCGAGTTAATGAAAATCATTCTTCAACACATCAAACTTCAATGTCAACGCGTGTCTTGATAGGTTTAAGCTTGATCCCCAAACTCTCAGGAGAGAGAAGTTCTGGTGCAATACAAGAATGGCTTGAGGGACTGGCAGGGTTGGAGCCATTACTCGATGAGGAAGCAAAATGTGGTGGTCTATAGTAACCAAATCCCATCAGAAAGAATTCCATTGGGATTATCATGGCATAAGGATGCTCTTCTGTCACAAGTGAACCACAGGCCTGAACCTGTAACAATAAGTGGGATTTAGCCATTTTGATATATTACTTCAGCCCAAGTGTCAGTTTGTTTGTGTGTTTGTGATGTGTGCATAAAAACAAACACCTGCACACATGCGCATGCCATGATGGTTTTGCGCATATGTCTATGGATGCAAAAGCTTAGTTTGCACTTACAAAAAATGAGAAAATAAAGCTAAGCTTCTGCATCCACGGCAAAAATAGCATGAGAATAGAAGCAACAGCCAACAGGTTAGTCGGATCATCTTACCTCAACAAGTGCACAGCTTTTCTTGCCCATTTTGACACTCATATACACAGATTCATCACGGAACTGACTGCTGTCACCTACAAAAATAAGTGTTTTGCATTGCAACTCCTTCAAGCTGTCCGTGAGGTCATGCCTCCTGCTTAATAAACTCAAGATTTAGTTGATCATAGGCATTACCACAAGATTTAGCAGTTATAAAATGACTCATATCTTCTTGCTTCAAATAAAACCATATTTTTCAGGTGAACTTTTCCCATAGGATTAATATGCATTTCATAAGTATGCCTATGTTGCATCTAATCATTCATCAGAGGAAAATGGGTCCACCAGGACAAAGAATTGGAATTACAAGAGGCTCGAGCCTTTGCATGGGAATGAGAGAAACTCACAAACCAAACAAGACAGGCCAGAGAAAATGTCAAATAAAGCATAACAATAATATCATTTAAGAAGTGACAAGAACTCACTCATTGATTGCTTGAAGAAAGCGCATTACGTTCAAACTTTGCCTCTCATCCAGCAACTGTGGCCACACATCAAAAGGGGTTGAAATCAATTCATTGCATGTATTCACTCATATTCCATCCCCTCTTAGACATTAATAACAGTTCCACACACATATTGCTCTGAACAATATGCTGGTAGGAATCAGTTTTCACTGCTTACCCATTAGAAAAAGACAGAAGGAAATAAGCAATTGTAACAGAAATTCCTTACCCTTCTACAAGCTTGAATGATGTCTGATTCTGCACCATGAACACCACACCTAATGTCCTACATTAGGAATTTAAGTGTCACAACACATACTGAAATCAGAAAAAAACTCCAAGAATGAGGCCAGTATTTGTACCTTACTGAAGTAACGCTGGATAAAGCATTCCTTCAATACACCAGACATGCCATAGAAGTATAACAAATTCATTAACACCTGAAAAAAGAAAAAGCAAATTTCAGAAAACCCTAAGCAAAAGTAGTGTTGCCCTTTCTTTTATGTTTTCACGCTGTTATTAATTTACAATTTACAAGTAGTGTTGACCGGAAGACACAGAACAGAACCTTATTGTAAAGCCATTCAGTCCATGAGGGTGCTCTGCAAATAGGAGAAACAAGGATCAATCCAAGCACCCGTTCTTTATATTTTATCTGGAACAGGAACAAAAAATAATAAGAAATCAACAATCCATTAGAAATCCAGAATGTCCAAAGAGACAACCGACTGGGTAACTAGTTTTGCCAACTTACTGCAAAAAGTGTAAGTATGTAAGCACCAGCTGATACGCCTAAGCACAGAACCTCTCTCACCCTGATTTTAGAAAATCAGTTAAACCTTAAATAAAACATAACGAAAAAATTCATTGGAAAATAGATCCAACATATCTATTGAGATTTGAATCCCACTTGAAGCATGATATAAGGTAAACAAGTATGTGAAATAGCACCATAAATGAACATTAGAAACCATAAATAACTCTAGAAGATGATAAAGTACCACCTAATTTACCTGCAAAATGACCGAGTAAGATACAGGCTTATATTGGAAGAGTAAGGACTATGCAGGCAAGTATCTCTATGCCCGTCTAAACTAAACGCTATTTAAGTTGTGCACAAACAATGGTATTCAAAACTGACAAACCATTTTTATGAACACAAGATACAGGCTGCAATGAATTAAAGTTAGCGCCAGAACTCACAAATCATCTACTAAATGTTATGACAGTGGTCCATGATCGTAATATCACATAATTAATTATGTAATATGGATTAGATAATTTCACGGACACTGTCATTCTAGAACAAAACAGAAGTGCTTACATACCCGAAGAAATCGAGCACTTCAGCAACCTGATCGGCTAAGTCATCCACACTAAGAAATGGAGCATCTGAAGAAATCACGTCAGCTCCCAACTGCAAGAACTCTTGAACAAAAGGTGGAGAGAGAGACTTTATTAGTTTCATTCAGTGGTGAATAGGAGGGAAAAACCAACCAAAAAAACAAAATTAAACAGCTAAGCAACAAGCTAAAGCTAAGCAAATAACTCTGACACTAACCTCATGTCCTGGGGCATCAATGTGGTAAATGCAGAAGTTATGGAGCAACAAAGAAGCTGCCTCTGGACAAAAGAAGAGGCCTTGGAAACAAGACATGTCTGAGAAAATCCAAGAAGCCAAAAACTCAGACAAATTAGAACCTCAGTAAAATTAAAAAACCTAAAGCTAGAAACAATTAAAGCTTATAGAACGCCAAATAGTAGGAGCTGAATAATTACGAACATTTTTAGATTACACAAAAAGTCCCCCTCCATCAGAGCTAATTAGAACACAGCAAATATTTACAAATGGTCTCCAACCATGTACAATATAGCACCAATTAAGTGAAAAATTAGCCCAAGAAACCCAAAAATGATTCAATTTAAAGAAATATGAACAAAACATATAAACCCATCAAAAGTTACCTTAAAGAAATGAGAAATTTAACATACGAAGCAAAACAGTGACAATAAAAGAAACATACAATTGAGAGCAACATCTGGGTAAGTAATCAAAGCAGGCTTTTCTTGATCACCACACACGTACACTGAAATTGAACCTCTAGTAGTTTTCACCACATGTTCCTTAAAAAAAAAAAAAAAAAAAAAAAGGTAGGTAAATGTCATAAGCAGAGGTCTTTTTCTTGATCAGAACAGCGCGTACCAACTGGAAATGTGAACACCTCTTGTAGTTTTCACCACATGTTCTATAAAAAAAAAAAAAAAAAAAAAAATTTAATAACAAATACCAATACCAAAACCAATAAATAAAAGTTCCAAAGTTCTATAACCATCCATTAAAGGTAAGTGAAAAAAATTGCATTGGTAGAAAGTGAAAATACAACAAAAGAAGGCAAGTGAAAAAGAAACGGCTCCCATTTCTTCGTCTGCTTGCTTAGTTCGTTACCTTTCCTTCAAAAGAAAGCATGTCAATATCTATAGAAACCGAGTCACTTGACTCGCCCATAGCCCAGTTCTTTATCACTCACACGCAACAAAGTTTAGTATCTTCTTCTTTCTTCTACCTCCTCCTTCTTCTCTGTTTTCCAGGATTTATTTATTCGCTTTATTTTGACAATATAGCCAAAATGACTAAACTGCCCCGAGAAAGATGATGAAATTACAAGCTAAGTTTTCTTAATTGGGCTAGAATGACAGGTTTGTCCTGCGGTCAGAGAATTGACTCGTATAATTTTGTGGATTTTCGGGTGCAGAAGTGACCGTTGAAGGTCTGTAAACGGTCGGCTGAGGGTAATTTGGTCATGAGAACAGAAAAGGACAACAAGGGGTTGGGTGATTAAAGCCGCATCGTTTTGTTGGAGAATAAGGGAATTGGAGAGCAGTATCAGACAGCTGTATGCCACCTGGAAGCCGCAAAAGATGATGGTCCAGCGAGTTAAATCCATCCTAGTGCGCCAGCTCATCAGTCTGCCCGTGCTCCCCAGCTTATTTACTTCTTTAGGCGTTTGATTACTCAAATCTTAAAGAAAAGCAATTAAAGAAATTTCCATATTTCATATGTTTATTGGTGTTTTCTAAATAAATTAAATTTCTGAGTACGTAGGCGTTTGATTACTGAAGTCTTTATTTTTTTTATTAATGTAAAACTGTATTTTTATATGTTAAAGCACGGAAAATTTTGATCTTATTATAAGACATTTTAAATTATACAATATTAATATTGTAGTCACGTATTTTTACTAAAATTCGAAATTCAAATTTAGATCCATTACTAAATCTTGTATGTACTTACATTAAGGTATGTATTGGCGTGCTTATTAAAAAACTTTTATTATTATCCAAAAGTGATAATTTAATTTTTTTTATAATATTTTCCTATAATTATATATTTTATATATAATATTTTTCCTATGATTTATATTAGTATATATAATTATTATCATATATATTATGCTCTTATATATTTCCGTAGTACATAGTTAGAAAGATAACATTTTTCTGTAACCAAACTATTCACATTTTAGGTTATTTGTGGAATAATGTATATTTTTATATTAGAAAGTAACATTTTCTGTAACCAAACTCCATTTTAAGGTTAATTTGTGATAATTATTTTTAATAATTAATAGGGATGAAAAAAAGGGGGGAGAGGGAGAGTTTTTTTTTTATTATTCCTAAAATTATGTAGAATGTTTACATTTTTTTCGAATTGGTAAGTTGTGTTGACATTCAGACTAGCAATACTCGCTGATCACTTATTAGTTAATTATTTAAAACTTTTAATAAACTATATTTAAGAATTTATGGTATTAATAAACTCTATTTTTTAAATTTTAAATTTTAAAAAATCTAAACTGGATACTACACTATTATGATAAATTTGACTTTTTTTTTTTTATTTTTCATGAGATTTAAAAAATAATTAAATCATTTCAATTTAAAAAGATACGGTAGTTACCACACCTAACACATGATGAGATTTTAGATGGATTTGATCGAATTTTAATTACTCTTTCTCGTTAAAAGGATAATCGATTAAATTTACTTTTAATTAATACTCATTAAATTTGATATAAAATTTAATGTAAAAATATAGACTACGATAATAAAACTATAATTAATAATTAATGATTTTAATTTTCTGAAGGTGTCTTTTAATGGAATAAAAATCAAAACAATTTGTCAAATTTGGGAAAAAAAAATACCAAAAAAAGTGCAAAAAGGTTGCAGGAGAAAGTGGCTAAACCAACCCAATGATTAGTGATTCCATGATTAGTGGGTAAATTATCCCAAAAAAAAAAATATCCCAAAAAAAAAAAAAAAGGAGGGTAAGTCAGCTTTATTTGCCTTCAAAAGAGAGGATTGGTCAGTCACACGCTACCCAAAAACGCGTTTTGAGACGCCAATCACGGGCGCAGAAGACCGAACTGCTCAGCCCGAATTTACTGACAGTAAACATAATTGTACTACGTGTCCATTTGGCATTTCATGTATATTTAAAAAATATTAAATTTATATAATTATGTGAATAGGTTATATTATTTTTAATTTAATATTAAATTTTTAATAAATAATTAAATTAAAAAATAACAATTATTGATATATATAGAAGATAAATATAAAAAAAATATTTATTATTCCTTGAAAGTAATAAATATTTTATAATAATTTTCTTAAATATGTTATGAGACGGAAGTAGTACTCAAGAGTTAAAAGGGTTCATCATTTTTTTTTTTTTTTTTTTTTTTTTTTCATCATTTTTTTTTTTTTTTGAAAAATTTGAGCAAATTGAATTAATAATGACCATCTATGAAAGTTTAAACTAAATCAAATTAAGAAAATATCTCTCATAAAAAAATAAGAAAATGATGCATTTTAACTTGGTTAACCATTTGAGGGTAATTTTAAAAATACTCGTTATTATAATCTTTTTTATGAATAAAAAATATTTATCGGACATACAAGAAAAAAATACATATTCTATATATTTGGTTTGTGACTTCAATTTTAAAATTCCAAAATATAAGGGATTTGAATTTCTTATATTTTTAAACAATCAATTTTCAATCGATTTAAATAGTTTATGGCAATTTATGAATACTTGATTTTAGTAGTAATAAATTTATCTATTGACTTGGCTGTTATATTTTATATTTTTATCTATTTCTAGGGAAGTTTGAATTGATAAATTTAATAATATTTTATATTAAAATTTTTATTTTTATTTATTTCACGCAAGGACTGCAATTTAAAAAAAAAAAAAATTACCCATCGCTGTTCAGCTTATGAAAAATTTTAGAAATTACTAGATGATAAGATGCTGAAGCGGTTTAAAAAGTTCAAAACTCACAAATACAACTGGATGAGCTGGACGACAACACGCGAATTTGTCGCGCACGTAAACGACGTGCCGGGATGGAGGCTATTAAATGCACATGGATCAAATATTGTACCAATTGTTTTTATCTTATTTTTTATTTTTTAAATTCATGGATGGCGCCAACAAACCTGCACCTTTCAATCTCTATTAAACTACCTATCTTCTGCAATTTCTCCTTCCTATCTTCTTTTCAAACTACCTTAAAAAAACCATCAGAAATCAAGACAAAGAAACCATCACCAAGAAGAAGATTTGAACTTGCTTGTTCCCTAATTATCCAATGGCTTTAAAAATTTGAGTTTATACCTTAAAGTTAAACTTTTGACATTGTAAACATAACCAGGGCACTAACAAAAACCATTATCGATACTCATATCAGCATCCAAAGTACATATGCAAGTTGACAACAAGTAATTCTCGCTGCCTTGAACTTGACAGCAAATGCTAGCTGGGATTCCTACATACCATCTTTCACATTATCTAAGCAATTTAATAAGTATTTAGGGTTGTTCGTCAAAATTAGCTGTTTTGGTAGCTATTAGTTGTTTGAATAGTTTTTTATAAAACGCTAAAAATTAAACGATATATGAGTTAACTTTTTATAAAACTCTACTTTAACCTCTAAAAGTTAGTTCAAACGCTATATTACAAGTCAAAATGCTAAAAGCTGGTTAAAAAGTTATTGCCCAAACACAGCCTAAATGTTTTGAATCCAATCACAATCACTCGATGCCATGGCAATCTGCCAGCTGAGATCCTGACAAATTGCCTTTGACAGTACTGGGGTATCCAGTTCATTAAATTTGATTTTCAAATTCTGCATCAGTTCTCACAAATTAGATGAAACAAGATACAGACTAAATGGTGAACGACCCAATCACAATGGTGAAATCTCACACTTTGTTAGTGTTGTTGCATCTAATCCCTCCTAGGCAAAGAGCCTGCAAACTAAGTAAGGAACTTTACAAAAGGAATGAGCTTTGGCTTGGTGATTTTGGAGTCACCTCTACGCTGGGAGGTCTCAAGTTTGAACCTTAGTCAAAACCAAACTAACCGTAAAAAAGGGGAAAAAGAAAGTGGGAAAAAAAAGAAGTAGGATCTTTCTTAGAAGATTGAAAATAGACCTAAGCTGATTCCACGCTTTTTAATATAGGTATCATACCTAAACAGGAGAATCCTAATAAAATGACACGAGTCTGAAAATGGTCTAACAATTACAACATTGCCGCAAGCTTGATATAGGAAAAACAAATTCAACAAGAAAGCACAAAAGGGTATCTGTCAATGGAGAAAATCAACTGGCTAAAACTAAAACAATTGTAAAGGCTAAAGAGGCAAGAGAATACTGATAATATTCCCAGGTGAACGTACAATGAGTCATAACCCATAGCCGATCCTTGATAATGAATCAACTGGACATGTGAGCATACATATATATTATATATATATATACACACATACATAATGGTTAAAGAACTTAGAGCAGAAAGGATTATAGTATTAGGAGGGCATAATACCAGAATCAGGCAATGTCTACATAGAGAAATTGCTGAGGACCATGATAGATCATATTTCACAAAAATTTCATAATCACTACTTGGCAATGGAAAGTATAAATAACTAACACAAATAAGGTAAGATTGAAGTCAGAATTCCATACCAAGTCAATGGCAGAATTTACATGCTCAAACTACATTATTCACATACTGTTTAAGCTCTCATGTACCTCGATAGTATGAGGCAATGTTTACATCTTATATGATCTCCATGCATAGCCCTGGTCTTTAATTTTTCTTCATTTGCAACAACTAGGACACCTGCAATGCAAAGGCATAAATTCCACAGATGATAAATCAACAAGAAAGAATGGTGGCTATAATTGAATTGACTTTAGGAAAAAGGAGCACATACTTACAACTATAATTATGTAGAGTGGTCAAGAGGTAGACTTACAGCTCAAAAGTTCGACAAGGCAGGATGTCCTACATGCTGCATGTTACTTGTACAAACTCAAGCTACAAATAAAAAAGCTTCATGCCATGAACTCAGGTATTTAGTGACAATGGAGTTTTCTTATTAGACAAAAGGAGAAACAAAATTAAGGAACAATTTTGTGAAGGATATACAGGCAACTGAGAACACGAAATTGTATCAATTCAATTGCTCAAGTAACTCAACAGGAAAAGGAAGAAAAAAAATGTTTAATCAAACTAATTGTAATCAATAGCATAATGATAAAAATCATAATTCCTAATTGTTCTGTTAGCACTCAAAGAAAAATATCTGAGTATCTCTATTCATTCTTCCAAGCATACAAGATCAGTGAAAAACCAAGATTTTGCGATTTGGAATCCAGAAATCTCTGCGAGAAGGACCATGGCAACACAGTTGCATCTGCCAGTGATTGGCTTGACCACAACTTCTCAGCTGAGAGGCATGTCTTGAACATAAAAACAGCATTTCCAACAGATGTGCCAAAAAGCCAATTATGAACATCCCAAAGAACTTCTACTGCCAGTCCGTCGACCAATATTGTATGGTTCCCACGAAACTTCCAACGTAGCCGCTTCACTTGCATCACAGTCTTACAGTCCACACGAACCACAAGACATGGATCACTGGTACTGATTGTGTCACATTCAATCACAAGATCATGAATTTGACCATTGTCACAAAACTGAGCCCTGGTGCTAAACACTTTCTTCCCAAAAACATGTTCTCTCTTGGCAACAAAAACTGCATTTGAAGGAATAGGGGTGGCACTAGTTTTCTTGAAAGCCTCTTTTCTCAAATCCCCAAGAAGAAGAACCATTTGCCGGTCGACAACAATGCCTACATAAAATCCCTCTAATGGTTCAGGCCCAGATCCAAATTTGGCTGCAGAAAGGTCCCAATATATGTCAATTTTACAAGAATATGCTTCTAAGCTCTTGGACCCTTTTCTTTTTGAGAACAACCAGGGTTTAATATCAACTTTGCATAAACATTGATTAGCAGAATCATCCATTCCCACACTTAGACCTTGACCCATCAAATTCTTACTCCATGTAATAGTGATGAAGCAATAGCGACCTCGAATTCGACATTGATACATACAAGTAACCAAATTCTGTGCATTTTTACTAGTATTTGAAGACGAAGAATCAGCTACCTGAACCCCATTTTCACCGAAGCAAGAAGGAAAATCTCTCATTTTTACTACAAAAATCCTCCAATTCACTACAGTAAAACTCTCACTCTGGACTTTATACAAACACCTGAGCCCAATTTTGCATCTAAAATTAACACAATAAACATGACTCAGAAATGGAGTAAACAGTAGCAAGAACAAGAAAGTGTAACAGAGAAATATCTCTTACCTCAAAAATCCAACTAAGAAAATGCTTCAAAATCTGCAACTCAAGTCTTGATTTGATCTGAAAAAAAAAAAAAAAAGAAAAAAGAAACTATCAATCAATACTTTAAAGAAGGGGAGAGAGAGAGAGGGCAAAATCTAAATTGGAGACAAAAATGGGGAATGTGGGTGGTAAAGTAACTGATGAGAGAAGCAGACAAAAAGCAGACTCGTTTCACTGTCAAATCCCATCTCCAGCAATAAATAAAATAAATAAATAAGTAAAAAAATTCAAACTTTTTTTTAGGAAAAAAAAACCATCAATCAATCCAAAAAAAAACAAATAATAAGTAAAATATCCATGTATTCAATCTATACCTCAACAAGAAAGAGACAGCATAGATAACCAAGGGAACAAAAAAAAGGCAACTAAGAATGCTATAGCAACTCCGTATTGCTGGAAAGGCTGGATTTTGAAGATTACTCTACACTGAGAAAGGAAAAAGAGCATTTCTTTCTGTCTCTGTAGGTCTCCCCAAACTTTCTCTCTCTATAAACCTTCTTTTACCTGACATCTATTCACATGTAAATAGAGACATGAACATTTTACAACACAGAGAAACGGAGAGAGATACACTTTCACTTGAAAGTTGAAACCTCTCCCTCTTTTCATGGAACAAAATTAATATGGTTAATGCGTATATTCAAAGCATTTATAGTTTTATTTTTATACCTCATTTTCTGCATTATTTAGAAGGATTTGAGACGAAGATAAACAGGAAAAGGAAAATAAATAAATAAATCTGGTTGTTTGGTGTGGGGTCCAACTCAAACCAGTTAATCCAAGCACGATGCTCTTTTTTTTCCTCTGATATTTTTTTTTTTGGTTGAACAAATTTATATGAGAAAATACAAGTTTTTTCACACTCAAAAAAAAAAAAAAAAAAAAAATACAATTTTTTTTCTTATTTTGGTAACGTTGGTGGGAAAATACAATATTTATTTTAGATTATGAAGCAATAGCATGCATGCTTTGCATTACATTTTTATTATTTTTTAATAATAATTTGAAAAATATAAAATATATTTTGATATTGCCATTAAATCATCATTTTGAAAATATATATTAGAAAAAAAAATTAAACCTTTGATTTTCTCCAAATCATTTTTTTGCAAAAAATTTCATTCCGAGTGAAATTATATTCAATTACAATCATATTAAATTTTATAAAAAAATTTTAATTAATAAATTATCAGTGTCAATAAAATTTGTTTTAATAATTTTAGAGCAATCTTTTATATTTGTAAAATTATAAAAATTAACCAATTAAAATATAGCTAATAAATGAAAATGATTGTTTAATAATTTAAGAACTCAAAATTCATATTAAGAACTTGAAAATTTATATCTTTTTCTAAGAGGAGCAAAATGCATTCTAAGAGTTCACAATTTCAAATTTAAATAAGTTTATATGTCAATTAAAATATGAATTTAAAAGTAAATTTTAAGATTAAATTTTCTTTTTTTAAAGTTGGATCAATAAAAATAAAAAAAGAAAAAGAAAAAGAAAAATACAAGTTGGATATGTAAGAAATTGAAACATGGTTACATGAAATTTAATTTTGATAACAACGTAATATCTAGCAGATAACTTTGACCAATATTCTCATATTAACCACCGAAGATTTCCAAACCATTCGCCAGCCTCGTTTAATGCTATTTCCTATTATTTTAACAAACCAAGCATCAAGGCTCTATTTGGGAATTGGGAGAGGGTATATCACGCAAGGTCTTAGCGCGTGAAAGGTTCCCATTTAACGACACATCAATTTGCATTAGTGCTAATAATTACTTTATAAAGCATAATAAAGACGTCGCCTTCACGTGCACTTGTCCGTGGTCGGTTATATGCGTTACATTCCGAATCTGGCCCATTTTAGTCCACTTTACTTTGGGCCTATTTGAAGCCCATTTCACTTTTTTTTTTTTTTTTTTTTTTTTTTTTTTTATTATCTAAAAAAGGGAAGAGAGTGTCAAATTGATTATTAAAAGATACACTGATAGCTTACTTAGTAACATCTCTCTGAAATTAAATGTCTTGTCTGTCCCAATCCACATGAGCTCTTGCTGAGCTAATTAGTTGCAAGCTAACGGTGCATCTTAGTGTCAATTAAGTTATTTGCATGTGTATAAATAAATTAAAAAAAATTCCTTTAGCAATCGATTTTCCAGATAACATTATAATTTTCATCCGATTTTTAAAGAAATCACTTAAGATAATATGAAAAAAAAAGATGTTGTAATTGGCACAAAATGGATTAGCTCGCTGAAGAGTACATTAATAAAGAATTAATAAGGATAGGAGTGATATAATATATAAAGATGAGATGTTGGAGAAAGAAGAAGGTGTAACATTCAGGATGAACCTTTCTGCCTTTATTATGAGTGTGTATCATATCTTTGATCTATTTTGGTCCTCAATTTTGCACAAGTTGCAATCGTTCACGCCTTTCCACGGTTAACATGCCTATTCTATTTTGAAAGATTTTTTTTTTTTTCTCCCTTTGCTTATGATTGATATGATAGTAGGAAATTTTCTTTTTTAAATATTTTGAAAATGTATATGAAGAAATAAATGAATAAAAATATAATATTTAATAAAATTACCTTCAACACTTAAATAATATAATGGAAATGCATGTATAAATACGAATAAAATGTAGAATTAATATTCTTTTATAAATTAAAAAATAAAAATAAAAATAAACAAATTAATATAGGCAGAAACGGTAAGCTTTAAAGCTCTTTAGTTGTTTTTTCTTGGTGATAACAAAGTCTTTTGTCTCCTACATACGGTAGCCCAATTTAGGTTTGGGCTCCAAATGCCCTAACCAAGCGGTCCAAAGGTCAAAACTTTTAATTAACGAAATGCGTGACCCGAAAAAACCTCACTTTATTGCCTTATTGTGAATTTCAAAACTCCAAATCGTTCGTTTTGGGATATTGGATCAAGAGACGAAGTTGAGAAGCTGGTATGCATTTATATGGTGGTAATACATGGAGGTCGCCCGTATCCACGGCGTTAAAAT